AATTGGTGAGCTATGCGGATTTGGGGATCCCCTAAGACTATTTCTCGTGTTCCCTCCATTTGGACAGTTGTTGGCATAATGTTCTGGACTTCTACATTTGAGGCAGCGTCGGTTCTCTCTTCTCCAGTTCATTTCATTCTCGCTGAGGCGTCCCCCATCCTCAGTCCATGTGACCGGGGGGTCGCTGGGTAGGCCAAAGTTCATCATCCCTGGTTTTCCACCTGGCAAGGGTCCTCTACCGGTTGAATGTGGTGTTCGTTCCAAGGAGTTCGAAAGACTACTATCCAGTCGTGTCGAACTCGATCGTGAAGGGACCCAGGTCGTTTCATTTTTACGCCTAGCAGCCCATCGATTCGCCGCAATCATAGTCTCAGCCATCCGTTGATTTTCTTCGGTCCCGATGACATGTTGCTTGAAGTAGATCCAATCCGATTTGGTTCGAGGATCGGTGTTATTTACTACTACCACCTTCAGTAGTTCTTCTTTCAGGCCCTGTATGGCTGATGCGATTTTCATTGCATCTGGTACCTTCCCAAGATGAGTTGACCAAAGTTCAAAGTTGGCAAAGTACTCAGCCGCCGTATCAGTCTGTCTTAACTCTTGCAATTTCCTCATAGCCGTACCTGCCATGTTACTGTCTCCAAATTGAGTTCGTAAGTGTTGCACAAATTTGTCGTAGCTCTCTAACCATTCGGTCGAATTCCATATACTTGGGTTGGTTATGGCCGGGGTTAAGAGCATTTGAGGAGTACCTCGAAGGTACCCGTACATGAACAGGATTTTCCTGCGGTCCGTGGCGTACTCGGCCCCTTTGAATTCGAAGTTCATATGGCAGGCTGCCAGGAAGTTGTCAAGTTCGCCACGCTCCCCACTAAAGGTGGGTGGATCTGCACACCTGGTTCTTCCAAGTCGTTCGTTGTGGAGTACTCTTTGATCCAGAGACGGTTTGGTTTCTTCGAGTTCGATCGAAGTTGCTTTCCTTGGAGCGAGTACCTGGTTCTGTTGGTCAGCCTTTATTGTAGCTAATTCTTCCTTTAATGCGTTCTGTTCCTTCTGTTGCATAGTCATGATGGCTAGCAATTGTGACAACTGATTGGCTAATTCATTCAACGGATCTGTGGTAGGGGTGTTATGAGAAAGATCATGTGAAATGGTAGTTCTCGAAGAACTTGTTGGTGTTTCTACCTCTGGGCCCAGCCCTTGTTCCAGACCCTCCTCTCCAGGTATCATTTTCCTCGCTTTTCCTCTGGTAAGCATGCAATCCTTTCCACTTCCACCCAAGGCGCGTAAGGCTGATTCTTCAACTTGTAACGGTACTGGAAACATGATGACTAAGTCGCAGGTTGGGTCGAAGTCGATGGAACTCTCGTGGAAATCTATGTATCTCTGGTGCTAATGGGTCGTGTCTCCTCTGCAATCGGTGTAGCCAAAGAATGATATTGAAGAATCAGCAAAGTTGGTACTTTGCTGATTGTACTATATACTTGTCTACATGTATCCGTTTCCTCTCCATCCTACTGCAAGCGTCTAGGTACATACTCGGACAGGTGAAAAACCGCTTTTGAGCAAACCCAGTGGGGAAATCTCGAAAAGGGAAAACCCGTCCCTACCTACTGCAGCACTGCCTCCAACTCTCGCCGTTTTCCTTCCTAATCCGTCGAGTTCGATGGAGTTCTCTCGATTCGTTGTTACTCCGTAACAACGAGACGGTCCGGCCACGGGAGATTTAGGCGGGCGACGGACGGCGGGTGACGGCGAGGTGGGGCCGGGAGAAGAGAAGTTCGCCGAAGGAGAGCGCGAAGGATAGTCCCCGTCTTGGGCGGTAGGGAGACGACGGCAAACAGCGGCGGACGGAGTATAGGGGGGACCGAGAGGAGCAGAAGATCTAGGAGGAATATCCCGAGCGGCATTGGGGGGGCAGAAGGAGCAGGGCCCAGAAGTGCAAGAAGCACAACGGGACCCGCGATTGTGGGGCTTGACCGGTTGTAAGCACGGCCATTTCTTTCTCCCGTACGTGATAATTTCACGGCTATTGATCAGCAGATGTATAAGCTTCTATGGAAGGAACCTACCGACATCGATCGCATGACTCATCTATACTGGCAACCTCCCATCGTTCCCGTTCATCAATGAACTTCTGCCATAGCCTCTCCTGCTCTCGCAACGAAGCCTTGCGAGCGCTCCCTGTCTCGTGGGAAGTGGGGGGAGACAGTTCAGCCTGTCCTGGAAAAGACCAAGGGGTCTCTTTGACCCGTTTTGCCGAAGGAGGGGTTACTTCGTCGTGGGGGGAAGAGGAACGGCGACGTTTCTCAGGCTTCACTTCGGCAAGCTTCTCCATGTAGGCTAATCGCTTCCTACCGTTGGAGGCCTGTAGCCTCACACGAAACTCGGGAGAACCTTCGGTGACACGGACAGCTGTACACATTAGCGCTCACGACCAGGTTATACAGCGACGAACGTACGAGTCAATGTTCTCAGCTCGGCCAACCAATCATCCCTATCCTCGAACAACTCCTCACCACCAAGATCGATGTCAAACGACTCGTCGACCTCCTCACCCATCTCTCCACCATCATCAACCCCCACATCCATCTCTTCACCGCAACGATCACCATCCATCTCCTCTTCACCATCTGTCTCCTCATCACTAGCCATCACCTCGTCATCGTCATTGATTTCTACCACAGTGGCAGTACGACCAGTAGTTTGCGAGAGGCCAACAGGAGCAGGTCTGACCTCCTGTTGGCCAGAGGAAAGAGGGACCGTAGCTCCAGCGGGGGGGGACGGCAACAGAAGGAGCCGCGGCGGAAGCTGCAGCAGCAGAAGGCGAACCATCGGTGATGGCTAAGGCCCCAAGGCCCATAGACGACACTTGGCGGGGGGTATTCCCCTGCTGAGAGACTGAAGTGATCAGTGATGACCTAACCTGGGAACTGCACAAGTAACTTACGGACAGCGGAGAAACGATCTACGAAAGATCGGTAGGCGTCAAATTCTGGGCGGGAGCTCATATTGTTAAAAGATATCAAATTGATGTGTGTGGTAAAGTAAAAGCTGAGGTTCGATAGACGATGATAGTACGATTTAGGATTAGTACTGGGGAAGAAGAAGAAGTGGGCCGAAGTACTGAGTATTTAGTACAACTGACACGACTACTCGTCGTCAGGGCGCTGGTAACTTCGCATAACAAGGTGTCTCAGCAACAACAAACACCATGGCGACAATCAAAATTCCCACGCTACGTGTCTCACATTCATATGGGTTAGGAATACGCTGACGAACTTCGACGAGGTTTGTTGTACCCCAAATCCTCTGTCTCACTTACAACGTAATTACCACAGGGTAACAACAAACAACCACAACGAACTTCGACGAAGTTAACTGTCCGATTGACAACGAACCATGGCATCATCTAACAACAACTGGTATATGACCAATTTTGTTTCCTGCAACCTGCTGAGTGTCTTTCTCTTCATTACATGCATACGAAGCTCACGAGGACGTTCGCGCCTAAGGAGGGGGCGACTGTCACGAACTACGTCGTAACATCCCTGACACCGCCATCACCGACCCTCCTTTCACCATCACCGACCTTCCTTCTGTCATCACCAACCTCCACTCGAACCACTGAGACGGACTACGGCAAAGTTACGAGAACCAAGAGGGTATTATTTGTCACGATAACCCCGCCTAGCGGAGAACTACGGGGAAATTAGGGGAAGGGAACCAAAGGGGAGCAGAGCAGGGTAAGTTAGGCAAAGTTAGTCGAAGTGAGTGGAGTAGGACATCGGGGATATGACGAGGTACGGCGAAGTTGAACGAAGAGGACTGAGCGTGAGGCAGTGCAGGAGTTGAGGGACGTTCTATGAGAAGAGAGGGGGAGTATAGATAGTTTACGGATTACTGAACTTCTTCAGCGATCCTTGATTGTTGTCAGTAGCGAGCGATATATTCAGTAGCTACAACCACCGAGTTAAGGAGAGTTACCACCGAGCAGTTCGACGTACTACGGCGAAGTTAGCCGCAGTTCATTGACGATCATCTTATCACTTACCACTCGACCTATCACTACGGCGTAGTTAGCTGTAGTTCCCCGACGAGTACCCTGTCCTAGTGAGACATTGACGCCCCACTACGACGTAGTTAGCCGAGGTTGGTCGACCGTCGGTCAGTAGAAGAGAAGAAACAACGACCCTGACACCTTGATTGTTGTCAGTAGTGAAAGATAGATAGAGATAGGTACACTTCATCAACAATGAGATACATCGCTGTAACGGTACTGGAAACACGACGACTAGGTCGCAGGTTGGGTCGAACTCGATGGATGTCTCGTGGAAATCTAGGGGCTCTGGTGCTAATGGATCGTGTCTCCTCTGCAATCGATGTAGCCAAAGAATGATATTGAAGAATCAGCAAAGTTGGTACTTTGCTGATTGTACTATATACTGTCTACGGCTATCCTTGTCCTCGTCTCCTTCCTGCTGCAAGCGTCTACGTACATACTCGGACAGGTGAAAAACCGCTTTGAGCAAACCCAGTGGGGAAATCTCGAAAGGGGAAAACCCGTCCCTACCTACTGCAGCACTGCCTCCAACTCCCGCTTTCCTCTGTCCTAATCCGTCGAACTCGATAGAGTCCTCTCGATTCGTTGTTACCCCGTAACAATCGCCATCAGTAAAACAGAACCCTAGTTAGAGTAACACTGTTGAAGTACGCTGTAGATACACTCCTTTTGACGTCTGCACCCTCCTGATTGGGTGAGACATTGACTTAGAAGCGTCAAGTTAGCCGAGGTTCATCGAGCGTTGGTCCGTTAGAAAGCAGTTGTTTGACGGCCGTGACACTCACTGCTGAACTGCTAAATACCATGACTCATATTTCCTTCAATCCTTATCACAGTTCCTAGCATGAGTCATATTTTGTCATCACTATTCTGAGCATGAGTTAGAATTCCTTATCACTATTCATGACAAGTTCGTGACAGCAATCCAACGACATAGTTAGCGCTTGTGTATCAACGATTGTCCTGATGTGAGCTGAGAGAATGTTTCTGGCGTCTTCTTTTGAGGCATATTTGGTAAGGAGGACACTTTGTTGTATGCAGCTCGGACAACTTCCACAGTCTTGGCGACTTCTGCATAGGAAGCAGCATGCTCGCAACACCAGGAATAGAGACTGTAATCAGTAATCCCGTTATCTTCAGTACCAAACCCCCAACGCAAATTGGACTTCAAACTGATTAACTCTTTACGTTCTTCCACAAGTTCTTCCCAAAGTGCTCCATTGTCTTCACCAGTGTTTGCCCAGCGCTGCCTAAGGAATTCTGTTCTCTTCTCCTCCCAATCTTCTGCATGTTGCTCAAGTGTGCACGAAACGTTATGTAGTTCCTCAATCTTACCTTTGAGCAACTCTACAGCAGGAAATTTTTGAAAATCCTCAGAGATTTGCCTCATCTCATCTTCCAGAGCTGTGAGATCAGCCAAATGAATTGAAGCTAGGGAATCTTGTGGATTCTTTGTCATCCATTCCAGCCAGCTAGGATAACTTGTGTATCTTTGTCTCCAATCAATGTCTTCCCAATTTTTATAGGATTCAAGATACTGCCGACAAAGTTGGTCTTTATCTGTGGATGAAAGACGCTCTTCCTGTTCAAAGCTAAGTAGTGTAGGACTCAACTTCCAGGCTTTGTATGACTCCAACCAGACATTCTTTGCATCCCGGTTCACTTCCACCTTGAGCTTCCAGTCAGTCAAACAGGCTGCTGGTGGCCTCTGATTGGGATCCCAGGTGGAAAAAGCTTTATGATCGGATTGTTCCCAATGATATTTCACACTTGCGCATTGAGTGATTGCAGATTGAAGGTCTTTGCTTGGTGGTCTCCATGCAGTTGAAGTACGGAATTTCTGGTCATAATAGTACACACACTCAGCCATAAGCTCCAAATGTTTATCCAATTTGGTTTTGTAGGCCTCCCACTTAAATTCAGAATGCTCCCATGCGTCCTGCTTTTTTATGGCAAGATATTCACTCGCCACCTGTTTGAAGGAGGCGGTTAAATTGGTCACAAACACCGTGGCCTTGATGTCGAGGGGACTACAGAAGGAATCGACGATGACATTTATAAGAGGCATTATGGGCTAAGCAGTTACCCCGTGTATGATTGGTTGATGGGTGATGACAAATACGGCAATACTTATCCCCCGAGGTCATGAAATGGTAGAGATATTGAGAGATCCATTTCAAGTGGCGTGAAAATGGATTTTATACGTTTGAAGCTCCGGTTTCCACGGACCGCCTTCGATGATCGTGAGAAAGCATCGCCTCGACGATTTCGTTTCCAAGGACCAACCTCTTTCTTTCCTTTCTAGCTTCCATTGAAACAGGTAAGTAGAGTCTGAGGGTAGTGGTGATCTCCTCAACGAGACAGAGACATGATCCGGCCGGGTTAGTACTCGTACTCTTATTCTCCACCACTAGTCAATCGGGTAGATCAGCCTTTTCCGATTTCCTCCGGTTAGACACTTCAAAATTTATGGGACTCTCAATTGAAATGATATGTTGGTCACTGACTCTCAGACGGAATGATATCCCGGGGTTGAATTGACTGGGTGATCGTCTGATTGATGAGTTGATCGCAGGTTTCAAATCAAAAGCGAACGATAAGTTTTGGGTGAGTATGTAGGACACTGTACTCGGTTGTTTATGTCTAAAATGGATATGATCGCATCATCAAAGACTCACTAAGCACGAGACATTTCAATCTTTTCGTATCCCTTACTACCCCTCCTCCACCTTCTAACTCTCTCTTTACCTCCACCATAGTAATACACACCTGCTCCAGTAGGAAGTATCACGAAGAATACGAAGAAAGCGAGGTATTTGGTAGGTGATGAAAGAGTAGGATAAGATTCTTCTCCATACACATCTTCTTGAGTAGATGTAGGAGGAACGAGCTCAACGTCCGTATCGGATTCCCAATCAATATCCGTATCAGGGTCTGAGTCGGAAGTATCTCCTTGATCATCTTGAGAATCCTCGGGATCCGACTGTGTTGACGATGCAAAGTATCGAATCGAACGAATGGCATGAAAGGTTCGATAGAAAGATGTTTGAAGGTAAAATTGTGTCATGAGTAGAATGGGATATGGGGAATGTGGGACGTTGCACGATAAGAAATCAGGTCGAAAGGAATGAATGAAGTTGAAGAAAATATGCATGCTTCAGAAAAAGTCTCTTTCAGTTTTAACACATCACACAAAAGTGCGCACCGCGATTTGTGAATTGTGAATTCAGAGTTCAACACGGAAAGGTACCTGATTGCCTTGTTCGTCTACTTCAGGTTCCATCTCCAACTAATCGTCAGCTGAAAACGCGAAAGTAGTAGGGAGGTACTCACTTCGCCAGAACGAACAATTTTAACGGCTTCTAAAGGTCTGTCCCGCTTGGTAGGCACTTTCTCCAAGGCGTAGACAACATCCATTCCTTCGATAACGTGGCCAAAAACCACCTGAAGTCAATGATGTCTTTCCGCGACACTCTCCCATGCTGTAAACTATGACAACGAAAGCTTCCTTCGAAGATGGGTTAGTGAGGCGTAGAGTATGGAAGGATTGAGCGAGAGAAGTCAAACGCGAAGAAATGGACTAGGACGAGGACTCACGTGTTTCCCATCTAGCCAAGAAGTGACCACGGTAGTAATGAAGAATTGTGAGCCATTGGTGTCTCTTCCAGAATTGGCCATGGCTATATCATAAACCTTTTTTCCATATCGATCAAACCGTAATATGGACCTACATAAAACTCCTGGAGTGGTGTGCTTGAGTTTGAAATTTTCATCAGGAAACTTGATATCAGCAGTGGATTTCTTAAGCTGACCAACAAAATACCTTTTCTCCATAAATCGACTTTCCCCCCGTTCCGTCCCCTCTGGTGAAGTCACCTCCTTGAAGCCTGTCATCAACCCAGACTGCATCAAATACAGGTTATGAAACGTACATGAACTGTTTGATGATCCTGTGGAATTCAGATCCCTCGTATCCAAAACCCAAAGGAGCCCCATTTTCTCCTTTACCAGTTGCCAACGCCCTGAAGTTCTCCGCTGTCTTGGGTACGGTCCTCGAACGTCAGCTGGTAAGACATGAGGAAGTCGTAAGGTGAACTGACTTTCCGTAAAGACCCATAACTATACGACCTATGGTTTTACCTCCATGTTCAATATCGAAGTAAACCTATCTTCATCAGTGATCGGCCTTTGCATTTTGTCATTCTTCTTGACGAAGTGAAAAAGTTGAACGTGGAATGGGAGAACGTACTTTGTTGGTAATGATAGGACCCTTGACAGCGTTTCCGTGAATGGGCATGATTCCGAGTAGGAGCAATAGTGTGGTTAGGAGGAAAGATATGGGGAGATATAGTCGAGTCATGTTGGCTTGAAGAGGTATACTGTAGGAAGATTGGGGTACTCAAGTGAGGGGGAAGTAGGGGAAGGAGGTACATGACGTGGCATACTCCACGTGGCTTCGATCACGTGCAAGCAGTGATAACCGACGCGTCGCGTTCCACAACCACTCTGCTACTGACTTTTGACTTTTATCACTTTTATAGGCTGACACACTGAAAGCTTTGCCGATTGGGATAACACAGTCTTCAGAATGGGAGATCACCCAGATCCAATGGAAAACTTCTTCACAGAAGACGAAATCGACGTCGATCCGCCTATCCTCTACACCGCTTTGGAGCTGTCCCCGACATGTACTCAAGAAGAGGTCAAGAAAGCATATCGTCGTTTAGCTCTCAAATATCACCCTGATAAACATACTTCGAAGACAGAAGACGAGCGAGAGGAAATGGGGAAGCAATTCCAAAGGGTCGGGTTCGCTTACGCTGTTGTGAGTGATGAGAAGAGGAGAAAACGGTGAGTGTCGGGACGGAAAATATCTTGAAGCAAATCTCAAAGCTGATGGAAGATACGATGAAACAGGTAGGACGGATGAGGGGATGGAAGTACCAGAAGGAGGATGGGATGATTATTTCGAGAGTTTATTCAAGAGGGTAGATAGGAAGATGCTGGATGAGGATAAGGCGAGGTATCAGGGTGGGTAATACCTCTCCTTCGTCTCCCCTTCCGCCCCCCCCCCCTTCCTCCTTGCTATAACCTGGCTTTCTATATGAAATGCTAGCGGATGCGTTTTAAACCTGGACGGGACATATCTTCATTCAGAGGCATATGGCAGTGGACCTGGAGACCAAGTTGATGTCAGGCTCTGAAGAAGAAAAGTCCGACCTCATAGAGGCCTACAATACAACGAACGGTTCCCTACCCGAAATACTCCAACACATCCCACATTCCCAATCATCCGACGAATCCCGATTTATCAAACAAATCAACGACCTCATCTCCTCTGGTTTCCTGACATCCACGTCCACTTGGAAGTCCACTTCGACGGATAAGTCGGCAAAGGTGAAACGGAAACGTGCGGCGGAGGGTGAGGCGAAAGAGGCTGAAGAGGCTGCCAAGGAATTAGGAGTTTGGGATGAGTTTTATGGGTCCGGCGAGAAGGTAGAGAGAAAGAACTCAAAGAAGCCCGGTAAGAAGGATACGAATGGAGTCACAAAGGGAAAGAAAGAGAAAGAAGATGGTGGAGAGGACGAAGGAGGAGCGTTGGCCGCTTTGATAGCTAAACGACAAGAAGCGAGAGGGAACGCTTTGGATGCCCTGGAGGAGAAATATAGGAAGTTGGAAGAGCAACAAGCTGCGAAGAAAGGGAAGAAGGGGACGAAAGAGGATATACCGGTGAGTAAGCGTTTCGCTTATCCTGTCAATCCCCACCGAGTCATCGAACGATAGAAGGACCTACTAGTGGGGATAAGGGACGCGCCCACGGGAACTGGTGGAAGCCGATGAGATACAGTTGATGACGAGGTGTCAAAGAGGTGTCCACTGATCAATAGGAAATGACAGAAGAAGTGTTCCAAGCTCTGCAAGAAAAGATGTTTAATGGGAAGAAGGGAAAGAGGAAAGCATGAAATTGGCATGACTGCAGGCGGCATGACCTGAGAAGAGATGGATCAGGAAAGCTCAACGACGCCTGGGAATCTGACAAAGAGGCGAGATGAGAAGGTACTGTAAGTATGATCTAATCTGTATCGATACCTTGCTGTTCATGCATTCCGTATCTTTGTACCTGCTCCTACTATGACATATCACCCCATTCCTACTAATATTAGACCGGGAGGACTCTGGGGTCAGCCACATATAGCACGCCTATGTTTGCCCTCACGAATTCTGACCTCAACGCCTCAAAGTTGAGATCAACTTGTGTTACTTGTCCAAAAACCTCTTTCGAGGATCATGTTTTCCCATCGTGCCATCGCCTCAGGATCGAGATTGGGCGCAGACGTATCCCCGCAGCAAATCTCCTCCGGATTTTGTTCTGAACCTCCTCCTGGACCATTGTTCAAAGGAGCAAGTTGGAGTTCTGAGTTTTGTGGAGAATTACGTGCCGTACTCCATTGAGATGGTCCAGGGATGCTGTCAAAGTCAGAAAGCTGTTGGATGTTAGGAAATGAGTCTTCCTCAGATCCCTTCTCATAAGCTGTTCCAGACTGTAATCCAGGATCATGCTCCTGATAGTTTTTCTCTTGGACGGGCACATCAGTCTCATGTGTAATTTCATCATTTGCATTGTAATCTTGTTGTTCCTGAGTGACAATGAGTTCATTCCTCAAGATCACTGTCAAGGATACTGCCCACCCTGGGACAGAGGACAAAGGACAAGGGGACAAGGACTAGGAGTGACAAGGAATATACTTAAGATAACAAGACTGAGTCCAACAAGGAATGGGACTGTGACCCAAGGAATGTCTCTGGCTTGCCTTACAAGGTTAGAGGGAACTGGACTGGACTGGACTCCAAAAGGGTGGCAATGGAAATGACTTTTGATCAAGAACTAAAGAAGACTACAAAGTACAAGATAGGGTTTATATAGACAAATCAACCTTTTCCAAGAGTGTCAAGGATACTGCCCACCCTGGGACAGAGGACAAAGGACAAGGGGACAAGGACTAGGAGTGACAAGGAATATACTTAAGATAACAAGACTGAGTCCAACAAGGAATGGGACTGTGACCCAAGGAATGTCTCTGGCTTGTCTTACAAGGTTAGAGGGAACTGGACTGGACTGGACTCCAAAAGGGTGGCAATGGAAATGACTTTTGATCAAGAACTAAAGAAGACTACAAAGTACAAGATAGGGTTTATATAGACAAATCAACCTTTTCCAAGAGGCTCGTGCAGACCTGCGGAATACGAGCGCTCTGAACCGTCCTGCACTGTCCTGCATGCATTGCCTTGCATCCCACCGATAACCACTGATATCCTACGATGCCATATCTGCGTTTACCTATGTCCTCCTATGACATCCTACGGGATGCGCCGGAAGTCGCTTGACTTTGTCGAAGCTGGTCGATGAGGAACTATGAAGGACTATGCAGAACATAGAAGTGCTGCGAGAACAAGAGACTGAGATATTATGCCTTAGCAGGCATTAGAACAGAGGAACTAGAGACTAGAGAATTACTGGGGACTTATGCCTTGCAGGCATGGGAGCTAAGCACCGACATACTAGAATGATACTTGGAGTTTATGCCTGATAGGCATGAGAGCAGAGGTGAAATATTAAAACACGGAAGTGGAGGTTGAACTTGTTTTGCGCAACAAGGAACACGTGATGGCGTCATTCATGACAGGAGCTCCCCCTCTAAGGGCGAAGTCCTCTGAGCCGGGATGACCTACGCTGAGGTCTTTTCAAAATTGTGGAAGTGTCTTGTTGTGTTGGTTGTTTAGTACTAGAGTTTGATTTTGTTGACCTCATGGATGGGAAGTGGTGTTGAGGATCTTGGAGATGTTGACGACAGAATGCCCTGAAGGCTGTAGTGTTGTGGAGTTCTTCCCAAGGTTCCCATGAGTCATGAGCACTGGAGTAATCTCTCCAATGTACTAGATAATCATATCCTCCATCATTACTGATGCGAGAATCCAGAATTCTATCAATGATGTATTCTTGTTCTCCTTCAACTTCAATCCTAGGTGGTGGATCTTGAGGTTGACTTGGGAGTCCTGAGCGCACTGGCTCTAAGAGGTTGACATGGAAGACAGGGTGAATGTTTATACTAGGAGGGAGGTCGAGTTTGAAAGCCAAAGGTGAAGGTGTGGCTTCAATAATCTTGAATGGCCCAAGCATGCGTTGATCAAGCTTGATTGATGGCCTTGAGGTTTTGATATTTTTTCGATTAAGGAATACCATATCTCCAACCTTGAAGATAGGTTTACCTTCTTGAGTGATTTCTTTGATCTTGCGATCATAGAACTTGGAATGAGATAACTGCGCCTTTTTGATATTGGTGATAAGTTCCTTGTGAAGATTACGGAGTTTGTTGATGTGGTCTGAGGCTGCAGGGACAGAGGTATTAGGAAGTGGTGGTGGACTAGAAAGATCAAGAGGATGGTAACCATATGTTGCCTCAAAGGGAGAATGTTTTGTGGTTGCGTGAACTGAGTTGTTGTAACTGAATTCCGCCAGATCTAGAAGTGATGACCAGTTTGCTTGGTCATAATCACAGAATGTCTGAGATAATTTTCTAAAACTTGGTTGACACGTTCAGTCTGACCATCTGACTGGGGATGGAAAGCTGTCGAGAAGTTGGGTTTGATGCCTAATCCATTGACAAAGGCTCGCCAGAAATGAGAGTCAAAGATTCGTCCACGATCTGAGACAATATCTTGAGGTATACCATGAAGTCGCATGATTTGTTGTCGGAACATCACAGCTAATTGAGGAGCATCAAAGCCATCTTCTTTATATGGAATAAAGTGGGCTTGTTTGGTAAGACGATCAACAAAGACCATGATTGAATCAAAGTTACTGGATAAAGGGAGTTTGACTATGGCATCCATACTAATAGATTGCCAAGGACAAGAAGGAACAGGGAGTGGTTGTAAGGGTCCATAAGGTTTATGTCGTGGGATTTTATTTCGTGCGCAAGTGTGACACCCATTAACATAGGCGTTGACAAATTGTCGCAAGCCAGGGAAGTAATAATGACGTGTCAGGAGATCATGTGTCTTTGCCTGACCAAGGTGACCAGAGGTACTAGAGTTGTGGACCTGTTGGAGAAGGTCTGTCTTGAGTTCAAAGTTGTCTGGGACATAGATTCTTTCTTTGAATCTCACGATGTTGTTGAAGTAGCTGAAACCTTCAAGCTTTTGTTGAAGTTCAGGAGGACAAGGAGTACTGGGATTGCATAGATAAGGCATGAGCTCTTGAAGGGTATTATCCTCAGGCTGTAGTTGCTCTATCCTTGCCAAGATGTCGGAGTGAAGTGAAGAAGTGGGGTCAAGAGAGGGTTGTTGAAGGGCACCTAGAATGAATTGACCAGGTTTGAAAAGTGTGCGTGGAGGTGCCTCAGCAGCTCTACTCCCCCCCTGAAGGTCTTGACGTCTCGTCAAGGCATCTGGTTTTCCCATGGCACTTCCGGGTCTATGAATGACTTTATAATCATAGTTTGCCATGAGTTCTGCCCATCTAGCTTGACGTCTATTAAGTACTTTGGTGGTTGCAAAGTATTCTAAATTCTTGTGATCCGTATAAACTGTAATTTCTTGAGCTCCTTCAAGGTACGGTCGCCATTGTTTGAATGCTTCTACAATAGCAAGCATTTATTTGTCGTAAATTTCATAGTTGAGTTCGGCTGGTTGAAGTTTTCTTGAGTAATACGCCACAGGGTGAAGTTGATTTTTGTCGTCTGGATGGGAGAGGATACCAGCAATTGCAAAGTCAGAAGCATCTGTCTCTATTACAATTGGCTTGGTGGGCTGGAAATGGTGGAGAATGGGAGCAGTGGTAAATAATTTCTTGAGAGAGTTGAATGATTCTTCCTCAGAGTCACCCCATTCAAACTTAACATCCTTGCGGAGCAGTCTGGTTAATGGTGCAGTGACTTTAGAGTAAGCCTTGATGAATCGCCTGTAGAAGTTGGCGAAGCCAAGGAAGTCTTGAATGTCATGGACGGAGTGTGGTGTTGGCCAGTCGAGTACTGCGGAGACCTTTTTGGGATCCATACTGATACCTTTTTCTGAGACGATGTATCCTAGAAAGTCGACTTGATGCTGAAAGAAGGTACACTTCTCTGCTTTGGCCCAAAGATTATTTTTCCTCAGTCGCTCAAGCACCTGCTTGACGTGACTGATATGATCCTCTCTTGTTTTGCTGAAGATGAGGATGTCGTCCAAATAGACAATAACAAAGATGTCGAGATAATCCCTCAGCACATCATTGATGAGGTACTGGAAGGATGCTGGAGCATTGGTGAGCCCAAAGGGCATTACAAGATATTCAAAGAGACCATAGCGGGTCCTAAAAGCTGTTTTCCACTCATCACCATCCTTGATGCGGATGAGGTTATAAGCTGCACGAAGATCGATTTTTGTGAACCATGATGCCTCCTTGAGTCGGTCAAGGGATTCTTGAATAAGGGGCAGGGGATATCGATTTTTGCGAGTGATTTTGTTGAGTCCTCTGTAATCTACACAGAGTCGGAGGGTACCATCAGGCTTCTTGACAAAGAGTATTGGAGCGCCTGCTGGACTAGAACTGGGTTGGATAAAACCTTTCTTGAGATTGTCCTTAAGATATTCATCCAAAGCTTTAAGCTCAACTTCAGAGAGTGAGTAGATGGGTCCAAAAGGTGGTCGCGAGTCACCCTCAATAGGAATGGAATGATCATACTGGCTATGTTCTGGGAGCTGGTTGGAGTTGGATTTCTTGAAGACTTCTAGAAAGTCATGGTACTCGGGAGGTATACTCTTGAATAGAGTATCCATATCAGTATCAGGATCATCATCGTCCTCAGCCGGAAGAGGATCAATGAGTGAAGTGACTTGGGAGACAGAGGTGATGCCATAGACACAAGCTTTCTTTAGAGCATTGCGAAAGGCTGCTGCACTCACAAGGGTGACCTTGGGAGGAGCCGGAGTGTGGACAGGGACTGGAGACTGGAGTGACTTTTGTCGGTTATGTTGTTGCTGGAGAGACCGCGAAGCACCATGCTGTCGTTCGATCTTGCTGGGAGGAATCCTCTCAGAGGCACACTGGCCATCTTGAGTGGTCAAAGGGGAACCTGAGGCACACTGGCGCTCTAAGTTATTAGACTGGAGTGGGGTATCAAAATCTTTTCCCATCAACTTGTCAGGTTGACTGCACTGCATCCTACAGTACAGGGAAGAGAAAACAATGGTCTGACGGGACCAATTGATAACAGGATTGTGTCGGGAGAGCCATGGAAGGCCAAGAATGACTGGATAGTCGCCAAGGGAAGTAATGTCAAGGGAGATTGTCTCCTCATGACGAATTGAAGTGGTTTGAACAGAGAGGTTGATGGGGCCAGAGTGATGTGTGATAGCACCAGAAGATATTTTTCTCCCATCAATAACATGAAGGTCCATAGGTTCATCCTTCTGGACTACCGGGATATTAGTTTTGTCGAGGAAGGTCTTGTTCAGAAAGCTGTTGGTGGCTCCTGAATCAAGCATAGCGTAAGTGTTGTAGTGTTTGTTACCAAAGGAGAGTGTAATTGGAATACACAAATGCTCCTGAGGGTTGTCCGGATTGATTGATAGTGTTGAAGCCGTTGCCGTTTGACGTTGAATATACCGTGATAGTTGCCCATGATTAGGCCCCAGAGCAGGGGACTTGATTAGGCCTGGGGCTGGGAGTTTTTCGCTTCCTGAGGTGCTGTGACAGCATTGACCATTGCAGGAGACTGTTGCTTGTTGGGTCTTGCCTTGCATTGATTGGCAGTATGACCGGGCTTTCCACAGTATAGGCAAAGCTTATTCTTGAATCGATGCTCATGCTCTTGAGATGTGAGAGGAGCAAAGCGAGGTCGGACAGCATCCACTTCCATAGGGACAGGAGTGAATGTGTTGGAAGGGGTAGACAAAGTATGAGTGGATTGGGTAGTGAAGGATCGAGAGTTGTTAAAAGAGGAGTTGTTTTTACGTGGTGGGGTAGACTTGATAGTGTTGACTGGAGTGATACCTCTCTTGCGGTTGAAGAGGAGGTTGTCCCAAATGATAGACTTGTTGATGAGATCCTTGAGAGTCTTGAAGTCATTTGGTGTAAGAATCTTATCCTTCACATCTTCCTTCAATCCATCAAAATAGGCATGGCGGAGTGCCTCATCATTCCAATGAAGAAAGGCTGCATGCTTTTCAAAAAGTGCTGCATACTCTGATGCTGACTTATTTTGCTTGAGTGTCTTGAGTTTGTGACGTGATGTCTCAATGATGTCGGAATCACCAAATGTCTTTTCAAATTCCTTTTTGAAAGCTTCCCAGTTATCAACCCATTCAGGACGAGTTTCAGTATGGTTCATAGCATGAGGCATGTACCACTGATAAGCTTCATCCTTGAGGAGATTTGAGGTGAAGGCAATCTTGGATTGATCAAGAGCATAGGTGTGGGGTTGGATATTGAAGACTGTGTCACACTTCAAAAGAAATACCAGAGCTTCATCTTTACGGCCACTGAAAGGCGGTGGTGAAGTTATCTTTGGTTCCTTTGTGAAGGTGGGAGTGGAGTGAGAGTGAGAGTGAACCTGTGCATTAAGTAGTTCTTGCTCAAGATGGATGATGCGTGCTTGCATCTCCTGGAGGATATCTTCAGCAGAAGGGATGGCTTGGGGTTGGATGTCAGGGGTGATAGGGATGGGGTCAGACATAATGAATTACTTAGCTGAAGTGTTTATAATTCCCCCAAGTATCACTGAAGACCAAATATAATTTTTAGTATCCCTTTCAAACTAAAGTCAAAGATGTGTTATTTGTTTCCTAGAAGTTGAAGTTGTTACACAAATTATTTTCTTGAAGATCAAAGTGTTCTTGAGTATTGTTGCAGTTGATAATTATTGAAGTTGATAATTATTGAAGTTGATAATTATTTCTTGAAGTTGATGAACAAGGGTATAAACTAGACCTAAAGAGTAGTAGACAAGCAAGGACAAAGAGGTGAGTTCTTGATACTGTCAAGGATACTGCCCACCCTGGGACAGAGGACAAAGGACAAGGGGACAAGGACTAGGAGTGACAAGGAATATACTTAAGATAACAAGACTGAGTCCAACAAGGAATGGGACTGTGACCCAAGGAATGTCTCTGGCTTGTCTTACAAGGTTAGAGGGAACTGGACTGGACTGGACTCCAAAAGGGTGGCAATGGAAATGACTTTTGATCAAGAACTAAAGAAGACTACAAAGTACAAGATAGGGTTTATATAGACAAATCAACCTTTTCCAAGAGGCTCGTGCAGACCTGCGGAATACGAGCGCTCTGAACCGTCCTGCACTGTCCTGCATGCATTGCCTTGCATCCCACCGATAACCACTGATATCCTACGATGCCATATCTGCGTTTACCTATGTCCTCCTATGACATCCTACGGGATGCGCCGGAAGTCGCTTGACTTTGTCGAAGTTGGTCGATGAGGAACTATGAAGGACTATGCAGAACATAGAAGTGCTGCGAGAATAAGAGACTGAGATATTATGCCTTAGCAGGCATTAGAACAGAGGAACTAGGGACTAGAGAATTACTGGGGACTTATGCCTTGCAGGCATGGGAGCTAAGCACCGACATACTAGAATGATACTTGGAGTTTATGCCTGATAGGCATGAGAGCAGAGGTGAAATATTAAAACACGGAAGTGGAGGTTGAACTTGTTTTGCGCAACAAGGAACACGTGTGTCACGAACTACGTCGTGACACCTCGATTATTCCACCAACAATGACCCTCCTTTGACCATCAAAACCCCCATCACGTCTTAACCTTTTTACTCTACACGTAACTCAGGACTTCTGAGACCAAGTACGGCGAAGTTAGACGGAGTTAGGCTAGGTAGGGACAATGGGAGCAGAAGTACGGCGAAGTTAGACGGAGTTAGGCTAGGTAGGGACAATGGGAGCAGAAGTGCGGCGATGTTAGGCGGAGTTAGTCTAAGTAGGGACAATGGGAGCAGAAGTACGGCGAAGTTAGACGGAGTTAGGCTAAGTAGGGACAATGGGAGCAGAAGTGCGGCGATGTTAGGCGGAGTTAGTCGAAGGAGGAAGAGGATGGCCGAGGGCTCGGGGAAGTTGGACGAAGTGCGTTGAAGTACGTCAAAGCGCGAGAGGGTTGGATGAACGTCTAGGAGGAGTAGATAATATTAGCTGAGAAGATCGCTGAAGTTCTTCAGCGATCCTTGATTGTTGTCAGTAGTGAAAAACAGATAGAGATAGCTATAAATCAAGATACATCGCCATCAGTAGAACAAAACCCTAGTTAGAGTAACTACGCCGAAGTACGCCGTAGTTACACCCCTTTCGACGTCTGCGCCCTCCTGGTTGGGTGAGACATCGACTCAGAGCGTGAAGTTAGCCGAGGTTCGTCGACCGTCGGTCTATTAAGAAATAGTTGTTCGACGGCCGTGACAACGTGATGGCGTCATTCATGACAATCACCCTGCATCCACCGAATACTGCCCCAGCAGACCCTCTTTGAATAGTTTTTGTTTGAACTATGGGCCAGTCAAGTCATTCTTCCTTGACAGCCCGACTGAGTAAGTCCAAATGATCAAACATTGATTTACATGTTTGACTTTGAAAAGTGAAAGGATAAAGAGGATGATTAGAGTGCCTACTGGCAATATTGTTCATGGCGTCCAAGAGAACATTGGTGCAAACTAGAGTCATGACCTCTGTTTTCAAGTTCCACAACTTCCCTTCAGAGTTTGAGTCCACGAGCTCAGCATGAAGTAAGTGTTAGCCCATAGGATTGGTCCAGGACGGCCGAACCATCGTTAAATAATTACCCCTTCCGTCGAATATTTCTCCGTTCAACTTATCCTCTGAACTCTATTCAATTGTCTCTGGTTTACTGCATGTGAGTGGAATGTGACAAGTATAGAGACATGTAAAATTGATGCATGCTCTTTTTCCCCTCTGTATTATCATCTGATTATCAGCAAACAGTAAGGACACTCTGTTCTTCAATACAGCTGAATACCGGAGAAATAAGTATCTCACAGAAGGGGGTAGAGGTTGTACTTTCCCCTCTTCTGTGATGTTGAATGCTTTCTGCTGCTCATAGTAGGTAATTTTGCTTTGTCTACCTGAATCCTTATAAACTAACTCCCGATATGCACTTCTGCCAATATTAAACATTCCGAGCTCCAATCTGCTGTATCTGTCCCAGTCCTCTTGAAAGATCCTGTTCCATGGATCTGACTCATTGCTGCTCATGATTGTAGAGGTCAGGAAGAAGTATAAAAGACTTTGTAGGGGAAGTATAATATGAGAGGCTTATATCCTAAGACTTGTGATTGCATAGATACCTTCTTGGGAAGAAGAAGAAAGGATACGCACTGCACTTCACTGTCTCGATAGATTGGTTCTCTCCGCTTACCTCTCGACCCACTTCTCTATCCCCTCCGTTCATCGCGTTCATCCCCACGTCAATCTCCGATCCTTCCTCCCAACTTAGTCTACCTCCCTCCTCGTCCCCGTTCCCGTTTCCTTAGCTATCTTTCCCTTCCCTCCGTTTCCTTCGCCACCCTGCTTGTCGTGCTTTCCTTCCCTTCCTTCCCCTCGCTCCCCCGAATTGATCATACTTTCCTTCCTTTTCCTTCCCGCAGACCCCTTCTCCTTCACCGCCCAGTTCCATTTCCTCCTCCCTTCTTCCTCTCCCTCCCTCGAGGCCTTCGTCCTCGTCAATGCATGGTTCGCAGTCATCTTCCCCACACATCACCTGACAGAAAGAAGTCCAGAACCATTCTTCGTTTCTATCACCTTCTCGTACGCTAGAAGGAGACAATCAGCCGATCGGGTCGATCCCTGTGAGCGGGTCGATGACTTGTACAATCAAGAAATCACACATCAGAAAAGTTAGATTATTTTCAAAGTTCCAATATGTGAAAGAAGATACAACAGATGTGTGTGTATACAACCCAGTCCGGTTAGATGAATCAGAATACGGACCGATCATTCAACCTCCAATCCCTTAATGGACCCCACCAACTCCATCCTTCTGGTCTACGTCTTTGTCTTGCGGGTGAGGGTACGGGTTGAGAATTATCACTACTGGTTATATCTTCCCATTCTTCCTCTGTATCTCTCACTTCTCCTTGTCCATCCCTACCCTTCGTCCCTCCAATTTGTTCTTCTCCTCCATTGCCGATCCTTCTCCTCGTGTTTCTCCGCTCCCCGGCCACTATTGCTTGTTCCCCCTCTCCGACATCTTGCTCCGTCCCACTCGCATGCATCACCCTCTCAGTAAATTCAGCCCCATCCAACGCTTCAACTTCCTCATTGGCCCCTCCTGGGCTTAGGAGTCTATCCTCCCTCAACAAGTCACCCGCTCTTCTCAATCTCCTAGTACTCTCTTCACGTTCTCTGATCCCAAATTGCCCTAGTCCCCATCCCGTCTCATCCGCCTGGGGAGTATGTGAGAAAACTCTCTGACGTATTTCGGCATGTGCCAAAGCTTCTCTTTTCGCTGCTTCCTCATGCGCTCGACGCAATCTCCGGGAATAGACGTAAATCCATCGAATTGGAAAAGACAGCAATTCTCCCATGTTTCTGGGTGTGTGAAGTGAAGGGGTTCCAGATGTTGACGTATCGGATACAGATGAGAATACACCTCTGTCGACGGATGTTGATGCGGGGGAGAAGGTGACTCGTTGGGGCGAAGATGAGAGGTCGGCGAGTTCTATAGGGGGATCTACATGTGATTGAGGTGGTTGTTGATGAAGGAGAGAACTAGTACGACGTCGAAGGATGGAGGTGAATTGAGAGATCCCTGTGGTGATGGAATTATGAATGGGTTGGGGAGGATGAGCTCGTTGGGAGCTACGTTGTTTGGCCGCTCGTTTTGCTCTTTGACGTTTCTTGCGTTCGGCACGTTCCATGAGGTCCTGCATGTCAGCATAAATTCTGTATCAGATACCATCTCTCATATATGCCCCCCTCGCCGCTCAGAACTAGATCGTTGAGTAAGAGAGCAGTGTTAATTGGTATGAATTCAGGCTCGGACCCAGGCGTCCAGCTCACCTCAACCTCTCCGATTCCCATCCCACTTCCAACCCACCACCACCACCCCAACCATGTCTGCCATAAAACACCAGCAAACAACAAATGCTGTAGCCAATCAATTCCATCTTCCTTAATCGCCACAAAGTTGCACACGGTAGTCACTACCGCCAGGAACAAAGCTCCGAAGCCGAAGATGGCCGTGCCTCCATCAAAACGCCACGCTCGCCGACGATTGACGAAAAAGCCCCAGATGGCAAGTGCGATAGTGAAGATGAGTAAGAGAGTGGAGTTGAAGACGTTGCGGACAGCGTCGCCGAGATCGAAGACTGTCCGTGATGGAGCTAAGGCGGTAAATGTGAGAGCCGAGGCGGAGATTGCTAACGGACCGAGGACGCAGAAGATGAGTCGAGTTTCAAGACGTGAGGGGAAGAGGAGGGTTAGGAATTGGATATGGGTCAGCTGCGGGTTAGCGATTAGCACTGTGGTCACAGTGAATTCTTCAACTCGATGCCAACGTTACTTGGAGACATTGTTGTACGATGACTAGATGGACTAAAGGAGGCGTGGTCTGTGCCAGACTACGGGAGGGTGTGGTGTGTCCATTCACCGAGGGCATATACCGAGAACGATGACAAACAACCGCAAGCAGTTGGAAGGGAATGGAGAGACCAATGATATATAACCCACGTTCGACAACCCAGCATTCAGAGCTTGCAGGAAATACCAAGCTCCTTTCTGACCGTTGGACCAACCATTCCTCGGTATGGGAACTGCGACATAATCCAGATCGTAAGGCCAGTGATCCGCTCGGTCGGCAGAATGACCTAAGACGAGGGCCATTTTAGTGACGACGCTAACGAGGACGACGAAAATGGATGAGAGTTGTAGACTATAGTTGAGTGGAGCAAGGGGGTAGTGATATTGAGTTGTGACTGTGTGTCAGTGATCCTTCTGAATGCTGCCCTTAGCATACGATATATATCCCAGATTACCTGCATTGAATAACCGGCGCTGAGTATCGTCCACCATTCCACCACTCGATAAGCCGCCCTCCACTCCCAACTGCTCCACTACACGAGTACATGAGTATTCTGACATGGACCGGGAGATCAGTGAAAACGAGGAAGGGCTGTGAGGATCAAAGATAAGACGTCTGAGGAAAGACCCACAGAGGAGATGTATGAGAAGAACCATCAACAAAGTCAAGGTGATACCTCCTACGAACAACTGGATCGGCAAAGAGTCGGCGAACGAGGGTTGGTATGCCAGGTATGGGTCTCTATCTAGCATGTAACCCATGCCGGTCGCCGGCAGGTTGATTTCGAAGTCGCTCACATCCATGATGAGGGAATGTTATGGTGTTTTTGATAGCATTGCGAAGAGTAAAACGAAGTCTAATAGAGAAGAAAGGGCGGCTGAAGTTCGATCGACAGGAAAGATGTGGTCGTCGATGATATTGACTACAAACAGGGTTCCCCAGGGTATTGGACCGCATAGTATATCGGTCAGTACGTGAGATTCTGAGCTTCAGCGTCATCTTCTCGCGAGCCCGGTTCGATTCCGGGTGTGGTCTGCTTTTGCTTTTACCCGCATGTGACAGATGACTCGCGGTAGGGACGCACATTGGTTGTGAAGGCTATCTGCAGGTATTATGGCGTAATGCATGACCTTGATTTCTGACCGAGGATGCGCTTCTGGGCAAAGGGAAATGTACTGTATGTGTTTCAAGCCGAGCGCTTTTCGCCACCGCATTGGGTGAAATCTTCCAGGTCTTTCTCTCATCATCCGTGTTGCCTTTCGTTGCGTATTCCAAGTCATATCACAACCGGCAGCTCCAGCAGCAGTTAGCAAGCATCCATATCAAATCATCATCACCATGTCTCAAGACTACTCTCCTGCAGAACAAGCCATAGCCGTGAGTTGTTCCGTATTGTGTCCTCATCGCCGCGCTGACGACCCAGTGGGCAAATGTGAGTTTCTTCAACACGTCCCCATCTCCATCCTTATCATTTTCTCTCCCTCGCGTTTCCTCTCAAGGCTATATATCCTTTCTCTTAGCGTTGATAAATAATTGAGAAGTGTATGAAGTATTGACCAACAGTATTACGCTCAACAAGGTTACGACCCAATATCAATCTGTCAAATGACTTCAACAACCTATGATCCTTCCACTCAAACTTATTCTTATCTAGGTGCACCTTCTTTCTCTTCCGCTCCTGGACCATATTCAGAAGTAGGTATAGCAGGTCCGAGCACTACCGTACCTCCCGTTTCCTCTTCGACATCGGGATTAGGGATATTAGGTGGTTTAGAAGATAAACATTCGAAATTATATAATAAACCTTTGTTGGATCATGATATAATCAATCAACAAGCTGCATATGATCCTAATCAAAAGATTGAATTAGCGAAAGCTGGAAAGAGATTACCGGGAAAGAGGGAGACTGTGATTAGGAAAGGGAATGGTAAAACTTGGGAAGATCCTACTTTATTAGATTGGGATCCTAGTGAGTTCAGAAATCGGTTTCTTCTTTCTTTTGACTTTACAATTCTTTCTGCCAATCCTTGCTCTTTCTTGTTATTTCTCACTCCTCTCGCTTGAGACTTTGTTTTCTATTTTCTCACGTTGACCCAGAATCGCTTCTCGCGGTAGGGGTGGGGAATGGGCTGGGATGGAGGAAAGGGAAAAGAGGGAGGGTTCAAATGACATGACTAACACTGACCAACATAGAATGGTTTCGTCTTTTCGTAGGAGACGTTTCAAACGACGTAAACGAGAGAGTTTTAGATGAAGCGTTTAACAAATATCCGAGTTACTGTAAATGTAAAGTCGTCAAAGATCATTTATCTTTGAAATCAAAATACGCTTTTATAGCTTTTAAAGATCCTGAAGATTTTTTAAGAGCTTGGAAAGAGAATGATGGTGAGTTATACTCCTTTTTTTGGTTTCCATCTTGATATTCCCCGTCCATAATCTCCTTTATCTTCCTCTTCTCTCCATATAACTTGTCGATTTCATATGGTATTACCTCTCCTTGACGATCTGTCCTCCTTTTTGTATTTGTCAACTATTTACTCTATCTTCGTATCCAATATCGACTCTTCCTCCTGTATTCATAAACATTCAAACCTCTTTTCATATCCAATATCGACTCTTCCTCCTGTATTTTCATAAACATTCAAACCTCTTATCACATCCAATATCTACCTTTTCTCCTGTATCTTCATATCCATTTCACCTCATCTCATGTCCAAGTCAACCTGAACCTCTTTATGACATATTCCCTACCCAGTCCCATCCTCGGCTCTGGCGTGAGGGGAAGAAAGTTTACTTTCAAAAAATGACATTAACCAATAGGAAAATACATAGGGAACCGACCTATCCGTCTGAGTAAAGTTCGTGATGACAAATACGGTTCGATAGCAACAACGAAAGTATCCGGAAGGAAAGCCAGAGAATTAGATAAGTTAAGAAAGAATCATGGGAAACCTTTAGATGGAAGACCTGTTCCATGGTGAAAACCCATATTTTCTCCCTTGTTCTTCTCTTTTCCCAACGTGAATGATTCTTTCGGTTCATGTATACAATTCAAATATCAAAACAATAAGTTTCTTTATTCCTTCGTCGGCTTTTTAATACCCTCTCAATCGCCTTTCGGGGAGTTATCATACTTTCAACCTCTTTCTCGGCTATCTATTACTATTTTACCCTTCCTATCCGCTACCTATCACAAACTTGACCTTCCAGGTTATCGCAGTGGAAGACGTCAAATCGATTATCGGCATTGAAGTAGGGGGAGAGACGAGTAAAGACGGAGAGATTGGACGGAAATCATTCATTTCAGGTCAATCACTCAGGGAGATGCACCCAGACCAAAAGAGATCAGGCGGAAGACCTTTGAGAAGAGGAGATAAAGTACATAGAAAGCAAGAAAATAGGATGCATCATTGTAAATACCCAAGATTATCATTCACCCTCATATAGTTCAAAAACTCTTATTGATCTCTTTCTACATTAATTCCATTTCTGGTTGAAACATTGATCGTTGTCCCACATCTCTATACTCATACCCAGATTATCGCTGAATCTCCTCATCAAGTTTTTAGATCTGACTTTCCTTTCTTCTTTCCTTTTGTTTGTCCCACTGAACCCTCCTGAGTGTGTCGTCTTTTGACCGATGTGTGAGTTCCCGAACCGACCGTCCTCCGATTGCGGTCATAAATCCAGTGGTTCAACTCTAATGGAGTAAATGAAGTAACGACAAAGGGTGTTTGTAAAGTGACCAAGAATCGTACTCATCTTCCTCTTCTTGGTGTCGTACCCATTCGTCTTGGGGTCATACCTATTCTTGCTCCATTGGTAGAATTATTCAATCCTGAGCCTACACCTATACCTACTCCAGATCCTGAGCCCGTTCCTGATCCTGAAGCGGGGGCAGAGTCAGAGACAAAAGTACTTTGACCTCCTTCGATACTTGCCAAAGTCCTCAACATGACCATCGTATCTTCTTTCTTTCTTGATCCCGATGGAACGGAGACGAGCGAGAGAGGATCTAAAGTGTCTGACGGATCGTGCGTTTGATGAGATGTTTGCGAAGGAGAAGTTTGTAAGTCTGAAATGAGTGAAGAGAAGATCCCATCTAAGAATCGAGTGGCTTGGAGGGAATATTGTAATGATGTATGTGTGAGATGATGGAGGTTGTCGACCTGATTATTAGCGATGGAACATATTTGAGGATATTTTGAAAATCCGAGATGGTCAAGATTAAGCATCTCCTCTTTGTGAGAATGGGAGAATGGGGAAATGGGAGAATAGGCAGAATACGAAAGAAAGAACTCACTTTAAACTCCACCTCTCCGAAATCACCCAACCCTTCTATATTCCCTTCACCCTCATTGATCACCTCCTCTGCCAAAGTTAAAGCCCTTGACATCCATTCATCTCCAATAGACAAGTTTGTAAACGACGGTTCGGGGTTGGGCAATTTTGAATTGATCTCTTTGACCACTTTAGCTTGTTTTTCATTGGCAAGATGAATTAGTCTAGACCATAGTCGATCTTCTTCCTTACATCTAATTATTAGTTTTTCGTACTCTTTTGTATTTCCTCTACCCCTTCATGCTTGCCTCCCGTCATGTGAGAAGTCCCATCTCCTATTGTGGCTGGTCAAGTAATTGGGATGAGAGGATAGGGGGATGAAGGGATGTTTTGGATGACTGGGGATTTGATGTCAAAGGGGGTGAGAGCTCACCGCTTAATCACAGAATTCATCTTTGCTTCTACCTCTTTATTACTGTTATTTCGCGGATGAGGTCGGAGTGGTACCGAAGTTGATCCTCCAGCCTATCGGGTCAGCTATTTTCCAAAACGACTGATATACACTTCTGCGCACTTCTACCCGCCCCAAAGTGATATCCATGACTTCGGTTTCTATGTTGGCATTCACTCAACGAAAGTTAAGTTGAAAGATCTATCTTACGAAACACCCCTCTACGACAGTGGGGTGAATATGATTGATAGGTGAAGACAGAATCTTTACTCACCCCCGCAAAAACATTCGTATCAATTCCACCCTTACCCAAAGTCATCATGAACTCTTCCATTATCTCCCTCACCAACTTATCACCTTCTTCCGTTCCCATATCTCGCTGTTTCCCTTTCCCCTTCTTTTCCAACTCATCATCCGTTGCTCTTTTTGAACAATAAACTAAAAGATGTCTTGCTCGTATAGGTTCAGGAAGCGTCGTACTTATATGTTTATATAAATTTGAACTTTCAACAGAATGATGTGGGATAGAGATATCACCTCTACCTAAACTTGAACTCGCTCTTTGACCTCTCATACCCATACTACTCCTTCTAGCTTGAGCTTCTCGTATTTCTCGATTTTTCTTTATCATAGGTGTTTCACTATCTGGTACGGGTACCAAAGCTTCTGATGTAAGATCTCTTGTACCCATCATTGATTTACGTGTTTTCCTTATGAATCCACCAGTTGGAGGTGGTGGTGGAGGGGCCATGTTTCCAACGATGATAGACGGTTGAGTTGAAGAAGTAGATGAAGGTTTTGATATTGAAGAAGATAAAAAAGTACGTCGAGGTGGAGAAGAAGGACGTGGCATTGACGCTCTTGGTCTTGAAGGTGCTGAGAATTCAAGGAAATCGATAGGTTGTGAATGAGTTTTTGATGATTGTGATAATTCTGGAAGTTTTGAACGTTGTTTAAGACCTGTACGTTGCTTTTTCAAATCGGGGGAGAGAGGTGATCTTTCTCTTATCGCTCGTGTGGATTCCCGACGTCTGGCAATTTTCTTCTCTGAAGGTGGTGGAGGTAAATTTATGATTTCTTCCGGTGGTGTATCTGATGAATTTTGTTGAGGAACAGGTTGAGGTTTGAAGACTATTACATTAGTGAATACATTCTACACCTAATTCCCCTCTCCGCTATGTGACCTTTCCTTCTTTCAAGTCCTAATGATTCTCTTCTTCTCCCATCAAATGGAGATCCGTGACAACGAAGAGTCGATGATCTTCCTCAACAGTATTGGTGGAAGATAAGAACAGTGTTGATAAATACCTTTTTTCACTTCCTTTTTCCTTTTCTTACTCTCAGGTCCAATGATTCCCATACCAAAAACTTCATCCCTCTTCCTCGCCACTCCATTAACCCAAGAACCCGTGACCCCATTCCTAGTATCCGTCAACGCTTCTCCTCCACCGGATAACCTGGCCGAACTTCGTCTTGATGCCATGCGTCTTTTTTACCGATGGGTTGGTATTGTTTCGTAGATGTTTCTTGATATCCCCAATTGACAGTCGTATGTTTAGGTGGATCGTATGCAAAGTGGGTATAGATGAAAGAGAAGGGAGGGGTGGTGGGGGGTGGACTTTGAACGTCGCGTGGCGAGTTGTTTAGATGCTTCTCTCAACCGCGTCGGGATAAATTAAATATTAATTTCATCCGGATTTATTCTACATTTCCATACAAAGTTGTATGGTGAGGATGAAAGAAGTGAAGTGGAACAAGGTGATGGTGATAACGAAAGGGTCATGAGTAATGTCGCTTTGATCATATTAGGATGTGTATTCGTCACTCAGTTGGTGAATTGGATAGGAAAGTCGGTTTTACAAGATTTGGTTGGTGCTTGTTTCCTTCTTCCTCTCAATCCCTCTTTCCCTCTGTCCCTCTGTCCCTCTGTCCCTCTGTCCCTCTGTCCCTCTGCCCCTCTGTCCCTCTATTTTTTCCGCTTCGGACCTAACTTATTGGTCGCTGTCCATTTCTTAAGTATACTCATCTTTCTCCTTAAAATATGTATCTCCCAGAGGAATGTCAAATCTGATCAACAGACATTCGCCCTATACTCCCGTATATTCCTCTCTGGCTCAATATCACAACAAGTTAACCTTCGACGACAAATCATCTCCGATAAAGCCCAGCTGAACCGGACTTCTTCACAAGATGAATTTTCCAAATGGGCGAAATTGCGCCGAAAGGTGGATAAAGGTTTGTCAGATTTAGAAATATTGAGTGAGTCGTACCTTTTTTCTCCTCTCTTCTTACCAGAATGATCTACTACATACTTCTTATGACTCTACTACGATATCAACGTCATCCTGACTCCTGTTTCATTTTCGACTACATTCGACTGACCATGTCACTTCTCTTTCACCTACTTCTCATCACCTACTTCTCATCACCTACTTCTCATCATCTACTACTCATTGAGAGGACATTAGATTATTTGACTGATCTTGGGGATACTCGGAGAAGTGAGACAATCAATACTGCTAGTGGGAAAATCTAACCTGTAGACAAATCAATCACCTCAACTCGGTCTTCTTTCAACATCAAATTCTCTTCTTTACTATGGATAAGTACAACAGGTATTCAAATTTTCATAATCTGGTATCATCGCTTTCAACCTATTTTCTGGCTTCCGAATGGTTGGATACCATATCCTATTGAGTGGATATTAAGTTTTCCTTCAGCTCCAATCGGTACGTCCCTTCCCCTCTTCTTTACACATATCTTCTTTCAGACTTCTGCTCACGTCCCCTTTCACATTTGACACCCTGAACGTTTGTGGCGTACCCTTTACATTGTTACTCAGACGATACGCTCATGATCTCAACTATATGCATCGTTGCCTGTCCTATTGTATCCTGTCATTTCTGAATCTTCTCGACGGCGATAATCGTCTCGATGATGTGAATGAAGCTGAATATCAGGTTCGGTCAGTTCAGGAGCTTGGTGCGCTATTTGTCGAAGAGTTTTACTTAGTCTGGCGGAGATATCCAAGAATTTGATAATACCAATATCAGGTGAGTCAATATACAAGTATTTGGTATATTAAACTAACGAACAGTCTCTAAACCTGTCCTTACTAGTAAGTCATCAATAGTATAACCTAAGTCTACTAACCGTCAGATTCATACGTTTCAGAACAAAAGGAGACGGTAGAGTTGGAACATGAAAAGCTTGATTGATGTCATGTTTGAATAGAACCATGTAAATGACCAATTCATGGAAGTACAGGAATGACTGAAATACTTGGTAGAATGACATTTTTATCATCTGACATGATGATTCTGACTGATTGTGTATTGATAATCCTGTTTCTGCATGGAATGGACAGCTTATGACCCATGATTCCAAAAGTTGACATCTAAGACAGAGGTAGAGAAGCTGAGAAAAGGGGGAAACATTGTTCGAAAGTGATGAAAGAGCGGACAGAGGTTCAATGTGGGTAAGGAAGGAGAGAATTCGTTTGATCATATCTTTCTACGTTTACCCTCTATCCCATCGGTCTGACCATTTTCATGTTCGACTTTTCGTTTCACATCTATACCCGATTCAAAATCATACCTTACGTTTCAGCCCCGTATCTTCCTCATATTCTCATATGCAAAGAACAATTAAATTGGAAAAATGTGTGACAAAAAACAAATAAACATCCATGCACTTTAATTCTAAATCTACCTGTATCCCCTTCTTTCCCTTGACACATCCAACATCCAACCTCATTCTCCTCTCTAACCAATGTTTCACAAGATCCAACACCAAAGAAGAGATTTATCGTCCAACTCCCACGAATAAGATCAACGGCAAATGGGAAGATATTAAAGACAAAGCTCACTGCTTACTGAAATAAGCTAGTTTGTTACTAGTATCAATAGTCTCTTTTCCTTCTTCCCATCCTGCTGGACAAACTTCACCATGTTCGTCTGTGAATTGGAACGCTTTGACCACACGAACGGTTTCTTCTACCGAACGACCGACGGGGAGATCGTGGATGTGAGATGCGCGGAGGATACCTTTGGGGTCGATGAAGAATGTTCCTCGGAGAGCTATACCTTCTTCGGGGAGGAGTACTCCGTAGGCTTTGGCGACGGCGTGAGAACGGTCGGCGAGCTGTAAGGGCGAGCACGGTTGAGCACGAGCGAAGCGAGTATGAGGGAGTGCGAAAGGGTGTGGAGGAGTGTAGCGGGTACAAGAGAATGGTAAAGGGACGAGGGAGTGTGGAGAGTACGGCAGAATAGGAGGGAGTGGGGAAAATGGGAAAGCCAGGTGAGACCCGTGGAGGAAGCATAGGGTTTGAGTGAGGAGTATGGGTTTTGACATGTCGGATTGCGTAGGGTCGGGTGGTATAAGAGGGTATGTGTGAGGACAAAGGAAGGAACAAGGACGATTCATGAGATGGCATGTGGGGTCAAGATGTCCATTGGTACGGCACGCGCAGTGAGTCATGTGATAGCCGTGCAGCAGAAACAATTGAAATCATCCGTAGATGATGTGGTGGGTGATTATGATCGGAATGTGGAAAGTATCAAATGATCGGTTAGAAGGGGTCATGTGTGATCAAAAGAAAGAAGAGAGTATATCAGCCCACATCCAACTTTTTACACAAGAATAGAAAACCCACCAAGGTCAACTTGAGATCAGGTCCTAAACCACCTTCCTGACGAGGAGTCTGACTCCAAGCGAGATGAGTGAATTCGGAATCGGTAGAAACGCAAATGACCTCTGCGTCGATTGCGGCGAATTGAGGAAGGGCCTTGTTGAAAGCGAGGATCTCGGTAGGGCAGACGACTGTTCGTTGGGGAGTAGTAAATTTGTTGGGGAGTGTCAAAAGAGACGATAATGGGGATGAGAAGGTTGTCATAGACAGAAAGATCGTCGGATAGTAAACGAGCAAGAAGAGGGGGAGCAGGACGGGATCGGGAGGTAAGGGAGGATATGGTAGATTGAGTGACATGAATGGTAAATACGAGAAGAAGATATGATTGTAGAGTAGGGAAGGATCAATATCAGCCGAATACAAGATGTAGTAGAGAGAAGATTACTCACAAGTAAAGTCCATTGGGTAGAAGACTAAGACTACCCATTTCCCTTTGAAATCCGCAAGTTTGATCTCATCGAAAGAACCTTCTTTCACGGCTGTCCCTGCGAAGTCGCTGATTATCAGCTTGAACAACTACTGTCTTATAGTTCATACACCATTCCCATCCATCTCTCCCTCTCACTTTCTCCTTACTCATCTCTCATCGAGCGAAGGAGTGTTTGTATCGTCGCCTACGCGTCCTCCCTTTCACGCCAACCTTCCCACGCCACGTCTGTGACCAATGTCGATGGGGACGACTCACGGTGCTGGTTTTTGGATCTGAGGTGACATGGTTGTGATCTTTTGTACTTTGTCCTGTTATAGAAATGGCAAGTGGTTGTGGTTGTGGAAGAAGAAAGTGGTAGGGAAGAGTAGAAAGTCTTGTGTAAATTCCACAAAGTTCCACGGTGAACGGAAATGCCGTGTGGCGGATTACTGTACGTTGATGGCGTCAATCATTCAGGGACGAGATAAGCGTTCTCTTTTTCGGACTTGACCGGGCCGGGGAAGCGCAACCTCTCTTTCTCCTACTCACAGTTGCCGGTGTAAATGCTCAAGTAGGAGTACAAGTACAGCACGAGTAAGGATATCGGATCAGACCGAGAAGATCGAAACATCGTCTTCCCACCTCATACCGGGAACAGGATATGAGACCCAGTCAATGTGGTTCTCACAATCGTTATATACACGACAACTACGTGCAATGCGGTGAACATGATCCACTCGGTTCTGAATCGGTCCTAAATCGTTCTTCTGTCGGGTACTATACTCAAATCCAGACGTTGACGCTAGGATCATATTCGATTCTCTGATTCTCTCTCTCTCATCAAATCCTCGTATGCATCACCCGCTTTCCGTACATCTTTCACCCTTCAACTACTTACCTCCTTATCTCTGTACAAGCCGTCGAGCATTTATTCCCATGAGGCCATGCGATGCTATCCCTAACATTAAATATCCTTGTTGCACACTCATCACAACTTGACCATTTCGAAATTGTTATGGGGAAATTTGACCTCTTGAGAGGAACATTATAAATAGCATGAGATTCAGCATCACGAGGTATGTTGAATAAGTTGATGACACTCAACGGAGTTGGAGTTGGAGGTTCACAGGGGAACTTTGACAGTTCGACGTAAAGTGCCAAATTCGTTACCACAACATGTGTCATCTAGTCGCAGGTCAAGAAGAGGTCCCAGAAGATTGGGAAGTATATTGTCAATGGATATGAAATTCAAGATGAAAGGTAAATGTTTCTAAACAGTCACATCTCACATGTTTGAGATGTTCTCCGATCTCGCCACGAAGTGTTTTGAGCCCGTGTCCCGGGGAGGGGGGAGGGGGGGGAGGAATTGAACCGCATGTAAGGAAAGTATGGACCAGACGCCTTCCGAAAACTTCTCACATGTTGTAGAAATAGTCCGACCTGAAGTCGGGAGTGTTTTGACTGTGCTTCTGAGGGGAAATTAATGTATCGTAATATCATCAGAGAATCTCACACATGAGTACGGAAAACTTATCATGACCAAATACCAACCTCATACCTATAAATCTTTCCAAAAGAGTCGATTGAAGTTCTCACTAGTGGGAGTTATGCTGTTCATACGTCGTAAGTACTGGTCATGAGAAACTCTTGGACCACTAACAACTCATATTCATTTCCTCCTAGTCGTGCAAGCCGTGGAACATTTAGTACCATGCGGCCAGCAGTTCGTATTTTCAACATCGATCATTTTGTTCTCACAAGTATCACAATTTGAGCAAGTTCGACCAAACCGAGCCATTGTCATAGTCTGTGCCACTGTGAATGTCCTCACTGGACCATCAAACATTAATCTTGCTTCCACCCGCCTGTTGGCGTTTTCCGAACATTTGGTGGAACAAAATTGCCCATGAGGCCAAAGTACCGTATCCGAAACGTTGAACAAATTCGTGTTACAACCCATACAAAGTGACCACTTGTCACCCTCCTTGTCCATCTGATTCTGAGTGTGATTATACACAGGAGTATTGAATCCAAATCTCACATTTGAGGTCTGCCCGGCACAAGATTGAGTACAATATGGACCATACCTCCAACGAGATTGATCTTGACCTTGAAACATTATTGTTTGACAAGTTTGACAAGAAGGCCAATGATCTTGATTAGGATCGAGAAGTAAGATTTCTTGGGCTGATAGTTGATATGTGGCATGATCAGGCCAATCACGGACCCACATTTTATTTTGTTCAAACATGATTTGATCGATTGAGAATTGAGAAGGTTCATATTGAAAGTTTGATAATGGATCACAGTTGAAGGTTGATTGGTCAGGTGGGTTCGGGGGTGATTGATCTGGAGTTGGAAGGTATTGTGAGATGTCATCTTCGTTGTAATTAGAGTTGTTCATATCGTCTTGTATCTTTTGCTTCTTTGATGGATCTTGAATTGATTAAAATAATGTATACGTAGATAGAATGTGAAGTTGGTATGAGTCCTGATAAGGATGGTTGACTTGACTTCTTGAGGGAAACGGTACGATTATATATTTCAGTCGAGTGTCAGGCGGAGTTGGTCGGGTGAGGATGATACAGTATGTTTTGAATCGATGGTATTCAAAGGAGTTCCGGTCGGGGTCGGAGATACAGTAAGATCCCAAGTGTCAAATTTGAAACATCAAAGTCATATGTGTCTTGTCTACTCTACAATCACGACATATGTGACCATTGTGTAAGGAGGTCATCATCACTAAAAGGAGCTTCAGGTAAGAGATGGAAGAAAGGAGATGATAAAGATTTTGTGATATTTCTTCCTCGCGTTTCTTACAATTCAGTCCGACATCATTCATCTCATCTATCGGAGAAATATCTTTCCTTATTGTCCCCAAGTGTCCGAACAAACATCGGAACAAAAAGGTTGGTTAGGCCAAATTTTTTCGATCCGAGATTTGTACATGATAATCCCACAATCACAACTTTCCATCCAATTATTCTCATCAGGATCTAAGGATAACATTTGTGGTTTTGTCAGTTTTGTCACTTGATTCCATTCTGAAAATTTGACATTATAACTTTCACCTTGACATTCAACTGAACAATATCGACCGTATGGCCAGATTGAAATATCGTCAGCTCGATACATTGATATACCACAAGAAACACATGGAAATGTTAATGTATCAGTAGGATCGAGATATGTTTGATAATCTTTTGAAACTGAGATAGGATCTTGATAAGGAGACATTTTTAATGAGATTGGAGGGGTTTGTTCTTGTATCGTTGAAAAGTCTTCGGATGAAGTTGGATCATAGTTCCCTTCAGTGGCTGTGTTGGTTTCTTGACTTGTTTGAGGATTATAATCCCCGATAAGAGCTCGGTTGGAAGAGGAATATTGTTGAGATTGATATTCTGGTAGCTTGTTGATCAGCTTGGCATAGTCATGAAGTTTTGGGTCTATCGGAGAAAGAGAAGTACCTTGGGGAGAATGTGAGGTATGGGTTGCGTTGTGTCCTGATGGACGAGATCGAATGGGCAGGGAGTCGATCTTTTGAGGACCGCCGGAATTGTTTTTCGACCTTCGAGATGGCATAGTGACTCGATCTCTATGTTTCTTTTTGGTTTCAAGGATTTCTTGCTCTTGATCGAACGTAATCAAAGTAAAGATTTGATGCTTTCGACTGTGGTAGTTTTTGAGTTCGTGTGTCGTATATTGTCAAGGGTTGTTCAGGTAGAGTAAGTATATGTTTAAAGGGATGTTGATAATTCTATCATACGTTTTCCAAGGAAAGAGACGATTGGGAGAGACGAAGGGAAATAGATTGTTATATAATCGAGTTGTTTGTCTGAATCGGTATTTTAATCGGAACGAGTATTGAACAGCAATGTCTCCGATCAATTAAGCACGTCAAAATGTTTTCGACTGTCGTGATTGCCATGATCTTGAATGAGGCTGAAGCATGAAAGACCAGATGAATGAAATAAATGATAGAATGATTGCGTTTCATGATCAAAGTCAGAAACTCAGTCGTAAGTCGTCATATTACGTTATCATAAAAAAAGGATGTTGAAAGTCAGTTTCTGTGTCAGCGTTTGATAAGGATCAAGACAATGAGAAATGATTCGACTCCCCCCCGTCCCTTCAATTATACCCATCGATTAAAGAGAGAAGAGTTAGACGTCGAGTGATATCCCAAGGTCTAAAGGTAACATGAGTCGATAAGTCAAGTCCGTTTCAATCAGTATGCATCCCAACTTATCAGTAGAAGTATCTGAGTGTCACACACCCATCTCAATCCTCCTAATCTAACCTACCGTAGTATCACATGTGATAGCTTTCTCTCCTCTATTCATCAGTACTCAGCACATCCTCGGAATCAAGTGGAACCTGAACCATATGCTTGCGTCTTCTGAGAAGCCTTCAAACATCTCGAGGTGCAAAAAGAACCATTTGGCCAACGATAGAAATTGGCCGGACCATACATGATAGTCCCGCAACTCGAACAATTCCCCCAATGGAGAGGATCAGCGTCAATCAAAAGATGCTCGTCGAGATTCATTGAAGCGCTGTTGACGTCGAAATTCAATCGAACATTTTCGGTAGCCGGTTGAATTGTAGCCAATGACAACATATTCTGAGCGGTACGACTTCGAGAAAGACGCGTAGGCAACCCAGAAGGTTGTGAGTATGTCATGAGGACATTACTGATACATTCCTCCATTGACATCTGGGGATATATATCTTGATTGACTGGCCGTCCGAGGTAAGATGCTTGTTGAGAGGTATGACCAAGATCTGCTTTGTCTCCCTTTGGAGTCTGAATATCGTATTCATCATCAAACTCGTCGAATTCTGCGTCTTTATCAGTCTCTTCAGGGATAGATACAATGATGTCTCCCCGATTTTTATTGGCAGACGAAGCCGAATCAGCGGCAATTGCGGCCCTAAAATAGTCCAATGTGGCTTTATCGGTGGGATACCCAGGAGTCTGGGGATCTACGAGAAGAGAACCAATGTCGATTCTAGTATCATTCGGATTGGGTTGAACTGAATTCGAATGACCTTGCGAGGAACGTCTTTGATGGACGATTGGGAACGACCGAATGCCTTCATTTTGTGTTCGTTATCTTTGACTCAGCAGATGTATTTAGATAGTGACCACTGATCAGATGATTGTTCTTTAGTGTTTGAGTATAGACTGGCTGATGGATTGTGCGTTGATCGAGGTAATGAGTGTAAGAACGTAAGAACGTATGAAGTGATAAGAGCGAACGGACTCATATATATTTCTCCAATCTCCCCTAGTCGGCGTACAAAATGAAACTCGTGTCAACAAAGGATACGAAGGGGGTGGTATCGGTGACCACCAAACTCCAAACAAGGCATTAGAGGAGAGTCGGAACGTGTGCACAGGCTTCGGAGATCGTCTTGAGATGAAAGCTCGCATTGACGAAGTCATCGCTAATTACATAACAAGACCGTTCGGACTAATAAGGTCCGATAATGGAAGGTGAAAGCGAAGTGTTGGATGGTTGACCTGTTGGACGATGGCGTGTTTAAGATGGACGAGTGAAAGGAATGGCGGATGTGTCATGAGGAGTAGATGGTATGGAGCGTAATATGCCAGCCATTTTGGGGAGGGGGGGGGGGACATGTTGTTGACAAGGATGAGAGTATTGTGGGACGAATTAGAGAGTGTCGACATGTAGCTTATATCCAATCGAAGATCACTGACAATCATGGAAATCATATAGCCGCTCTAGTCTTTAACAAGGTCTAATATGGATTTATATCGGTGTATCGCCAGAAATGAACATCCGTCATCTCTGAGCCCTTATGATTTCCTGTAGACCGTGGCATGACATCTTGGCTGTTGCAAACTTGCACAGTCGACCGTGGACCAGTGCCTATAGATTCGTGAAGTTTCAAAGCGAAGTCAGCTGTTGAGCGATGAGATATTCTACTTATCGCGGAACTTTGAACCCTTTTCTCTTCGGTACATACCCCTTGAGAAAATTCAATCCCTTCGCTACTTCCTCCACTAGATTTTCAAAGTCGGCATCGTAAATCTTAGATGACAGATTAGCCACGTAAATCTTCTCTGCCTCGTTAGTCTTGTTCACTACAACAATCTCTCATCCACAAAGGATACATTTCAGTTTTCGGAATTTGAATGTGGCTTGCGAAATGAAAAAAGGAAAGGGAGTATGATAATGGTTCTTCGAACTCACCTTGATCAAGTAAATCTATATCACCTCCAATGCCACGATTCACCACGGCCTCTACAGCAACTTTAAACCTCCCTTTCACTCTGTTACGCTCTACGGCGTATTTCGACACTGCATTTTTGGTGACTATGATACAAAATCGAATCATCTTGTCTCCCTCCTCCTTCTTATCCCTCACGCTCTCTTTACCCTCGCTTCTGATCCATTCGTCTTGATCGTTTCGGCTGTAGCTTCTTGTGACATCACTTGTTTCGGCTCCGGTGTACGGTGAGATAGATGTCAGGGTCGGTAAAGATTTTTTGTTGTTGGAAAATGGGGTTTGTGTTAGTTGAGCAGAGCGCACAGACAAGCGGATAGGGAATGGTGGGTTTGGTGCTGGGGGTAAAGATGAGGAACGACAAGAACGTAGTGAGAAGAAAGATGAACGATATGTTGGTATACCTCTACGGGTGAAGATGGGGGAGATCAGGTCGAAGTTTACACGTCTGAATGTTATCTGTAAATCAGTTCTTCCTGGGCTTATCGATGCCTCATTGTGGCCCATGCCACATGTCTAGTCTGAGGAATGGATGGGAGATGTACTGTAGAGGAGATAAAGAGCAACTTACTCTGGGACCTGTTATCCGACGTAGGGCTGAGAAATCCGGCATGGAGGGTATGACCGAGGAAGAGGATTTGAGTAGGCCTAGGGGTTTCATCTTTGTCTTATTAACCTAGCTCAAGAGTCACCGGCTACTTCTATCCTGTGAGATATTATATACTGAAGGTACAGTATCTTGAGTCATGTCATTGTCCTCTCCGGGATGTTGCAGGTCGTAATAGATCATGGAAGTATTTGCACGGCAATATGGTACATGTTGAAGGTGTCGAAGCTCGAAATGTGTTGAAGAGCAAACGATGCCAGTTCGATTAATTGCCATAAACCCCCTCTGTGTTTTCTACAACCAGTAGTACATCGCACGTAAGCACTCTGACACCACAAAAGCATCATATACTCTGAGAGAGAGATAGTAAGGACAGAAATCATATATATGCATTCTGAAAAGTTCATAATTTCAAACGACAGAGATAAGGCCTAGCTTAAGTTACAAGGAAACTAGCGATCAACGAATTGTATGCCAAAAGCGAAACCCCTCTTTCTTACAAGGGTGAACAAAGAGAAGTTTTAAAAAGGCAATTTCCATTTTACCGACTCCATTAAGTTCCAATCATAGTTATCACTAAAGGTCCCATGGTAGGTCGGTATACATATAGGAAAGAGAAATCCTCTCTAAACTCGGTGCCATGCCAACTTGGGTGGAAATTCAGTGCCACATTCATCGGTGTTATCGGAGTTTCGATCATCGTCCCTCGAAACCTCCTTCCCCCCTTGTTGGTGCGTTTGCAATCTTCATACCATAACATCAAGGTCACAAGATGGCAGACGTAGAAATGTCCTCTGCCCCAAAACCAAGGTCCAGTGAGTATTACCTCCTTCTCTTTCATATGTGCTGCCTAGTCGAGTGAGGGTCAAGGGGTTGGAATGGACGGTGAATTCATCGGGATATCATTTGAGAGGAGTCCTTCTCCGGGTTTGAGTGCGAAAAAGATGTTGTCAACGTGGATTCACTCGGATACTGTGGAAGAGGGGACATGATGTGCGTGGAAACTCACGGACAGATCTTCGAGTCGGCGCCAACAAAGGTCGACCCACTACCGTCATTCCCAAAGCCGAGAAACCTTCCCATAAGAAAGGTGTCAAATCGTGAGTCCATCGTTCTCCGCATCTTTGATATCTTCCTTCAAATCTACCCCATACAGTCTCTTGTTATTCCTTCCATTCAACAGTGCATTTTAGATCGAGCAAATCATAAGGATGAATATACTGGTCGAATGCTGTACCCGGAATCACCCCCCTGTGTAGAGGGATGACAATGAGAAAAACTTTCACTGACAATCAGCCAAAACAACGTCTTCGTCAGATCTATCATCCGTGAAGTCGCCGGGTTCGCCCCATACGAGAGACGTGTTATGGAATTGCTTCGTAACTCCAAAGACAAAAAGGCGAAGAAGCTCATGAAGAAGAGGGTGAGTTGGGTTTTTCTCTCAGCTCGACTTCTACCTTCCTTTTGAGCCCAATATCTCCCCCTTGATGAATGTGCTACAACTCTTGCGTTGTGTGTTCCTCCTACTTATAATTTCCCCTTGGGGGTGGTAGACCGCGCGCTTTGGTGGGGTTGGGTGATATACTGTCGCTATGGGTATTATCTTGTGTACACATGCTGATAATCAGCTCGGAACCCTCCTCCGTTCCAAGCGTAAGATCGAAGAACTTTCTGGAGTAATCCAGGAGCAACGTCGTCAAACCGGTCATTAGATCTGTAGTGTATTCATGCATTGAGATTTCCGAATCATCATCCTGTTCACATGTGTCGTCTCTCGTTTCACACCCTCCTCATCCAGATCTTCCTGATCGTTAACTCACGTCCCACAACATCTCTCAATACTCTTTCCTTGAACGGATGTGCTTATGGTCCCCTCAAGGTTCTACCATTTGCATTGTGTCATGTGTCGTGCGTGCTATTGATTGCTCTATGCTACATACTGTTAAATCAAACCCTCATTCATACATCCCTCCTTCTCTCACTCTTCTCCTGGTCCAACCTTCTGGCCTCACCCTCCGCATCCAACGCCTCATCTTCAGCTCCATCATGTCCAGCCTGAGCACGGGAACGCATAGTTGATAAATCGCTTCGGAAGTGATTCCCACGATGTTTCCATCCGAACTGATCTCAGCGGCAGTACTCAATCCCAAGTTCCGACTGTGACGAGTCACAAAACTACATGATCTCATGACCAGTACAATCTTGTTAGTTTGAGAGATTGGAAGATTAGGGTAATGTGGAGATCGAACGAGCACGGAGAGAACATCATCAGCCAAAGAGGCTTCGTAAGTTGCGCGGAAAGAAGAAGGCGAGGGAAAAAAGTATGAAGAGGTTCATATCAGAAGACGAACGTAACAAGTTTTATTGTCTCTCGACATGTTATGCTGCTAGGAAAGGGGAGAAAAGAGAGGAGGGAGGAAAGAAGAGTAAAATAAAAGCTAACCTTGATAACCCCTGTCAATAAACCTATCCCCATACCAGTTAATATACCAGGAGCAGCGAAAAAAGTTAATCCTCCTCCGAAAACACCTAAAGTCCCAGCAGCAGCAGCTACGGCTGCTCCTATAATTGCGTATTTCGCATATCGTAATACCCTACGGATGATATACCGAATCAAATATCTTATTTCTCAGCATTCACCGTTATTATTTCCTTTCGCAATTACAATATAATTCGCCATTGTTCCCTTTCACAATTACAATGTGAATAAAATTGTAATGAATCTTCTAACGGACGTATTTCTATAGACCATGGAGGATGATGAGGTATTGACGAAGAGAATACGGTCAGGAGAGAGGTTACGAAACTTACCTGGCAGTTGTTAAAGCTGTTCTAACTCTACGACTGGAAGGCACTGTACTGGCTCTTGAGCCCAGGAGTAGATAAGCGAGATTGGTACGTGTTTTCTGTAAAGTCGTTTCTTGAGGATTTTGGATTTGTTGGGGGGAGGGTTCGGATTCAGACATTTCTTAAGTATTGTAAGTATGATGAATAGATGTCATTCACATAGACCAGAGTTCGAAGGGTTATGTCGTCTTTGATGTTTTATATTCCACTCAATTCACCTGCTTTAAGACATTCGTTCAGATAACGAGGTACCTTCTTCAAGGGAGTTGTTCAAGTTGTGTATACTATATCTTAGTAGTGTGGTGAGGTTGATATGAAGAGATATAGAGGATAAGAAGATAGAAGATGAAGAAAGAGTGAACCGCCGAAAAAGCCGTCATGACGTCGACGATCGGCAGAACAAAAACTTTTGAACGTGTTCACTTGTTCCTCTTTAATCTTGATTTTATCCTTTCTCTCTGTCATATCTATCAATTGACTCTCCACGAGTGAAGGTGAGTAGTCTCTCCCTCCCACTGTGAACTTCAATGCTGATTCTTCCAAAAGGAAGATAAAGAGTATCAAAAATGTCACGTCCATTCCGAATCTTCGCTCTACCATTATCTCGTTTACCTCGTCCCAATCTCCCTCTCCCGCTTCCCAAAAACACTCCCCCTACAAAACCACTCGACTCTTCCACCTCAATTACTCCCAAAACGGAGAACCCAGAGCAAAACATAGTGAACAATGACTCAAATGAGACGAAAACATCCACTGTCAACCAAGATACAGACCAAACCTCCCCTCTACTCCTCTTTCATGTATCTCAACCTGACCCTTCACCAGAAAGTTCTCCACCTTCACTCACCTCCCGAGCTCTTCAACGTGCTTCGGACGCTTGGTTGAAATTAGGTGAGAAACCGAAAGATAGTTGGATGGGTTGGTTTTATTCAAGAGGGGAAGGATTGATGGATAAGATTGAATATGAAGAATGGGCTTTGAAAGGGGTACATGAGGGTAGAGGTGTGAAGTTGGTCAAAGATGGTGAAATACAGGAAAGAATAGAGGTGCGTTTTGAGAGTTTCTTTTATCATTTTATATATCACACATTCATTCATGATTCCCACGTTCAGTTTTCAATACCCACATTCGACTATGGAGTTTCGTTCATGGGTGTCGATTGTGTGTTCGGTTAGTAGATGGATTTTCATGAGGTTGTAGTGAAGTTGCAGAGGTGTTTCTATCTTGAGAAGAGGGGGGAAGAAGAGGGGGGGGGGGGAGATGATAGACATTTATGATGATAAAGATGAGCTCATAGTATGCAGATACCATTACTATACCCGAATTTGAAAGACCCTATGCCTCCGTTGATACCCAAACTAGACAAGATGTTGGTACATAGAGTTCCTTATCATCGAAAGATGATGATCCGGTCATTGGTATTGTGAGTTGCTCCCTTCTCACTAATCTTCATCAAACACTTTTCATGGGTACCTGGGCGCCCTTCCTCCCACCTTCATCTTGTCATCTCTCAACCACCTCCCTTTTCAACTTGTACCTAATTCAACAGCTCAACAGCTCAATAGTTCAACAGCCCAACTGACTCGCCCTCCTTCTTCCCTCCATACCCACCTATGTAGACATCCTCTTTCCTCGTTTCCTAATTGTCAGACCCATAATCCCTCTGCACCTGAACACCCAGTTCGTGATGTCATCGAATCATCAAGAGTCCACAAAAGCGTTTCACCCGTCGAACATGACTGACCCCAGCTCACCCGTCACCTTCCCCTTCGCCCTCATACCCATCATCCCCAATTTCCCCCTCTTTTACGTCTTATGGCGAGCTTGGAGTCATTACAAAGCCTGGAGAGGGGCGACATACCTCGAAGGATTATTAAGATTGGGTATGATCAAAGAAGTGCCATCGACGATTTTGACAGATGTGTACCAAGAATCAAATCATATGGACCACTCAGGACCTACGAAAGTATCTGAATCGAATGGCTTGACAGGAGTTGGGGATAGTACTTCTACACCTAAAGAAATGATTTACGCCCCGAACGACACTACGACTTCCACCACAATGAACGAATCTCCTGGGACAAATGAAGAAATGGGGGAAGTCATGGTCAAAGATGGGCAAGTGCAAGATGAAGGAGAAACAATGGACAATGTTGAGAAGACTACTGGACTCCAGGGAGAGAAAGAGAAAGAGAAAGAGAAAGAGAAAGAGAAAGAGAAAGAGAAAGAAGAAAAAGCTAACAATACATCTAGACATCCTAGTGTTTTATTATCCACCGAGAAAATATCCCGTCTGGCGGAGACATTCCACCTTAGACCACAAGAGATTATGGACATTACAAGAGCTGTGGAACAAGCTGATTTACGTGCGAAAGCTATAGATAAAGAAAATACTTCCATTGAGAATGATGGATCAGGATGGAGAGGGAATTTACATCGATAGAAAGATAAAGTATACGAGATGCATACATTTCAACAAATCCCTTTGCGTCTAAAATCCCTTCTCTATCCCACATCATGTGATAGTATCCGTTCTACGTCATAACAGGTTTTTATCCCATGTGGAGTGTAACGACTGGATGTACTTTTTTTTGGTGAGACGATGGTTCAATAAGGTTTTAATCGTTTAGAATTTCTCATCTCTTCCACTCTCGCTTTATCCGATTCGAATTGTTTTCGAAGACCTGCTAGTTCTACAACTTAGCTTTATCCTTTCGACTATTTCAAGGGTTCCGACGATGTTCGTAAAGTGACTTGGCCACGAGGTATACTAACACTGCCAGCCAGTTTTCCTACGAAGATTGTCATGGAAGAGATATTTAGGAAGTCATAATATCATAAAATTGAAATTGGTATTCCTCCAATGTTTCAACCTTTTTTGAACGTTGATAGGTTGATAGATACCTCACCGAAAGGAGAGAGGGGGGGGTGTAGATCAGAAAAGAAATTTACTAACCTTGTCTTCTCTTATCAGTACGTTGAAACTTATAAAATTCCCCAACTACTTCCAATTTCTTCTTCCGTTCAAACTTTTGCAAATTTCCTTTTTGACTAACTACACCAACACCCATTTCACCTCCAGTCCTACCATGTCTACCACCCCTAACGACAACCGTAAAACCCTCATCATCAACTAAAGCTCCTGCTCCTCTTTTCCTCGCACGAGAAGATAATAAAAGAGAATGTAAATGATCGTATTTATCCAAAGCACTATCCGCATGAACTTTTATAAGTGATAAATTCGGTCTTGAAGAATTATATCTTTTCAAATAATGATTTAATCCAAGTACTACTTCATCCCCATCTTCCCTTTCCATTTCTTCCTTACGTTTCTGAAGTTCTTTCCTTGTTTCAGAGCGTATAGAGGTATGGTGAGAAGATGATAGATAATCGTTCATTTGGATTGGATTGGGAGAAGAAGAGAATAATCTATTAAGAGAAATGTTCGAAAGAAATGTTATGTGTGCTGTTCTTAAACCTGATTTCCCAAATGGACGAGGTGGATTAGGAAGTGGTATGATTGAAGGTATTTTTGTGATTTGTCGTTTTCTACGTTTTTCACGACGAGAGATATTAGAGTTTATGAATGTTAATTCGGGTATCTTGTTTTTCACCTCATCTTCTGCAGTGGTATCGATATCGTTATGGTATTTTGATTCCTTCGAAACATCGTTATTGTCCTTTGATTCCACATGATCAGATTGAGACGCAGAATCAGAATCAGAATCGGAATCGGAATGAAAATTTTCTTCTTCATCGGCCAAAATGACACTTTCTAAAATATCACCAGTAGAACTTGAAGATAAAGTGATAGATTCAAGGACCCCCCATCGTTGGAATATCAATCGAAGATGTCTATCGGTCATATCTACTGGGAGGTTACATAGGAATATCGTTCTGTCGGATGAGGTGGTATCTGCAAGGGTGGATTGGGTGGATTGCTTTGAATGAGAGGGTCGGTTTGGTCTGACATAGATATAATGCGTCGAGAAGGTTGAAGATACGCCGGGGAGACAAGAAGAGAGGAGGAGAGGGATGGGGAGGAAAGAAGAGTATAGGTTTGGTGAGGACGTCGGGATCGGGGACATGGTTGAACGAGAAGGTTGGAAGTGAGGTAGCAACTTTGAACGAAGACACAGGCTACAGTAGGAACGATTTTTCCACGTAAGGGACGATGTGATCACGTGACTGATCAAGGAAGATTGTTGGAAAGACCCTTCTGCAATGGGCACGAGTTGCGAGGTGCTTTGTACTACTAGGTGCTAGGTGCTGATACTATTAGTGTTCACAAGAGGTGTGTCAGACCCATTTCTTTGGTCCCAGGACCCCAGTGAGGCATATAGTTCAAAACACCATCCAACAGAGTGGAAGCACCACATATGGAGCAGTTATTGACTAGTGGCATATCTTTGTTTGGTGATTGGTGAATGGTCTTGAATTCAGTTCCCCAAATGGACCTTTTTAAACACTCCAGATCCCTGAATAGTGATTTGTGATGAAATTGATCTATTGGATACTGCCTGGACTACATATCCGCTTTAGCAGATCTGTCAGGCCTGTGAACTACTTGAGCATGTTCAGTACTGTCAATGTACAAACTGCATAGAGATGCATCACTTGGATGTCGTCAAACCGTGGTCACGGTGCCTGCGCTACGGACACAAGGTTCCACGAAAGTCGCATGATTCGACTTCACCAAACGCACGACGCAACCGCTGAGCCACAGAGACACATTCGGGCCTTTGTGCGCAGTCACAGCATAGAACCGTTACAAGTGGCCAGCTCGCTGATCGCCGACCAGCCTTTCCTTTCACAGAAAGATCCCCAAAACAGTACTTAGTGTGTGTTCCTACAAGTCAAATCCCTTCGGTAGGTTTTCGGTCTAGCTGCATGCGCTATTAGTCCTGCTCAATCGTCTTCTTCAATGGATCCATTGCTCGGTGGATCAGTGGCCTCAGCAATGTGACCTTGTATTGTCGGGTTCAGAGTTGAGGACTACCATGATGTCATCAGGCACTCGAACAAGCTTTCGACATTTGAACCCGACCTGGGGAACAAAGTTTCCTGGCCATGTGCTCCTTCCGTTCCTTCTGCCCGCTCGTCCACATGTGAACTCGCTTATTCTACTTTACCGGGACGGCCAAGGACAAGCGATCAATCGTAAGCAAGACGCAAGGGGAGGGAGGGAGGGAGGGAGGGAGGGGATGGATGCCCGATCAACCATACAGCTAAGCCTGAGCTACTGACATACCTCTTGACCCAGGCTCACTCGCTTCTCTTCCCTCTTCTCCTTATTCTCAGCGGGATGTGGTCCCTATTGACGGTATACCTGCTCACTCAACTCACTGTGACAGCTCAGAACATCACCTCTTCCTCAGCGTCAGCCAGTTCCAGCTTCTCCCCCACTCCCGTGACTACCTCTGTGCCAAGTCCTACGGGTTCGCTAAACGATACTGTCCCGGGTCAGAACGGTTATCCTCCTGCCCAATGTGAGTCCTTATTGCTTCTCGTCTCCCTTGTTATATCCCACTTGATACTAGAGCTCGCTGGTGGCATAGCTCGTGAAGTGATTTGCGCTGACCGACAGATTGGTGTAAAGCGGGAAGCAACGAGCCATTCTGCGCAGGTCAAGTGCCTCCTCCGCCATCACCGAAAAGCAGTACTCATGATCAGCTACTACAAGATGTAGAATTATCCGGCATCTTTGGAGACTCGAAGACCTTCCCGGACAAAGTGGGTCTCTTCGTTTTTTTGACAAAATTGAGGAAGATCCTGACTCATAGCCAACCCTTCACAATCTCAGCGAAACCTACGCAGCCTTCAATCAACTCCCAGCTAATGTCACCGTAGGCCAGATCGAACAGTTTGTGGAACAATACTTCGTGAGTCCTTCCCAAATGGGAGTCACGGGTTAGGGTATCGCTGACGAACGATAGAAAGGAGAAGGACTGGAACTTGAACAAGTGCCCATCGAAGGGTTCAACTCTACTCCGGCTTTACTGAACAATATCTCGGACCCGATTTACCAAGGCTGGGTCAGTGTGGTGAATAGTTATTGGACTCTCTTGATCCGGTGAGTAACCCCTTTTCCACTCCTCCCCTGGGCGACAAGTCACACTGCCTGATGTGCTGCTCATCCACTCTGACATGAAGGTTGTACCATGACTAATCTTTCAGTCAAACCAACCAATCCGCACTATGTAACGGGGACTGCGAATCTTCACTCATCCCACTGAACAATACCATCGTCGTCCCTGGTGGTCGCTACCGAGAGATTTACTATATAAGTCTTTCCCTCCCTTTCTTGATGTCTTTGCTGATTATCACTGGGATAGTTACTGGATTCTCCAAGGTCTATTGAAATCCCAGCTGTTCGAATATGCCACCGGTCCGTCCTCTCCCTCTACTTTCTTATCCTCTTGTCTCAATTCAAAGAAGAACCAGCTTATATCAGATCTCTTGACAAACTTCATGGATTTCATCTCGGTCAGCTGAGTCTGCTCTGTGCTGCCCGTAAGCTGATTAAGAGGTATACGGTTTTGTCCCTAATGGCGGAAGGATCTACTACCTTAATCGGTCCCAGCCGCCTATGTTTGTGCAGGTGAGATTCACCGCTCGCACTCATTGGGGGAAAGCTGATGTAAAGATGTTGGATGCTTATATACAAGAAACGGGCAATCTGACGATGTTAGAACGAGCCCTTCCGTTGGCCTCGGTGAGTACTGCCATAGGTTTATGGGGAAAGAGCTGAGGACAGGCCGAAATGTTGTGGTGGTATAACAATCGATCTATAACGGTGACATCGCCATATACTGGGTTGAATCGGACGGTATATCATTATAGTGTGACGAATACGGCTCCTCGACCAGAAGTGAGTCATGTCTCCCGTCCCGCTTCTTCATCACCTTCCCTCACATCCTCCTCCCGGGGCTTTTCGCCCATCAATTTCCCTCACACTTGTCTCGTATCCATCTTCCCTGTATCCTCTGATCACTGGATCTCCTCCACTACTTGTTCTGCACCCGTCTTCATCGCCTTCAAATAGTCGCAATCAGATACACAAAAAATGCTTTTTCCATGGGTGAAAGTTGACCTATAGGGATACCAAGAAGATTACGAAACCGTCATGGGGACCACACCAACTCTGAACGACACAGGAAAAGCAGATCTATACTCCGAACTAGCCTCTGGTGCCGAGTCGGGATGGGATTACTCAGCTCGCTGGTGTAAACAGCCGGTGATCAATCTTTCTGATAATAACCCCGCTTTGAGGACTTTGAACGTTCGGGCTATCGTGCCGGTGGATTTGAATTCGTTACTGGCGGGTGATCATGCTCTTGTGAGTTGCTCTTCTCTTCTCCCATCCTCATAAGATTAGCAGATCCAGTCTGTACATCTCCACATACAAATTCTTCATCCGCGTCCCTCTTAAATACCCAAAGTTCACGGAGAAGAGGAGTGTGAGGGACTAATGATTGACCTGCAGCTCGCGAATCTCTACGAAGTCTACGCTAACTCGACCAATTTCATCAATTCCACAGATTCAGGCAACTCCACCGGTTCCGCTAATTCCACAGATTCAAGCAACTCCACCAGTTCGACAAATACCACCACTCCTACTAATTCAACAAACATCTCCAATGCTACCTCCCAAGCGGCATATCACCGACAAATGGCTTCCAACCTCTCCGACGCCATTCTCGACCTTCACTGGGACCCTGCGAAATCATGGTTCTACGACTTTAACCTAACTTCGAATAATCGTTCCGAGCTCTACACGCCGGCGGGTACCATCCCTTTGTGGCAGAATATAACCCCTCCCGAAGTTGTGGGCAACGATACGGCGGCGTTGTCTGTCGTCTCAGGGGCCAGGTACTTGTTAGGAAAGTATCCGGGTATACCTAGTGTGGCTACGTTGTTGTATACCGGTTTGAATTGGGTGCGTCTTGATCTCATCGTCATTACCATTTCAATAATTTACATCCGTCCGGGATTGTGCTGATTGTTAGGACTTTCCCAACTCCTGGCCTCCACATGTTTGTAAGTATCCTCCTCGTCAACTACACCCCTCATTCTTACTCGAAAACGTCATGTAAGGCGTCACAGAGGTGGAGATAAAGTCGGAATATAGAGTACAGCTGATCGGAAGATACTTCGATCAAAGCGTTCGAAACATTAGGAAGGGTCAATCCTAACGCTTCTGTCTTGACCAACTTGACTTTGAGTTTCGACAATGTCACCACTGGCCAACTGGGATTGAACGAGTCTCAATTGCAACCACAAGATCCGAGTTTGGGAGGTAATACCACGTTACAAGTTCAGAACACCGAGGGAAAGCCATGGCCTTTGGCCTTGAGCGTGGAATGGGCTGAGAGGTATATGCAAGCGGCGTTTTGTACTTGGTATTGTGAGTTTCTTCTTGGGCTCTGTTACTCTTCATCCTAAATATCATATCCTACACTGGCAGTAACTTTCACCGTGTTTCTGAACAATATCCCACCTTCAAGCACGTTTCAAACGCTTTCCCATTCATCCCTCCTCTCAGCCGACATACGTTCCCTCCATCAGCCTCAAGGCCCTGGTCGTACTTCGATGTTCTCTTGATAAACCGGCAATGCTCCCGATATCACCCATCTCTGAGTATCACCCTTCTTAAACCGATCTATGTTCTCATACCCTTCTGGTCATACACCCGATATCCTCCACGTGTACCTCACCTCAAAGCCGCAAGTTTCAACGGAGAAAAGTAGAGAAAACCTCTTGACTAACCCCAGCCACCGGTGGTGAGATTCCCAATCTTCTCACCCAACTCCCCATCTCTCAACTCAACGCTTCCGGCACTTACACCGCCGGCACCACCGGCGTCATGTTTGAAAAATTCAACATCACCGATCCTGACGCTTCTGGTGGAGGTGGGGAATACACGGTTCAAGTGGGTTTCGGATGGACCAACGGTGTTGTTTTATGGTTGGCCAATGAATTCGGACAATATTTACCTCAACCTAATTGTCCTTTGATACCGATCATCGAATTGGAGAATGGGAAGAATGTGACTGTGTTTGGAAATGGGACAGAGGTGAATGGGACTGTTTATGGGAATGGAACTCAGATGGGTATATATACTGGTTATCGGATTCCGAGGAAGTGAAAACAAGTTTAAGAGTTGTCTTGCTTCGGGTGTTGGGAAAAATGGGAGGATTGTACATTAATTTTGGTTGATACTGCAAAGTGATTTCGATCGAGAGAAAATGCATTATCTTGTATTGGTTTGAGAGTTGTTTCTCCTTTATCTTATGATATGTTGACAATACGACGTCGACTATTCCGCGTGAAATGCTTGAGAATATGTTGGTTCGAGCGGGAAGGTGAAGAGACTTGTCAAAACACTTGTCTTTTTGATTGACCGCATTGATGTATCCCTCATCTCCATTACCGGCCATTCTTGAGTGAAAACATGAAAAGTGAAGAACGGTTGAGTTGTTGAGTTGTTGAGTTGTTGAGTTGTTGAGTTGTTGAGTTGAGTTGTTGAGTGATGTGATTTGAATAGATAATTGTCAATGGCCAAGATCATCTGACAACTTCATAAACTTCTCCACCCCAATTTTGTTCTCTATACAAAACTTGTCCCCAAAACCTCATGATCTCCATCCATTCTTCTTTCCCCTTAGGCATATCTTCTCCTCCCTCTCCGTCAACTCTTCTCAGACTGATAGCAGTAAGAGGTCTTACGATCCGTACGACTTTAAACGCCCGACGTAAGACTGATTCTTCTTTCTTACCTTTAGCTGAACGAGGATCGATTCGAGTGAAGAGACATATAGGTGTAGAAAGGTTCATTTGAGTCGTAGGATGTGAAAGAAGGGATGCACAGATAGAGGTTATACTTCCTAATCGAACGTTTTCACTTTTTTCACTTTTCCTTTTATTCTCATCCTTCTCATTCTCTTCCACTACTTCTCCCAAGTCACTCGATTTACCCACTTTATTCCCCTTCATGACTTCGTTCTCTGACGATACTTGGTGACTAGGGTTCAGACCAGTAACATCCAAAGTTGACTTAGTGATGTCACTTTGAATGATATTGTCACTCTTCCACATCCTCAAACCATACCCGATCTCAAGGACCATACTTCCCCCTTGACCCCAACCGAACAAATGTATTTTATTCATTTCCCATCCCAACCCCTGTGGTTCGGTCGAAGTGAGGATTGAAAGTAATTCGAGTAATCTTGAAAGATGTTTGGTAGGGGATGGTGATGGTAAAGGATTGAAAAAAGGATCAAACGTGTCGTACCATGAATAAGATGGGTTTTCCATGAGTGGGATACTGTCATCAGCTATGAATTAACTCTACGTCATTTTCAACCTTTTCCTTGATCCCGCCTGGAATCTATGCTTGTGGAAAGTTGATAGTTGGAAATATGTAATCTTCTCAGCGCCACATCTATGGTCATGCTAAACCAAAACTCTCTTGGGATAGTGGTAGGAGGGCTGATTGATCTTATTAAAATTTTGAAGGCGGGAAGAAGAGGGTGCTTAAAGAGAGTCTCATTGTGACATCACTCCAGAGTACAGACCACAGGGGAGATGGTGATTTGGAGGAAGGGGGATTTGTCGAGATTGTTTTGAGTTGGGTAGACTCACGGATCAGGAGCTTGAAGAGATAAGATGGCTGTATGTGGAAGATTCAATGATTTTCCAAGATTGAAAAAAGGTTGTTTCGTATCGCCTGTCTATCAGTTTGACAAACCATATGGTCATCCGCCAAACCTGCCCCTTCCCCTCCATATCGAGTTCAAATCCTCCCAGACCTAAGTAAGCCAGAGTAAAGTGGCTATTTTAAACAGACTGATGCCCGGCATGGAGGAGTGAATGGAGAGGTTGAGAAGAGGCTCGCAAGAGTGAAGTGACCTTTTCTAACGGACTGATCCCCAACATAGAAGTGTTAATGAAGACGTTGGAGAAAATGAGTTGAAAGGAGATAAGGTTACATAAGACTGACCTAAACCATGAAACATGATCAACAAATTCAAATCCTTCCCACTGGGTGAAGAAGCATAATCGAACTTCCATGGTGATAACAAAGTAGGAGAAGGGATAGGTCTGATACGGTTCGTATCGTTCGTAATGACTGGACGAAGGTTGATAGTGGACATAACTACTAGTACTTTTTGTCTCCTTCTGAAGGGTGATTATCGTATGTAAGTAGTCGATCAGACCGATTGAGGTTCGTAAATGTAGACCTTGTTCAGCTATCAGGTATCTTGAAGATTATTTAGTGTTGAGTTTTGAGTGAGAAAGATGAAGAGAAGGGAAGAAGCGGTAATTCCAAAAGTCATTTTCGATCGAAAAGTTGTGCACTTTTCCTACAACTTTACGAGTGGTTCTTTCCTGTCATCGTATCATCATCTTCATCCTTGTTACAATCACATACCATCTTGAAAATCCCAGAATCTCATCAGGATAGGTACATAAAAGTATCAAACCATCTTAAAGTAGATTTTGAGAAAACCGAAAGACTTGCAAATCTCGAACAGATCAAGGGGAGGAAAGGGGAGTGAAAACCACTTGAGAAAATGTTATTCTGTCCGTATTGTAGTAACGCTCTCACCATTGGAGATCAAGATAATTCTGATAAGTGTTGGTGAGTCTTCCGTTCAATTCCCTTACTCCATGCACCATGCACCACGCAGGAAACCGTTGTCTGCCGTTCTCCCCTCTACAAGTGTCACTCCTTACCTCTACCTTTCCCCCTTCAGAATTTGGAGATTTCTAACGACCAACGATAATATGAATTGATTCTGGGAGATAAGTTTGGAGTCGGATTTACTTAATAGACATATTATGAGACTTGACTCGGTGACAGGAGAGAAAAGTAAATGCTGATCTTTAGGATATGTCCAACATGTCCATATAAGTATAACATCGCTCCCGGTAAACAGGTATATCGTCTTTCTCCCCTCATCTTTTCTTCCCTTGTCCCAAAACCCAAAAGTCCCTGGCATCTCGCTTGTTCCCATCGGAGTCATATACCTCATGTGTGGTGGAATAATGGTCCAATGTACATTGTGTGAAGGTACAGATGAAGATGAATTGAATTGATGGTAGATATCAATGAGAACGCATTTAAAGAGAAAACAGGTGGATGATGTTTTAGGAGGTAAAGAAGCTTGGGCCAATGTGGATAAGATTGATGGTGGGTGATTTCTACATTTTATGACCTTTTTCTCTCGTCAATCCCCCATAATCTCATCTCTATTTTCCCTTCCATTGGACAACCAACTCCTCTCGCTCGATGATCTTCAAAACTTATACCATTGAAAGCGATACTCACTTTCCTCCTCTGTGCAAACACTATTTTTCTCGTTCAGACTTTGATATGACTATTGTGGAGTTTGATTCAAAGCCTGTGAGATGGTCGTGGGTCGGAAGACGAAGATTAAGTGGTTCAGCTGACACTACAGCTACTTGTCCGAAATGCGATGCTAGGAAAGCTTATTATCGACAATTACAAATCCGTTCAGCTGATGAACCCATGACTACCTTTTAGTGAGTTCTTCTCCTTCTATGCTACTTCTGATCATTCTTTCTCGTTCCCTTGGGTACCCTTCCTACCTTTCCTCGCTGATCGCTGAGATCTTGAACGAGCAAGTCGTTATATGAATCGTTGACTAATCTCAGTAAATGCGTTGATTGTTCATATCAATGGAGAGAGGTCTGTCTCATTTCTTTCCATCTGACTCAACTCTGGCCACCTTATGAATACATCATTTCTTCCGTTGCTCCATCGTCCAAACCAGAAGCGATAAGAAAGGCATAGCTGACCTTGTAGAATTAAGTAAAGTCACAACATGCAAATATTATAACAATACACATCAAAATCAGGAAACTACTCTACACCTTAGTCCGAGTGTAACAGAATCAATCTTCCATACCTCCTTCCAAAACATCCATAATCCTCTTTACCCTCTCTGAACTTTTTCGATCCCATTCCCCATCACCTAATCCAGGCACCCCGAGATCTTTAAGTCGTTGTCGTTGACGATTGGAAAGACCGTCCATCGCTGGAAGACAAGTATGAAGGTAGAATTGTTGAAGGGAGTTTTGTAGTTGAAGGGTCCATTCCTATATTATCAGCATGATCGCAGCACGTGATCAACCATGTACCTATATCTTGGATATTCTTGGTCTAGTGATGGACGAGGTACGAAAAGATAGCACATACCTTTTCTTTTTCAGGTGTGATGGGACGACGGGATATTCTAGCACTGGGTGTCAGTTTTTTGACCATGCACAATGATTTTGTAACTGAGTGTTTTCAACAATCATGAGTGACACTAGCTATTCAATTCCGTAGGTAGGTCTCAATGATATGTCGATTCTCGACTCTCCATTATGAGAAGTCCGTATTGAGAGATGGACGAGATGGGTGTAGGATACTCATACTTCTAGTCGGAGGAATGACGAACTCACACATCTTTATCCACCTTGATTCGATTCATATGATCCGCTTTGATCTTCTCGCTCTTCGCCCACATTCTTCGTTCTAAACCGTCTTGCTCAGCTTTCATCTACTCATCAGCTCTGTCCTCTAGCTCTACTCCCCAATTGTCACTCTCATCGCCCCTCGGGGCAATCCACTCTTTTCGTCCCATTGCTCAAAAGGCTCCATTCTTCTTCCCTCACCACTTCAGTTCCGTTCTCGCCCTTCACATAAGTCTACCCTCTACCTTTCTCTTCATGTACGCATAAAGGTCGTCCAAGTACTCTTGATGAAACCGATACCTCCAAACTCACTTTTTTCAACTCTATCCTAAAACTCTCCTCTCCTAACATCCCACTCAAAACCGGTAAAGCTTTGACGAAACTCATCTCGTCATATCCCACACTTCCTCTCTCCACTTCTCCCTTCTTCTCAGTGGTCCCTTCATCAGCAACATCAAAGAAATCTTCCGCTTCCCCTCTCTTTCGCGTCTCTCCTTTCCCACTGGATAAAACCACTCGTGAAGGTCCTGCCGTACTTTGTGACAATGAAGCAGTGTTTAAATCTTTTGAAGTGGGCGGAGGACGTTTGTTCAAAGAAGCGAGTAAATCATCAAGTTCGTTCTGACTAGGCAGATGTTCATCCTCTATTGGAGTATAAGCTTGTAGAGATCTATGTAGATGAGATAAAGCTGATTCGTCCTTTGGTACATGTTGAACATTAGGGTAGTCTAATGGAACATAGATACTGGATTGGTCAGAGGAAACGCCTTGGAGGTGTTGTGGTCCAGAAGGAAAATGAGGGATTTGAGATGAAGGTTTGGGAGAAGGATCTTGTGTAGATCGGAGAAGAGCTAGGAGAGATTGAACTTGACTTCTGTCCTATTCATCAGCCTTACATGAATAATTCTGTACTCTATGGGGTTGTTAAGAGGGTAGGACATACTTGAAAGCTCATCTGAATGCGTTATAGAGGAAAGAGGAGAAAAGTTTGAAAGTTTGAAAGAGTTTGAGCCCAGACGTCATCGACCGATGGCGACCGATTCCATCAAATCAACATTTCACTTAAGTCATCTCTCTCTCTCTCTTTCTCCTCTCTGTCTCTATCTCCTTATCCCTCGGTCATCTGTGCAAGTCGTTGACAGGCTCAAGTATCATCGTCTGTGTCTGAAGAGCGACGAGTCACACAAGTCACGACCTTTCCAGCTCGATAGACTCGAGTTCCCGGGGACGGAGCCGTGCAGGTGACAAACCTCTCCCGCACACATTCCCTTGATCGCCAGTCTATCTCTTGAAGCTTAACCCACACTCGACCACACACAATATACCCAACATCCTTCGAATAGTCGAGGGAGAGGAAACACCAGTTGCGAGGGTAGAGTCACTGGGGCAAGAAACAGAATGTCACAAGCAGGACCAAGCAAAGCAAGTCATCATCTCTCTTCCGGAGCTTTATCAGGTTTCACATCGGCTGTATGTCTCCAACCTCTCGATTTACTAAAGACGAGGTTACAACAGAATTACGAAGATGGAAGAAGGTAAGTCTTTTTGATTCTGTGACCATCCTCCATACACCCTTCTACTTCACTCTCGGGTGGGATATCATTTCGACCTTGCATAAACCTTTCACCCTTTCTCCTGATTGGTTCCCGTGGCGGTATGTGAAGAATAGGACGGGACTGATCAGATAGACGTAAGATTGTCGATACTGTGAAAGTGGTCTTGAAAGACGATGGAATCTTTGGTTTGTGGAGAGGTACAACACCGACTTTGATACGGTATGTATGTCTTCTCTTCTTCTCATCTCTGCTTTCTGCTTTTCCCCCACTCTCTCCCCTTTCTTGACTCAGTTCCTCTTCCATCTTGGGTGAATGGGCGGATCAAAACTCTCACTATTTCACTTAAACCCATGGCTTTTCCCAGTGATAGCAAAATAGCGATTCGCATCTCGCTCCAAGAAAATCATTCTTGTCATGACTTTCTTCTTTCAAGCGGATCGTGGATATCTCCGTTGGTGGTGAAGAAGTCCGCTCAGGAACATTTAGGAAAGAGTCATCGTTAACACCTAGAAACGTCCCAGGCGTCGCGATATACTTCTACACTTTATCTTCCATCCGAACACATCTCTCTTCCCTTCCTTATTTCTCCATCACCAACTCAGATCGTTCCGGATTTAACCCTTCCCCAACCAATTCTGCTAGATCAGCTTTGGTAAGATTATCGAGTCAGGGGAACTTGATAGCGGGGGCTATAGCCAGGACGGGGGTGGGGTTCGTTCTGAATCCTGTCACGATTATCAAGGCACGGTATGAGGTGAGTATCCTCGCACGTTCTCATCTCTCGTTTTCTGTCCTTACCTGTCCCCTCCATGAATATCCCTGCTGCCACTCTTGCTCGGTTCTTTCACCTGCTCGATTTGAGTCGAGAAGTCTTAAAAGTCAATACTGACATCAGTCTACCAAATATGGGGAATACAATTCCGTACTGGGAGCCGCTAGATCTCTCTGGGGGACAAGCGGAGTGAGGGGGTTGTTCCAAGGTGTCACGGCTACCGCAGCTAGGGATGCTCCTTATGCTGGACTTTACCTTGTGTTTTATGAGAAAGGAAAAGACATCACAGGTTTGTCCATTTCCATTCGTCACCAACTCAACCTCCGTCATACTCCCTTCAGACGACACCTAGCTGACACACAGGCCGACTTATCAGGCCAGAATGGAACGTCCCCAACGCTGCTCTTCATTCTGCGTCTGGGGCTTTGGCTGCGGTAGCCGCAACGGTGATGACTTCCCCTGCTGATTGTGTGAAGACAAGGATGCAAGTTGATCCTGTGGGTCATGGAACGTTGAGAGGAGCGATCAGGAGGATATACAGTGTATGTCGGTCTTTCTCTCTGACTCTCTTCTCCCTCTCTCCATCCCTCACATAGACACAAGATTATATAACCCAGTTGTGACTTGACTAGGGTGTCTTTGTTTTCCATCGATGCAGATAAAATATCTCGGTTCTTCACCGTGAGCCTCGACGGGCGGCATGGTAAAGTAGCGAGAGAGAGGGCCGTCTGACAACGCAGGACCGCGGGCTATTAGGTTTCTTCTCAGGATCATCACTCCGTATCTCGAGAAAAGCAGCTTCGAGCGCTATCGCATGGACGGTCTACGAAGCTGTTTTGATATTCTTGAGAGATCACCCAGCTGGTTTTACCTGATCACATCATATGGACTTTTGGATAGAGAATACATATATCATTCATGCATCAATGCTTGCTGTCCTGCTCTTGGTCCGGTCGGTTCGAGATGTTAATGTCATTAGTAATTCATTAGTGATTCATTAGTAACCCATTAGTAATTCATCAGTAATTCATTAGTAAAGAAGTAAGTAAACTTCATCAGCAATAAGCTTAATTGCTGCCACGTGGTCTTCCCCATACTTACTCGGACTTCCGTCCATTCCGTCCACCTCTCCGACTTTTGTTCAACTTTGTACTTTTTCTCCATTCTTCTCATCACCATCCCTCTTTCCCTCTCACCTATCCTCGTGTCATTGTTGGCAAAGCTCCTTGTCACAAACACCTCCCTGACTCGGCGCTTTCACGTCTGTTGAAGACCAGCTCAAACATGGGGCCACCTTCTTTCCTTCGACCTCTCTTACGGACCAGAGCTCACTTACCTCGTCAGTCCAACCTTCTTCAAGTATGTATATCTCTAATAAACAGGATCAATGCAGCTCAGAAATGCTAGTACACCTATGCGGATGCCAGCTATGAGTCCTACTATGACAGAAGGGGGTATAGCCGGATGGAAACTCAATGAAGGGGATAAGTTCTCAGCGGGGGATGTGTTGTTGGAGATTGTGAGTTTCGCCAATTCTCATTTTATCGTCTCATTCCCTCTTCTTCTTCTCTACGTCAATTCAGTCACTGCTTCTTCATCACTGGATATAGTCAGTCACATAAAACGGAGGGCCCAGGAAGGTTCAGAATGAAAGATGGAAAGGTTGGAGAAGTCCGGTCGTATCGAGAGCGATGGTATGGGAAATGTAGAGAGAAGTTCCATCGAAGTAGTACATGGCGAGAAGAAAATAACGAAGAGAGTATATCAAAGCTGACATGCAGGAAACGGACAAAGCCACTATCGACGTCGAAGCTCAAGATGATGGGATTCTCGGAAAAATCCTCGTTAAATCCGGAACGTCGAAAATACCTGTGGGACAAGTCATAGCTGTTCTTGCTGAAGAAGGGGACGATTTGGCGAGTATAGAGATTCCAACAGATCTCGCGCCTGAAGATCCGGAGAAATCCGGTGGGCTGCCGACTGCTGAACCTCCTAAAGAGAAGAGAACGGAGACGAAGGGATCTGAGCAGAAAGAGGTTAAAAAGGAGGATGTTAGCGAGAAGGTGGAAAAGGTGGAAATCAAGAAGGTGAAATCTTCGAGACCGTTGTTCCCAGGCGTAGCGAGATTGTGAGTTTACCCTTTTGTCCTGATATCAGTCAGCCAGCGACTGAGAGATTATGATCTTTGTAAAAGACAGATAAGAAGATACCGTATGATTCAGGCTATTGAGGAGAATTGACTGACATCAGATTGGAAGAGACTTCTCTCACGACCGCTCAGATCGACAAGATCCAAGGGACGGGAAGAGGTGGGATGATCACCAAAGGTGATGTCTTGGTGGCGTTGGGCAAGATCAACAATCCCTACGGATCAGCTGAAAAGCTCATTACGGACGTCATGGGACCAAGCGGGAAACGTGCTAGTGAGGTGAGTAGATTTGCTCATCTCATATGTACCTCTGACCCATTTCACTACTTCTCTCACGTTCAACTTTCATATTGCGTCGGACTTATTTCCCTTGCGAGTCTCTGGGGACAATTGCGAGAAGGATTGCCACCTGAATCGTGCTGCTGCTGATTATCCAGGCTTCTTCACTTACATCTCCTGCGCCAGTGAAAGAAGTACCCCGGGACGCTGCAGGTATTCGACGTCTGATTGTGGCCGGTATGGCTAAGGCGTCTCAGCTTCGTCCTTCCTTGGTAGACCAGGGTGAGTTTTCCTCTTCCTTCTCCATGTCAGTCTCTCCCTTCACCAATGGAGCATTACATGTTCATCGCTCAAATCAATCACACAACTCATATCTTACCCGTCTCACCTTGGGCGTGACAATCAGTCAAATAGGGCTTGACAGAAGATGGCTCAGGTTGCAAGTACGGAAATTTGTCAGCTAGATCTGCCTAACAATCCAAGCATGTGTCAGTAGGAGAGATCAAAGGTTAAAAGATAAGAGGAGGAAGCGCGAGATTTCATATCGAGTGAGAAATTGACACATTCAGTCACCTCCTTGTCCCCCTCCTCCGATGCCGCCTTTGACGCTATATTATCTCCATATACATCTTTACTCCCTCCTGCCCAACCCGACGTCCCCTTCCCATCCAATTCGGATTTAGTCAGTATGGAAAGCAGGAGGTCTGCGGTAATAGACGAATATGCGGGATTGTTCTAGAATTTGGGAACGGGGGTGAACGTGACTTTCACTTCAAGGGCTCCAACTCTCTTTGGAGGGCGTGTGAGCTCTACAATGCATGAAGATACAGTCCGTCAGCATCTCTGTCATTCATTAAATCCTCACTATTCTCTTCTTCCTATGGTCCACTGACAGAAATGCCCTGTTCAGATCACTCTACAGTATCCCTGCTAGACGCACTGTGAGTATCTTGGTGCAATGTGAGGCGCTTTGGCTCCATGAGTGGTACTGTTCTGTCAAACAGACTATTACAAAGAGAAGACATTGCTGTTCTCCTCAGCGATTCAGCAACATTGGGGGTCGTGCAGTAGTCCTTGGCTAAAGTGCTGGTACCAGACACGTGAAGGTGTATGCAGGCCCTGATGATGCTTCTCATCAGAACCTCCTGTCCCTTCTTTCCTTGCTTATTTATGCAACCAGACAGATCCTCTTTTAGAGTTGCCAGTTTCCAGATCTCACTGATATCTCCCAGTGGGGGAATATTCACATCTCTAGACGTAGTGATCTCTTGTCTCTTGGAAGAGTCAGAGTTACTGACCAACCAGTATTTATTATCATTGTCTCGGATTATTCTGCAGGTGAAATCACGACATAATTTTTCATACTTACGTTGGGCCTCTTCTGGCCAATCACTTGGTGACATAGGGGCTTTAGAAGATCCTTTGGATTTGGTCTTACTCCCTGAAGATCCATTGTCTTGGGAGGAGCCGGACCCAATCTTACCCTTCCTAGGTGCTCCTGGCAAAACGGATTGGGTCCTGCGCGGCCCTTGGTGTCGTGGAGTTCTTTCCGGACCTATGAAGGGATGGGAGCCTGATGCCGTAAGTGGTTGAACCGATGTTGTAGGGTCATGAGGCAACTTGACCAAAGGTTCTGGCTGAAAGGCCGCCTTTGAGGTGTAGCTGTCCCGGGACATTTGCTGGGGACCCTCATTGATACTTGTACTGCAAGGGGCAATCTCTTGACCTACTTGATCCCCCAATGATGTGTCGTGGAACGGAGTGAAAGAGTTAAAACTTGGTTGGCTCTGATTTAACATTCCAAATTCCGTGACACCTCCAATTACCCCATCTACAACATGGTGCCCATCATTAGAATGAGGGACTCCCGTATTGGTTGAGGTAGGCTCACAGTCCTGAATCCAGTCTTCGATTCGGAAGGTGTTTGGAGAGCTATTGTTCAAGCCACTTCCTGGGCTATGTGATGAGTCAAAGTTTAATGGGGTTGATGGAGAGGCCCACTCAGGTTGGTCAAGAGATGGTGGTAAATTGGAAAGTGTGCTCAGAGAGACTGCCGCGCGCATAGTATGAGATTCATCCCCTCCTGGCCGTGCTCGTCCACGCTGTTGGTCAGTGTAATAGGATTGTTGGAAAATGTCACCAGGATCTCCTTGCCAGCTCATATTGAACAAATTGAGAGGAGATATGTGAAAGATTTCCAACTTGTGGTTCAAAGTGAAAGAGAATCAACCTTAATATAGATGAGAGGGGAGAAAGCTGAGTTTTCCTGGGTTTCAATTGAAACAAAGGAGATCGCTCCGGTCTCAAAGTGGTAATTACCATCGAAAGTGTCTTGATCCGGTCACGATTCAAGCGAAAGATGGGTTGGTCATGGTCCGTGCGATTCTACTGTAGAGTACAGTACATACTGTATACCACCGTTGATTCGCTTGTTTCTTATCTAGCATATGTTCTCCATGCACTGATCCTTTGAATAGCAATCCTCTGTAGAAAAAAAGAGGAGAGATGTAGCAGTTGTCGGATGAAGCTGCCTGTTGTTAGCCGATAGAATCGGGCCAGGACGGCCGAACCGCCGTTAGATTATTACCCCTTCCGTAGAATATTTCCCCAGTTCAACTTATCCTCTGAACTCTATTCAATCCTCTCTGGTTTACTGCGTGTGAGTGGAATGTGATAAGTATAGAGACATGTAGAATTGATGCATGCTCTTTTTCCCCTCTGTATTATCACCTAATAATAAGTTAACACCTGTGTCCATACAGAGACTTTCTGCGGCAACTCGTCAGGATCACGGGTACCTAAGACGGTTTCCTCAGTATCGTTCATACTCAGACTTGTACTCCACCTCACCCGTTCCCGTTCCCCTCCCGGTCTCACCTATCCCGGTAGGGACTTCCCCGTTCTCCTTTTACTGGGGACAGGTCTTATTACAAACTGTGGGTGGAATTATTTCCCCTTCCACAAACTATCCTATGAACATGACTTGATAGCCTCTGGTTTGCTGCAAATGTGTGGAATATGATAAGCACAGAGACATGTAGGATTTCTGCATGCTCTTCTCCCCCCTGTATCATCATCTAATTATAAGTAAACAGAGAATGGACATGATGTTCACTTGGAGGGCTACAAATGTCTGCAGAGGGCACTTGAGCTCTACAATGCATGTACAGAGGTTGACATCTCACTCATCATTGCATATCATCACTCATGTCATCCTTTTGCTTTGCTGACACAAACACCTTGTCTCAGTCCCTTCAAGACTACTTGCCTGTCTTGCCAAATCAGGCAGCTGTATTTCTGCTAGCCTGGGTGGGTACCTTGGGTGCTGACCTGAACTGTTGCCTTGGTCTGATGAAATCTACAGCATCAAAAGCACTCTGACACAGGATAGCCATTGCTATAGTCTGTAGCTTTGCAGGCATACCAGGGGTATTGTAGTATGCCGACAGTGCCTTTGTGTTTCCAAGGGTGTTAAGATGTGCATAGGCCCTCATGGAACTCCTTACCATGGTTAGTAACGTAGCCTCTCCCCCATGAGCTCAATGATGTTTTAGAGTTTTTAGTCACCACTGATATGAGCAGAAGTTCATCCACATTGTTCACCGGGTTGGATAAAATCGAGCCTTCGATCGACCCCAAGTTCCTGGGCCTGGGTGGGGTCAGAAGTACTGACCATCATGTACCTCCCATCATTGTCCAGGACTATTCTACAGGTAAAATCAGAATCGGAGCACAACTTCTGAAATGTGTCTTGAACATGTTTTGGCCATAGGAAACGAGGGTCTGAGAGGTAGGTGTCAGGAGTGATGTGTAACGGTACTGGAAACACGATGACTAGGTCGCAGGTTGGGTCGAACTCGATGGAAGTCTCGTGGAAATCTATGTGTCTCTGGTGCTATGTGATGGATCGTGTCTCCTCTGCAATCGATGTAGCCAAAGAATGATATTGAAGAATCAGCAAAGTTGGTACTTTGCTGATTGTACTATATACTGTCTACAGGTGTCCGTGTCCTCCTCTCAGTCCTACTGCAAGCGTCTATGTACATACTCGGACAGGTGAAAAACCGCTTTTGAGCAAACCCAGTGGGGAAATCTCGAAAAGGGAAAACCCGTCCCTACCTACTGCAGCACTGCCTCCAACTCTCGCCGTTCTCTTTCCTAATCCGTCGAACTCGATGGAGTTCTCTCGATTCGTTGTTACTCCGTAACAAGTTTCCCCCCCTGTCTCAAGGATCCTTGCCGAGGATCCTGAAACCTGTAACCAAGTGATTCACATGGATTGTTCTGAGACACCTTTGGTGCGCCCTGACGTCACACCCACGCTAGTGTGACGGTTGCCATGAAACGCGTCACCCGCACGGACCTCCAATGTGATCGAGAAATTACTGACCAAGTCTCTTTCCCACCTCTCTCTCTTCTTTCCTCCTCATTCCCTCTTTTTCTCTTGTTTGTCGTTCTTTTTACTTATCTATCATTATCCATCCATATCTTACTTATCTCTTAGAGCATCCTTCCAACTCTGACCTGCCTGTGAGCATGTCTAAGCGTACTGTAAGCAATTCCTTTCGAATTCGATGTATATCCTCCCATTTCTCACTGGCTGACGAGATTAGTTGTCTCCTTCTACCCCCTCCCGTCGAACTCGAGCATCTACTACGGCAATCCTACCTGACGTGGACCCCGAGCTTCTCATGCGTCAAACGAAAAGAATGAGGATTACTTCCCAAGCGCCCGTTCTCTCTCAACCTCCATTGGTTGATGCGTCTCGAAGAGCTCTCGACACCATTAAGGATCGATATCAATCCAGTCCTTCTCGCGATCAACAATCGTCCCTTCTCGATGACGAGGTCATCGAGCAATATATCGACTTCGAAGGGGGTGCTGGACCATCTGCTACTGGTGAGAACCCATCTCCCGCCAAGTCCGTCGAATCCGAACACGGCACCATCGTTGAGAATCAAAATTCTCCTGGTAATAAGTCCCCTGTGCCACCTTCTGATTATTCAGAGGGACTTGTCGAGGTTCCCCATGAACTCGAAATCATTTTTCACACCCCTCGTAAGGTTCCGGTCAATGATGAACTGGTTAAGGTTCTGGACGCTCGAAAAGACTCGGAAATTGGTGAGATTCCTATAGAATTCTGTGCGTTTCTGACCCGTCAGCTACTCTCTGGGCCAAAATGACCTTGTTAACGCTTATAATTAGATGATAATACAGAGGGGAAAAAGAGCATGCATCAATTCTACATGTCTCTATACTTATCACATTCCACTCACACGCATAAAACCAGAGACGATCGAATAAAGTTCAGAGGATAAGTTGAACGGAGAAATATTCGACGGAAGGGGTAATTCTAACGGCGGTTCGGCCGTCCCGGCCCGATTCTATCGGCTAACAGACCTTCTCCTCTGTTCGTACGGCTCTGAAAGACGAAGCCCTTGATCGTTTTCGCGAGACTGGCGCCATCAATCCTACTGTTAAGTGGTTTACGAATGCTGTGAGTCGTTTCTCTTCCGAATTCCACCGATTTCTAACTGTTAGCTCGATCGTTTGGCCCAAGGTTGGCGACTTCGCAACAAGAATGGTGCTGTTGTCCGTCTCAAGGGTGAGCTTTGCTCCGATTTCCAGCGTCGCCTTGATGGTGGGGAAGATTTTCGTGTGGGTTGTATTGGTCCTCGTGAGTCTTCCTACTCTACTTGTTCGATATTGATGCAATTCAGTTGGTGGTGTTTGTGGAGAGTGTTCTGCGAAGGGAACTTCAAAGTGTTTGGTGAAAACCAACACTCCCGAGTCCAAATTTTGCGAGGTATCTATCTTCTTCCTTCGAACTTGATCGATGTTGATGTAAAGGGTATTACTGTTGGAGCCCAGACCGTCACTTCCAAGGTTACCTTCGTCCTGGAGCACAAACTCTGTGCTGTTTCGGCCCGATATCGATCCCTCTCTTCCCAGGATCAATCCTCTTCTCTTACCCAACTCTCCGCTTACATTCATCTTTTCTCCTCCCTCCTCCTTCCTCTTCCCCCAGTACATCTGGGTCTCTACAAATCTCTCCATCTCATTCCTTCCGATTATACTCCTCCCTCTCCCTCCGAAACCTTGGATCATCTCACCTCCTCTGGTGATCCTACTGGATTGAATTCCTCCCAGCCAGTTGCCGGTCCCTCCTCTTCTCCCCATACTCCTCTCCCCCGCAATGTCATTCGTATTCCCGCTTCGGCCCGTCGTCCTCGAGCCAATTCTACCGCTTCCAACTTCTAGTGTGTTTATGTTTCCCTATTTGTAGCTATATTTCCTGTGTATGCATTCATTTCCGACCCAGTTTTGTTGATCTTGATCGAATTCTCACTTTCTTCTGGGGTCCCTTTTCCTCTTTTCCAGAAATTCACCAAAAACGGCCAACTCCTCTACATTTTCTCGTGGTTCCCAGTCATAGGCCGCATTCCCTGTGTATCCTCACCATTTTACCTTGAATTCTTCCTTTCCTTGTTGAATTCTGCTGTCCACAATCGCTTCCACATGGAATTCCTCCTGGCCGTTTATTACTACAGGTGGTGGAGGTTGTACCTGTCGACCTGGTATCATGTCCCTAGGATATGGTTCCAACAGCGTGACATTGAAGACATTGTGCACTTTCATTGATGGAGGTAGATCCAATTCGAAAGCATTTTTCCCAACCTTCCTCATGATCTTAAAAGGGCCAATGTATTTTGCTTCTAATTTTCGACTGGGTTGTTCCGTCGTAAGATACTTTGTACTCAGTAGTACCTGCTCTCCCTTTCTGAATTCTTCTGGAATGCTTTTATGCCTCCTGTTGTAATATTCCCCACTAATCTCATTAGCCATCCTGACCTGTTCTTGAACAGCCGCATGTAATTCTCCCATATCTCTCCATTTCTTCTCCAACTTGTTTGACTTTGATCGAATATCGTGCGAATGGATGTCGTAGTGTGGCACATAGCCGTAACAGGCTTCAAATGGACACAAACCATGACTACTATGTGGAGAGCAGTTATAAGCAAACTCAGCAATCGGTAGAAGCTGATCCCAATTGTCCATGTTGTAGTTCACATACATCCCGAGTAGGATTTCCATCTGTTAATTTACTCGTTCAGTCTGTCCGTCTGTTTGAGGATGATATGCAGTTGAATATAGGTTTTTTATTCCCAGGAATTGACATATTTCCTTCCAAATCTCAGCTGTAAACTGAGTTCCCCTGTCTGATACGATTGTTTGAGGTACTCCATGCTTTGAAAAGATCTCCTTGATGTATATGTCAGCCACCTTGTTTGCTGTTAGTCTGGTTGTACATGGAATAAATTGAGCCATCTTGGTTAGTTGATCGACTATTACTAGAATTGCGTCAAACTCCGTCAATTTCGGTAAAGGTCCTACCATGTCCATGGAGATATCTGTCCACGGAAGTGTGGGTACTGGCAAAGAGACTAGATGTCCGTATGGCTGATGTCGATGAGTCTTATGTCGATTACAGATCTCACATCCTTTTACGTACTTCGCGATATAATTGTCCAAATGTGGCCAGTAATAATCCTCTTTGACTAAGGTGATAGTTTTATCTCTTCCTGGGTGTCCTACTAATATCGAATCGTGTCTTGCTTTCATTACTTCTAATCTTGCTTGTCCCTCTGGTATGACTACTCTGTTTTTGTACAAGAGTAATCCGCTTTGTGTCCATGATAGTATTGGTGTCTCGTTGCTAATCTGTGTCTTCTGTGTGTCCTGTGTGCTCTGTGTGTCCTGTGTGCTCTGTGTGTCGTGTGTGCTATGTGTCTGTGTCATTTGTAGTCCTAGTCGTCGTATGTTTGCTATGTCTTCTGAGTCTTTCAGTCCGTTTTTGATGAGTCCAAATAATGAGTCTTCCCGGATTGCTCCTCTTACTATGTGTCTGGCTTCTGAGTCTATCGAATTCAATCCACTTTGCTTGTATGTTGGTAGCAATTGTAGCCAGTTACCTTTGTTTAGGTCTGGGTCCTTACTACTCCCTCTTCCCGGGTGATAATCCCCTCTTCTAGTTAGAGCATCTGCTCCCCCATTTTTACTACCTGGTCGATAAGTGATCTCTATGTTGAAGTCTCCTAATATTTCCAGCCACCTCATTTGTCTTCGATTCAGTTGTCGTTTACTTTGGAAGTATTCCAGGTTCTTGTGATCTGTGATGACTTTTATGACATCACTACTGTTGGCCAAGTATGGTCTCCATGCTACCAAGCAGTCCACAATGGCTAGCAGTTCCTTCTCTCCCACTGTGTAGTTTAATTCGCAGGGTGTCATTGCTCGAGACCAATAGGTAACCGGGTGAAGCTCGGTGGTCCCCTTTATTGATGGGTGAGGGAATCTTTGAGACGCTATTGCGCCTATTGCACAGTCGGACCCATCGGTTTCAATCCAAGTTGGTCGGGTTCTATCAAAATGTCGAAGTACTGGCGCTGTGGTAAATGTTTTCTTTAGATTGTCAAAAGCCTTTTGGCATTCTTGTGTCCAGTTCCAAGCTTGATCTTTCCTGGTCAATCGTGTGAGAGGTCCCACAATATGCGAAAACCCCTTGATAAACCTTCGATAAAAGTTCGCAAAGCCCAAGAACACTTGAGTATCCCGGACTGTCATGGGTTCTCCCCATTCTAGAATAGCTTTCACCTTTTCTTGATCCATTTCGATCCGCTCGTGTCCTATTACATACCCCAGGAACTTTACTTCGTTTGAACTCCACTCACATTTCCTCGGACTGACAACTAAATCATTTTCAAGTAGTCGATCTAACACCTTTTGGACAACTATTTGATGGTTCTCAATCGTGACGGAGTATACTGTAATGTCGTCGATGTAAACTACTTACCCTTCGTCAAGTAGATCGTGAAACATGTCTTGCAAAAAGTTCTGAAAGGTGGCTGGTGCATTACACAACCCATCCCTTAGTACCGTGCTCTCGAAACTGCCATATCTTGTCCGTAAGGCAGCTTTATGTTCATCTCCTTCCTTTATCCTGACTAACTGGTAGGCTCCTTTCAAATCGAATTTGGTGAAGATCCTTCCTAATTGAAGCTGATCGAGTAGTGTCGAGATGAGTGGCATTGGGTATGAATCCTTGATGGTTACCTTGTTAAGCGCCCGATAATCCGTTACCACTCAATAGGGAATCACCCCTTTTTTGGGAACCAGGAATACAGGAGATCCATAAGGTGATTTGCTTCTTCGTAAATGGCCGCTGGCCAAACCGTTATTGATCCATTGCTTTAGGAATGCTTCCCCATGTTCGTCTAGTTGATATATTGGGCCCGGCTTCAGTTCTGCCCCTGGTGTTAACTCGATTTCGTGATCACATTCTCTTCTTGGTGGTAATCTTCTTGCTCTCTCCACTTTGAATAGTTCTAGATACTGGTGCCATTGTGTCGGTATGACTTGTCGTAGTTCCTCCTCGCTCATTTCATCTTCTCCTTTTTCCAATGCTGTTCCTCTTACCAATCCTTCCTCCAATCTTGGATACTTCCAACCATTATCCTGTCCGATTCCATCGAACTCGATCAATCCCTTTCCACAATCGATCCTTGCCCTGAACTGTTTTAAGAAGTCCGATCCCACCAGTACCTCAGGGCCTTCGTATGCCATTACATCCAATCGAGTCGCAATCTTGAGTCCTTCTCCTAGGTCCAATTCGGCTTCTACATACTCGGTTACTAACGTCGCGGTTGTTCCATCGAGGAACCTAATCTTCCGTGGTTCCTGATACTGTCTCTTTGCGAATAGATGGTATAATGGACAGGCCGGCTGTACATACCTTCCGGTAGCCCCGGTATCAATTAACATTCCAAATTGTAGGGTATCTTCTTTTGCCTGTATTTTTATGTATATTATAGCCGAGTCATTACTAAGATCTATTGGTAGTTGAATTTTGTGCGATTCTGTTAGATCCTGGCCGCAAGTGGTTGCATCACTTAGGCCAGGTAGTCGTTTCCCTCTTCTTCAAAGGTCACCGCCATTCCTCGAACTAATGGCCCTTTGGATCCAGTTGGAATTGAGTTCGATCCACTAGGAATTGGTGACCCATGCGGGTTTGGGGATCCTCTAATGTTGTTCCTCGCGTTTCCTCCATTTGGACAGTTATTGGCATAATGTTCTGGGCTCCTACACTTGAGACAGCGTCAGTTCTCCCTTCTCCAAGTCATTTCATTCTCACTGAGGCGTCCTCCGTCCTCTGTCCAAGTGACCGGAGGGTCATTTGGTAGACCAAAATTCATCATCCCTGGTTTTCCACCTGGTGGTGGTCCTCTACCACCCGAATGCGGGTTTTGTTGCACAGGGTGATGCGTTCTGGTCGATGCCTTCTATACAATCAGTTCGACAGATTACTATCCAATCGTGTCGAGTTCAATTGTAAGGGGATCCATGTCGTTTCATTTTTACGCCTAGCCGCCCATCGGTTTGCTGCAATCATTGTTTCAGCCATCCGTGGATTCTCCTCGGTTCCTATTATGTGTTGCTTGAAGTAGATCCAATCCGATTTGGTTCGAGGGTCGGTGTTATTCACCACTACCACTTTCAGTAGTTCTTCTTTCAGGCCCTGTATGGCTGATGCGATTTTCATCGCATCAGGTACCTTTCCGGGATGAGTTGACCATAATTCGAAGTTTGCAAAGTATTCTGCTGCGGTGTCGGTCTGTCGTAGCTCTTGTAGTTTCCGCATAGCGGTGCCCGCCATGTTGCTGTCCCCAAATTGCGTCCTTAAGTGTTGAATGAATTTATCGTATGTCTCTAGCCATTCCGTCGAACTCCATATACTTGGGTTGGTTATGGCCGGAGTTAAGAGCATTTGAGGAGTACCCCGTAGATAACCGTACATGAACAGGATCTTTCTGTGATCGGTGGCGTACTCTGCCCCTTTGAATCCGAAGTTCATGTGGCATGCTGCAAGGAAATTGTCCAATTCCCCTCGTTCTCCACTGAAAGTAGGTGGGTCCGCACACCTGGTTCTTCCTATTCGTTCGTTGTTGGTAAGTTTTGGCTCCACACACGGCTTTTTCTCTTCGATTTCGATCGAACTTGCCCCTTTTGAGGTGATTAGCTGTTGGTTCTGTCGGTCAGCCTTGATCGTAGCCAGTTCTTCCCTTAATGCATTTTGTTCCTTTTGTTGCATCGTCATAATGGCTAATAATTGTGACAACTGCTGCGATAATTCATTCAGCGGATCTGGGGTAGTGGTGGTAGAAGTGAGATCATGTGAAATAGTACTTCTCGAAGAACTTGTTGGCATTTCTACCTCTGGGACCAGCCCTTGTTCCAACTCCTCTTTTTCCGGTATCATTTTCCGCGCTTTCCCTCTGGTAAGCATGCAATACTCTCCACTTCGACCCAAGGCGCGTATGTAACGGTACTGGAAACACGATGACTAGGTCGCAGGTTGGGTCGAACTCGATGGAGGTCTCGTGGAAATCTATGTGTCTCTGGTGCTATGTGATGGATCGTGTCTCCTCTGCAATCGATGTAGCCAAAGAATGATATTGAAGAATCAGCAAAGTTGGTACTTTGCTGATTGTACTATATACTGTCTACAGGTGTCCGTGTCCTCCCCTCAGTCCTACTGCAAGCGTCTATGTACATACTCGGACAGGTGAAAAACCGCTTTTGAGCAAACCCAGTGGGGAAATCTCGAAAAGGGAAAACCCGTCCCTACCTACTGCAGCACTGCCTCCAACTCTCGCCGTTCTCTTTCCTAATCCGTCAAACTCAATGGAGTTCTCTCGATTCGTTGTTACTCCGTAACACGTCTCCTGCGTGATGAATTACTTTTTCCATCGACTAGGCACAAGCCCTCACTACCTTTCAATGCGATGAATCTCCTATCAGCCTTTAGTGAGCACAAGTCTTCAAACTCAGTTAGCAGACGGAGCAGTGTTTCTGACTCTGTAACCCTGACACTGCAAAGTTCTGCCTTAACCCATGCCCCTAGGGTTCCTTCTGGGAAACTTTTGAGATTGTCAAGGATTTCAGCCGGTAGCATGGTTGGAGCAGGAAGCATGATGAGCAGACCTCCCGGACAGAAGGTTGTCAATTGAGATGTTGGTGTCTGCACATGAGTCCGATCAGTTACACATTGAAGGGAGGGTACTGGTTGAGTATGGTCTTGGTTGAAACTACTTGAGGAACCAGGTCTTGTTGAAGTCCTTTCATAAGGACTTGTCCATGTTCTCACCTTGGTTTCATAACGTTTAAGTCGACCACTGCTCTTGGTTTTTTTTGAGAGTTTTGACCCAGATAACTCTTCAGCCAATACAATGACTGATATGGTTTGATTTGTGATGGGTTGAGCTGAGTAAGGGTAGGTTGGATGAGTTGTCAGAAAAGGCGCCCTCATCAAGGGTGCTTGTGGGGATTGATGAGACACATTGTATATTGTGTGTGACAGCTGTGTATCTGGTAGTGGTTGACTAGGGGTTGAGAGTTGTTTTTCCTCCGGATTGCGATGTTCTTCTTTTATCCAATCAGACCATTTAAATCCCTGTTCGATTGAATTTGTATCCATTTTAGCACGAGACCACCGGATTGTGATGAAACCGAGAGAGGTCGGAAGGAGAACAAATGATTTAAGTGTGAAGGTACAAGTTGAAAGAATGTCAGGAAATCTCTGGTGAAAATGTATCTGGAATGGACAGCAAGAATCATCGAACGGAAATTGAAATTCGAGCTAAATTCGAGCTTCTAACGTGAAAGGAGGCGTGAGGGTCTCCCGCTTCAACCCAGATCTGTGGCCAGCCTTTCCCACAGAGGGATGCGTGATCCTGCAGGAGATACGTTGGCTCGAGGATCGAGTCAATGTTCAATCAACATGTGTGGATCTGTAAGAGTTTTCGCACAAGTACGGTGAGGAGTCTTCCCCCGCCACCAGATCGGAGGTTCAACGAGCCTTCGATTGGCAACCGACATGAAGACGGGGGAGAAATCCTTTTGCCATGTAACCTAAAAGTCATTGTGGTCTATATTTCAATCATGAGTAGAGTATCCATTCCTGTGTTTAGTACCTTCTTGTCTCTCGAGACCCTTATGAGAACACAGCGTCAAAAACTTCGGGTCAATAACTAGTTCTAGTGATGAAAATTCTCGGCGAGTAAATTCAATCATTTGAATAACTCACATGATCGTACGTCATGTATACCAATCTATTTCTTCACTGTAAATATACTCAATAGAGCAAAACAACCATATAACAATCCAACAGGATAGGCAACCAATAATCTTTGTCTGTCCATTCTCAAAACCGCCACGAAGATCCCACTGGCACTATGAGTACACCATACGATACTCCCCACACTGAGAAGATAACCGAGTGGATGATCTATCCCTACTCCCATACCAATACCACCTACGCCTACCATGGGTAAGAGACAGTAACCGAGAACGGATGCGGTACGATAAGCGTCGATAGGGATGTCGGACATGACGTTCAGGAGAAGATAAATGGCTGTTGTACCGAGAAGGGCGACTCCGTATATGTAAGAGAATTGTGGTTTTCCGGACTGCGATTAGATCCCAACCATATCAGATGATCGTTTGAGAGGTCCAAACTAGGAATCAAGGACACTAACGGCTCTTGATTGGATCGTTTCCGTTTTGTGAGAGAACAAATGAGATAATGAAGTGTAAAAATTCAGGTAGAGAGAGGATGATACTTACAAGTAGTAAGAAGAAAGCGAATGCGAGACAAAAAACTAATGGACCAGCTAGATCCGCGTCGTCCATTATATGTTGATCTACTTTGCTCAATGGGTTAAGTACCGTGAGACTTTTCTGAAGGATGTGAGAGGGGTTGATTTCGAGTTCTAAGATTAGCTCTTCGACCATTAAACGTTCGGTCGGCAATTAACTTCAATAATCCTCTCCTACTTCCTTGTCAGATTGCTGTTTGAAACCTTCGAGAAGGGGAGATAACCTCATAGGGTGACCAGAAGAGATAGGGAGTATTTAACATCGCGGTGAAGATGTCACAGAGGAGAAGACAGGATTCATGGCGCCGGAAACGAAAAAAAGACAACTCAGTAGAAAACTCACCTTCCATCAAACTAGGTTCTCCCTCAAAACCACCCGTCCCAAATGCCTCCCACCATCTCCCTTCACCCGTCATGACCCCCAACCTATTTCCACTCATACTTCCACTAGCGTACGAAGACGAAGCCATATTTCCTTCCAAGGAAGACCGGGAGGGGGGATAATAAGGCGATGAGGAGGTACCGAAGAATGCGAGGGGTTGTTGAGGGTAGGAAGAGTAAGAGTTTGGTTGCATGTTGAGATTTTTGTTTGTTGTTCTATTATTCTCCACTTGTTGCCCACTTGAGAGCCAAGGAAAGTTGTAGTATCTATCAGAGTTTATCACTCGGAATACCGCCGTGGGGTGTAGAGTGGTTCCAGGTGAGGTCGGAAGGGTAGGCTTGGTCGAGCTCTGATGTGGGTGCGGAGAGGGTGTGAGAATCTGAGAACGCTCTTTTGGTCGTGCCAGCTCAACCCGGATGTTATCTTGAATGCGATGGTAGCAAGTAGTAGTACTCTACTGTAAGGTATATATCCACCTACAAGGGGAGTGAGTGAATTGGGTTACTCGGCGTGGAAGATCGCGTGGAGGTCATTCATTCCTATAAAGTGCCACATTCTCTCCTATTCAGCGGCACCTCGGCGTTTTCTCATTTGTTTGCCCTTCCGTGCTCCTCCTAACCCCCTCGGCCAATCGTCACCCAGGCTTTACCCACCTCCTTGTATCCTTCTACCCGACGTCATTTTGACAATGTTAACCTCCCGTCTTGTCAGGGGTCTCCGTTCCCCAGTACTTCGAAGACCTGTGAGTCAATCCTTGCTTGGGACTTTTGCAGATCATACCACCCACGGGTATCGTGGTACCCTTCTCCCGATAGACCTCTGCCGTCTAGCCTTTTTTATAAAGCTACTTCTTGACATCCTTCTGGGACCAAAGAATGACACGAAAGAAATCCTCATAATTAATGTTCTGTGGATAGACAATGCAATTATGGACCAAGAAGATGGGAAGCTAATCCTCAGCTCACCCGATCCCTCGCAACTCCAGTCTCCCTTCCCAAATATGCAAACCCCATCACCGAGGACTCTGTCCTCTCAAACGGTCTTTTAGTCTCTACCGAAACCATCCCCGGTATGTCAACCTCGACCGTAGGACTTTGGATCGATGCTGGTTCTCGAGCAGACGACTCTGCAGCATCAGGCACAGCTCATTTTCTCGAACATTTAGCTTTCAAAGGTACTGGCGGACGTTCTCAAACTGCATTAGAGTTGGAAGTGGAAAATTTAGGAGCTCATTTGAACGCTTATACGAGTAGAGAACAAACTGTTTATTATGCCAAAGCGTTTGATAAGGACGTTCCTCAAGCTGTTGACATTTTGGCGGATATATTGCAGAATTCAAAATTGGATGGGAGTGCTATTGAGAGGGAAAGAGATGTGATTTTGAGGGAACAGGAAGAGGTTGATAAACAATTGGAAGAGGTTGTTTTTGATCATTTGCACGCCGTGGCTTTCCAAGGTGAGTCGACGTCTCTCACGTAAGGTTTCATCAAATCTGCGTTACCTCGAGATACGCATTCTTCTCTTGAAATGAGAAACAGGATCCATTTGAAATCGCAGGAGGTCGGGCACCGAACTGATATTCCGTGCGAGAGAGAGAGACCAAGCGTGTTCGCGCTGACTTCCAGGACAACCTCTTGGTCAAACAATCCTCGGCCCAAAAGCTCACATCCAATCCATTGCCAAAAAGGACTTGACCTCGTACATCCAGAAAAACTACACCGCAGACCGTATGGTCCTCGTTGGTGCTGGTTCCATCGAACATGATCAACTTGTCAAGTTGGCGGAAAAACATTTCGCCTCACTTCCCGTCTCATCCAACCCTATCCCTCTTGGTGGTCAAGCGCATCCCCCAACCCAATTCGTCGGGTCCGACGTCCGAATCAGGGATGACACCATGAGTACATTGAACATCGCCATCGCCGTTGAAGGTGTAGGATGGAGGAGTCCTGATTATTGGCCCATGTTGGTGATGCAGAGCATCTTTGGAAACTGGGATAGAAGTTTGGGCGCTAGTCCATTGTTGAGCTCAAAATTGAGTCATATTATGAGTAGCAACAATCTGGCAAATTCTTACATGTCTTTCTCTACGAGTTATTCTGATACTGGTTTGTGGGGTGTTTATATCGTTACGGAAAAGTGAGTCCTGAACGTTTCTCGATCTCCCCGGTCGACGCATGCTCCTGCAATCTCCCTGTTCACCCCCGTCTGACATGGGGTGGGACCAACTTATCCGCGTCCACCATAATGTCCTTACTGTTTTGACTTTGCATCGCACGACACACTGACCTCAGTCACATGAACGTCGATGATTGTCTTCACTTTACTCTCAAAGAATGGAGTCGAATGTCCGTATCTCCTCTATCATCAGAAGTCGAGCGCGCGAAATCGCAATTGAAAGCATCGTTGTTACTTGGTTTGGACGGAACGACGGCGATTGCGGAAGATGTGAGTTTTCCCATGTCTCTATCCGATCCTGCTTTGACTGTCTATTCGGCCGATCGCCGCTCAAAAATTGGTCCCTGGCGACTTCTTGTGTGCGACCAGATGTTGATATGTCAGATCGGCCGACAAATGATCACCACGGGCAAGCGCTACACTCCAAAGGAGATTGGACGTTATATTGATGCCGTTACTCCCGATGATATCCGCCGTGTCGCTCAGAAGTATCTATGGGACAAAGATGTGAGTCCTTTTTTCGATTCATCTTGAGAAGAAAGCTGAATGAAATAGATTGCCATCGCAGCTGTCGGACGTGTGGAGGGTGTGCTCGATTACAACCGTACGTTGCTGATTTCTCTCCACTATCGGTCTCTTCCTATGATCGCACGATGCTGATGAATAGGGATACGCAATGACATGTCACTCATGACCGTCTGAGCTTATGTAGAGGGCGATACTACATGACAGATGCATGGAATATGAGCCTTGTTCTGGTACTCTGTGCATCCTGGGGTTGTTTCTACTCATCAGTGACACGTGACTCGTCTTGGCGCTCGGCACGGATCGGCATTGGGAAAGCGAAAAGTGACAAACGCAGTCGACGTCATCCTCGTCTCTTCTTCCTTCTTCCGGCCTTGTAGCTTTGTTGCTTGTATACTTTGTGCCAACACGCTCAGATTACCTGCCAGGCGGCACAGTTCTTCGGCCGCAACATTATCCTGTCACAAGCCGCGGATCTCCGAAAAGATCTTTCATTGACTCAGCAGGTAAACCGACGTATCTCTCCTCTCCGCTTGACCGAGTCGATCACACCATCGTGCAGATACATTGGTAGAGATCCGGACGATCTTGTTTATATTCGTCGCATTTAGTCTGTTTCTCCCTCATTGGATACCAACTCACGCGAGCTTGTCATTTGTCGTTCAGATCGACTTCGATCTAGGAGGTTGGCATCATTCTGAACACAAACATTGAAATTGAGGAATTTCAATCACCCGATTACCCGCGTAAACTCTATCTTCATACGCCGTCTCATCTGTCGTATCCTGTCAAGTATACAGTCTTCATCTTGTTATCTTCTTCATCCTCCACGATCTACGACTCCCGGCTTTGCTTGCACGCCTCGATCAAGAAGCAGTGGCCAGGTTGTACCGACCCTCTCTTGTCGCCGAAAACGTCACCGCCAGTGAAGAAGAAATGTCCAAGTGGAATCCCCTCAACCTCGGTCGACCATTGAGTCGTGATACCTCTTCTCCTTCTTCTACTTCAAACAAAATTCAAGATCCTACGAATCTAAATGCTCAACCCACAGATCCTAGTGTAGATCCGACAAACATCACCGCTCCTTTGACACAAGTCAGAACAGCTCCAACCACCGTACCTATCAATCCCTCAGTTCACGAACAAACCTCACAACCTCGTCAATCTCCCGAAAATTCCGATTCATCCAGTGTGACACTCCATAGTCAACCTGGCGGAATACCTATAATAGCTGGTGGTTTACATGGTCAATCTCTTCCAGGTGCAAAAGCACGTCTAGGTATGGATAAAGATCCTCAAGCAGGTACCATCGGAGGTTCCACAGGAGGTGTATTGGTGGAAATGGCTTCGAAAGAATTACATTTATCTCCAAATACTCATCAAGATGGAAACATCGAAACACACGGAACACATCATGATGGTTCGGAAGGTGAGGAAAGAATGGGTCATTTGAAACATATGCCAACTTGGAATATAGGTTCTCATGGTGATCCAGGTTCAAGGATCGAACGTACCGCAACTGGAACTATTGTTTCTCATAGGGATCCAAGTGGAGGTCAAGAAACTGTTCAAGGTTTCGGTATGGTACCTCTTTCAAGACATGAAAGTCAACCTCCTGTCGTCAGTTATTGGGGTGGAGTTGCACCTGCTGGTATTGATGCCGAAGAAGGTTTGACGGCTGTTAGAAGTAGGGAAGAAGAAGAAGAAAGAGAATTAGAAAGGGAAATTAAAGGACCTGATCCTTGGGCTGTGAAGTTTGAACCGGGTGAAAAGATTAATCCTAAGGTAGATTTCACCTCCCCCCCCCCCCCATCCTTCTTCGTTATCCTCTATCGCTCCGAAAGTCCAAACATCCAGCAGTCCATACCTTCCTATCTCCTTTTCCTCACCGATCCATCCACTTACCGCACACACTGCGCCTCGAAATATTTATCTCGCTGACCACGACTACATGGTCAATATTCTAGAAACCTTTAGCATTCGCTGATAATCAGAATTGGGGAGTAGCCTATCGTTGGTGGTTAACCTCTCTAGCCGGTTTATTCGTACTCAACTCTACCTTCGCATCTTCTTCCCCTTCCGGAATTATAACAGATCTCGAAGAATATTTTCACATCTCTCAAGAAGTTGCAGTCCTTACCATCTCACTCTTCGTTGCTGGTTATTGTTGCGGTCCTCTCGTATGGGGACCCGCTTCTGAGATATATGGTCGTAGACCTATTTTCATACTCAGTTTCATCGTTTATACCGGATTTCAAGTCGGTTGCGCTCTAGCCAAGAACCCAGCTAGTATCTTGATTTTCAGATTTTTAGGAGGGACGTTTGCTTCTGCTCCTTTGACGAATTCTGGGGGTTTGTTGGCGGATATTTGGGATGTAGATAGGAGAGGTTCAGCTATGGTTTGGTTTGCTTTGGCACCATTCGCAGGACCTTCTATAGGTCCTATAGTCGCGGGATTCATTGAGGTTTCAGGGACGGTGAGTTGACAGTCATCCCTTCTGATCGAAAAATCCGTGTGAACTTTCAGAGAAACGCCACTTCTAGCCCTATTTATCTCACCTCAGCTATTATGTTCGACCCGTGACATGTTTTTATTCTTCCCTTTCAACTTGCCCATCTCTCCTCCTCTTCCTCTTTACGTCGCTTGCCTGGATGACTGGACCGGACCGTGATCATTTGTAGTAGTTGGAGGAATAGGAGCTGATAGTCAGAATTGGCGTTGGGTATTCTGGATTCTTACCATGTTCGCAGGGTTTTGTCTTGTCGTCATTATTTTCTGTGTGCCAGAGACTTACGGTCCAACCATCCTGGTGAAGAAGGCCAAACGATTGAGGAAAGAAACTGGTGAAGAAAGATACTATGCGCCTCGTAAGTTTTCTGATAGATCCATCATCCTTTTCCTCCAACGCAACTTGATCCACATCTTTTCAGGGTATCAAACTCGTCGCTGCATTGGTTTTGTGAGAAGACGGACTAGCTGATGAGTAGTTGAACGGGCTAGTCATAGAGTCAAAGACCGACTCAATGATATCCTATTGAAACCATTCGTCATGTTAGGTGAGTCATCGTTTCTCATCAATGACAATCACCCATCTCCGGAAATCACGGATTTGATCAAAGAAGGAGAATACTGGTTTGGGTAAGTAGGTGAGGAGCTGATCACTTTAGCTCTCGAACCGATGCTTTTGGCAGTGGTCATGTACATGTCGTTCGTCTATGGTGTCGTGTGAGTTTTTCTATACGACAAATGTGACCTGACTGACTTGATAAGGTATCTGTTGTTTGAGGCATATCCATTTGTATTCATCATCAACCATGGCTTCAATTCCGGGGAGAATGTAAGTGCCCTTGTCAAGTCTCCCTCGTCTTCCCCAGTATGCTTCACTCGAATTTTGTCTTTTCATCATCTCTTAACAGCGACTTCATAGCTCTCCTGCCCACACCAACTTCTCACTGCACCGCCCAGATGATCACTACGATGCATTGGTATTCATCGACATTCTTAGGTTAAAGAATTGGCCAGATGACTAACGTATAGGGTCTTGCCTTTTTGGGCTTTTTCGGCGGCGGTTTATCATGTGTGATATTGTACGTTTTTTCACTTCTCCTACTTTTCCCCCTTACCATGTCCTTCGACCCCTCACTACGTTCACTCACCAGGTCTCATTAAACGTCTACTACAATCGAATTAGTCGGATTCAAAAGCTTACACGTAGCTTTTTGACAGTCATCGAACCTCGATACCAACGTCACGCAGCTAATCATGCACCTTCACCTCCCAAACCTGAAAAACGATTGGAAATCTGTGTTTTGTCAGGATGGAGTATGGTCGTAGCTATGTTTTGGTTTGGATGGACTAGTTATCCTTCTATTCATTGGATAAGTCCCGTTTTGGCAGGTGCACTTTTGGGTTTTGCAGTGTTAGGGATGTTTGTCAGTATGTGAGTGAAACTTTTCACTGGCTTCTATTTGGAACATTGTCCAGGATGAGTTTAAAGACAGTATACTAATGATTAGACTCAACTATATTATCGACGTTTATCTTTGGGCGGCAGCATCGGCTTTGGCGGGAGCTACAGTTACTAGATCGTTATTCGGTGCTGCATTGTGAGTTCACTTCCTCCTTTTCCTGACATTCTACCATTTCCTTATACCACAATCTCCAATCTTCTCAACATTTTCGACGATTTCCTCAATGATTGATGGCTGCATGGCTCGAAATGGGTGACTGGCGTTAGGTTCTGTTGTAATCGGCCTGTGACTGACTTACTAGCCCTCTGTTCGCAGTGCAGATGTATCAAAAACTCGGTACTCAATGGGCTTCTTCTCTCCTCGGTTTTCTTGCTTTGCTCATGGCGTGAGTCGTAGTCCCTCTCTTTTGTCCTCACACTACTCCGTGTTGTCCTTTTCATCTCGCCCCTCAATCTATGGCTTTTATTTCATTTCACAATGATACTCAATCATGTCAGGTTCATGGTCGGAGTGAAGTCCCATGTTTGTCAAATCGATTCGTCTTCCAATTCACACAGATTGATAGAATGACGCTCATTGCTAGACCCATCCCTATGGTCTTGATGAGATATGGGCCAGCTTTGCGTAAGCGTTCGAGGTATTCTCCTAACAAGGGGCATTGAAAGTAGAGCCAGACATCTAGAAAGATGAAGTTGGACATTGGGATGTTAGCGGATAATATCACCGAAAGCGATGTAGCGGTCAATCAAAAGATCTTGCATGTCATATTCTATTTAATCTAATTGATTACTGTATTCGTCTTTCCAGAACCCAATGGGCTGGCAAGCGAGGCCAGTCGGAATAGATTCGGTACGCCAGTAAAGCAACAGACTTCTCTTCGAAACAGGCTTCGATGTCCATATGCCGACGACTGACGTTGACGGACCAAAACAGATTCCCACCCACTTTGATCCTGAGCCGTTCAGCGCAATTTATTTACAATGGCGTGAGTGATGGGAAGAGCTGAAAAGTCAGCGACGAAGATGAACATGCCAAACGGTTAAACGGCAGGTGTGGATGGACAGTCCCGTCATCTCCCAAATTGAAGACGATCGGTGTATGACGATTAGGATCAGAAATGTGATTGACATGAATGGAACTGTTTTGGGGTGAACTGCGATTTTTCTCACCTGACACGACCACCGACACATTTCTTCCGTAGACTGTGGTTGACTGAAAGTGACTCTGTTGTCAACTCTGATCGATACATGACACATTGTAGCTCACTTACCGTCTTTTTCAAGCTATCAAACGATACTTGTCTTCCTTTCGGCGCTTTCATAGCACGAACTCGGGAAGGGAAAACAGAGCGAAGACGGCTAGCCCAACAACACTGACAACATTCTAAATCCTTGACCATCCCGCATCCATTGCCCAAGATACGACCTTGGCCCACTGCAAAAACCGGCATCACCTATCACGTTGAGTGTCCCGTTCGATGAACTACCGTAAGATTTGTTCCACCGACATACTCGGTTCTCTCGCCCATCCCCCACTGTCTTTATTCAATCTATCCGCCTCTACCTCGACACCTTCCACCAATTTTCTCAGTTCTTCTATCTCCTCATTACCCCCTCCAGGAAGTTCGTGGGAGAGATCAACAATTTCCCTTCCATAAGCTTTCTCAAAAACTTTCAACAAACTCCGGGCTGTTTCTTCCACTGTTAATTGACGAGCAGATATTCCGGTGGTTAGAGAGGTACGTTGAAGGAGTTGATTTATTGAGATGGCGTGAACATCTGCAAGACCACAAGCAAGGACGAGATCAAACCATTTTATAGGTTCAGGAGTCACGTTGATGGAGAAACCGTGAGAGGTGATACGGTGTCGTAAGTGAATACCTATGGATGCTACCTGTTATAAGTACTTAACATCTGAGCATGTTGTTGGATCTCGACTCTCCGCGCAAACAAGAGAAAGAGCAGATAAAGAAGTGTCAACGGAGGAGGACGGGGGAGATGATTCTAACGAGGAATGGGATTTGATGAGAAGCAATGAGAATGGGGACGACGTACTTTCTCTACGGGAGAGGAGAAAACTCCTACGTGTCCGTCAGGATGAGGGGCTGAAATATCGGGGAGGTTGAGATCATTGATGCAATACCCGGCTAGAAGACGTTGTAATTTGTCTACGTAGCATCGAGTGGATAGCTGGTATTAGCCGCTCTGATTATGATTGAGACTAATGTTCGGCCACTGGGAGTTTTTCTACTGAACTTCCAAACTCTGAGTGCTGTCATCGAGAAGCTTACCGTGTCCGGGGAAAAGGAGGAGGAAGTGGGTTACTCGGGACAGAAACAAGAAGAAAGTGAGGACATGCGAAGTGAACAAAAGAGAATTAAGAGCAGAAGTATGGAGAGAAAATGTCTAAAGAGGAAGTGACGGGCGTCAAGGAGAAGCTTCAGAAAAGGTGTCACGGACGAGAAAGAGGAGGAAATGAATCTCACCTCCATGACATTCAAATCTAATATAGGATACCCCACTAATTGACCAGGACCATGATAAGTCACCTGACCACCTCTTTTAGTGATATAAAACCCAGCTCCAACATTCTGAACTTTCTTTTCTTCAGGGTGAAGGTGATCAGGGTTAGGTGTGTTGTCTCTTCTTCCTGTAGTATATGTTGGTGTGTGCTCTGTAAGTACTCAGTATAGCTTCTCCATACATGCCATCTCCTGCGTGACGGAAACCATAGCAAATGATAAAGGTCGAGAGAGAGAAGTGGACCAGGACTTACCAAGAAGAAATACGATATCTTGTGTCACTCTTACACCTTTCTCTTTTCTCCCCAATCTAGCATCTATGACTTTTTCTTGCAGTTTCAGTCCTAAGGGGTAAGGTAAGGGTTGACGGAAGATATGATATCTTATCGCTGGTAGGATGGACGGTTTGATCATGGTTGGAAGTGCGGATAAAGGAGGAAGCGATCGGGAGGGAATTTCACCACCGACGGTTATTCCAGTGCATACACCGGCAGGCTAGAGTATTCTTACGTAAAGCTTAGAGCCCTCGTTGTGACTGACTTTTTTAGGCTAAAGTAACTGCTGAGTCGAATGTTCCTTTGTGTCGTCTTTACGAAATACTCCGGTAAGTAGCCAGTAGACTAGGAGAGTAGCTTAAGGTCGCTCACCCGGAACTTGATCACACCCGGTCATTGATCACGTGTCGCGTCCTACATGTGATATATCGAACGTGTTGTTTATCTCTCTTTGCCTCTTGTCTGTTCATCATTATGCAGACCACAGCAGATCCACTAGAGGCCGCTATTGAGAAGTATAAATCCCAGAAACATCTACCCCCTTCCAAACGCCAAAGTCAACGAGAAATCGCACGGTATTTTGGTGTAAGCCAATCTACCCTGTCTTACCGATTGTCCCACTCCCCTTCCTCCCGTGAGGAATCACATCGCCGTCTTCAAGCTCTGACTCCTGAAGAAGAAGACTGCATCGTCAATTATATCCGTAGATCTTCTCAGAGCGGTCACCCCCCATCCCCTGCTCACATTACCGAGATCGCAAAGAATCTTCGTCAAAACCGACTCATGCTCTCTCACAATCCCAATCCCAATAACATCATCATACCTCTTGGAGTCAATTGGCTTCAAAAGTTCAAGAACCGACATCCTGAAGTCAAAACCACATGGTCTCGCGCCCTGGATATAGCTCGAATCGATGGATGTGAGATGACACTCATCAAGAGATGGTTTACCGAGATGTCAGCACTCCGCAATCAATATCACTACTTGCCAGAAAACATCTATAACATGGACAAGACAGGATATAACGTTGGTACTACCTTGTCTTCTCAAGTAATGACAGTAGCAGAAGGAGACAAAAGTGTGAAGGGAAAGGTGGTGAAAGCGCAGAAGGGTCGGCAGGAATGGGTTACCGCAATCGAGTGTGTATCAGCTGTAGGTCGAGCTCTTCTCCCCATCATTATCTTCAAAGGAAAAGCGGAATTCAACCTCCGAATGCGTCCACAAGATCGAGATATTGAGGGTTGGCAATGGACAACAAGCTTGAAAGGGTGGTCAAGTAATGCACTTGCCTGTTACTGGCTGAAATCACAATTTGAACCGATGACAGCTCCAGCCGATACCTCTCAACGTCGACTGCTTATCTTAGATGGTCACGGAAGTCATGTCAAGGCCAACTTCATCAGCTTTTGTATCGAACATTCAATTGATGTCATGGTCCTTCCTCCACACTCCTCCCATTGGACACAACCACTCGATACCGGTGTTTTTAGTCCTCTCAAACGTCACTTGATGAAGTTCTCGGACATTGCAACTCGATACAATGCAACATCAATCGATAAGGAGAAGTGGGCAGCGGACCTAGTAACAGCCAGAGAGCTAGCAATGACGAAGGAGCATATTGCTACTGGTTGGAGGAAGTCCGGTTTACACCCTTTCAACCCCAATGTTGTGTATCGATTACTCTCTACTCCCACCGAGACACCCACCCGTCCGCTTCTTCACTCCCAATCCTCTGCATCAATCACCTCCGAGAATGATGAGCTCCTACGGAATACACCAGCTATCAATGCCACACCAATAAAGAAACGACTCATAGATGTAACTACCGAACTTGAAAGTGAACGGTCGGAACGTACAATAGTAGAAATGGAGAACAAGGAGCTGCATGCTCTCCTCAAGCCTCCAAAGCGTCAGAAATCAGGTGCTACTGTAGGGAACCTTGGGACACATAATTTCACAGGTGGGACGGTACTTGAGAGGCTCCGGGAGATTGAGGCGGCAGCAGAACAGAGGAAAAAGGGGAAACAGAAGAACAAAGGGGGACCGGAAGGAAGGGAGGATCGCACGGAAGGGGATGCGCCGGAAACGATTACATCGGTGATAGAACAAGCAGGAGGCATGTTAGAGGTATTGGAGAGTAGCCAGGGGCCAAGTACTGTCCGTCACATCATTTTATGTGTGTAGGTAGCATATTGAATGCATGACATGCGTTCTTGTGATGTGTATACAATCTGCGGAAGAAATGATCAATGACCGGGTGTGACCAAGTTCCGGGTGAGCGACCTTACTGTTTGACAACTCAATTGGCAACTTACAAGGTGTCGCTACCATACCATGTACTGATGCTATTTTGGGGTATGTTAATGACTTACCTTGTTGACGATTTTCAGACTACTCGAGTAATGTCCAAATGTTCTCGCGCTGATAGCAACCAACCACTCACCTTCCTTTCATCTCCCAGTCACCGAGAGTCCCTTTCATCCTGACTTGTGAGCCACAACATCGTCATTTTTGTATTTCTCTCTTCTCCACTGATCGACTGAATTCAGCCAGAAGATACAAGATCGATTCTTCAGCTTGTGTAGCATAAGGAGACCAGGGGGATAATCTAAGAACTGCTTGATCAAGCGGAAAGAATATGCCTCCAGCTCCGTGAGTTTGTTTCAAAGGTTAAAGCGATGCTGATGTGATAGAGTTAACACCACTCGTAGAACGATAGAGAGGAATGCACAGACTGGTTCACCGGTTGATCCTAAGGAATATAAGAAATGGTCTTTGGCAATGGTCAACAAGTCAGTGGTTTTCTTTCTCTTTTTTTCATCACCTCGGTTTACGTTTCTGTTGTTTTCGTCTATTTCACCTCGCCCCCCCCCCCTTTCCTTCTCTCCCTTTTCTTTACTCCCAAAGCCTAAAGGGTTATGAAACTAGCGTCTTTCCCTCAAGTCGTGATCGTTTCATGTTGTCACCTCAAAGCATCATACTTGACTCGTCACACCACTTGAACGAGGATTCACATGTTTATGTCCACCCCTATTATCCTCTGATATGATGATTGGTTGTCTCAGCACACGCATGCTTCAAGGTAGTGAACAGTACTTCACATGAAAACAATTGAGATGTCCCGGCATTACTTACTAATTCACAGCCCTGCAACAACACGCATGTACAATTACCAAGTCGCAGGTGGTGTGATCCTCCTCTTCGCATTATCAGGATGGATCACATATATGGCTGCCTTTTGATCAATTCTCCAATCCTCTGAAGGGATTATGTCTTCATGAAGAACCTATGTTAAATTATGTTCTTCCCATTCATATCGTATGTATAGTGTCAAGTCTATCTGCTGTGTACAAATCCTCAATTCTTTTCATCATCACTTTCCGTACCACACCGCAGCCACGTTCGATTCCACTTTAAAAATACAGGCTGATTATCAAAAATTAAATATGATCTCACAAGTCTTACTCCTGTCTTGATCTCTTTTCCCACGTACCTCCTATCTCCACCGGATCCAACAACTTTCCCTTACCCTTCCATCCCGGTGGTGGCGCATCCGCCGGGACCACACTTCCTGCTCGAACATCATCTCTATAATCGACTTGTGGTGCCGGAAAAGTATCATGACTCAATGACCTTCTTCTCTTCCTCGGCGGTTTGTTCAACTCCTCCCCACTGGCCTTTCTTTCCGAACTGTGAGCAACGGCGGCAGCCACATGACTCGACCAATTTTGAATCTTGTGCGGATCGATTGTTCTCATCATCGGAGCTTGCGTCGTCTTGGCCTGCTGACTCTGTCGATTCACCATTGACGGACCGGGGTATCTACTGGGTGATCCATCATTACGAATTTGTGGAGGGAAAGCAGGAGGTTGAGACATTTGCATGGGTCCGGAACGTACAGGCGGTTGAGGAGGCGCAGTAGTCCATGCTCTTTGCTGTCGACGTTCGGGTGAAAGTTGAGATTGTTGTTCTTGTAATTGTCGATCGGGAAGGTATACTCTTTGTTGAGAGGGATATTGTACGTATTGAGTTGTTGGAGGCTGGAAGTATTTTGATTGACCGGGTTGAGATTGAGGTTGAGAATGGATCGGTGGCATCGGTTGATATGTGAGATGTATTGGGTGCTGACTCCGAGAGGGTGATTCGAAACGTAAATGAGAAGGGAAAGAATGATACGTGTGCTGTATTGGCTTTTCCCCAACTTGATTCTCTTCTTCTCCGGATGTCTCATCTTCGTCCATGCTCTCTTCATACTCCCCCGCCATTGTATCACCCGCCAATTGACGAATCACCCCGAACTTTTCTTTGATCATCTTCTCCACTTGAGCTTGTAATTCTTTGATTGTCCGAAGTGGCATTCCCTCCATTGTCTCTTCTAGCTCTCGTTTGCGTTGCCGTTTTCGACGAGCAGTGTGAATTCTTCTCTGTAAGAGAAAGTCGTGACATGCTTTGACAGGTACAGATGGATGTCTTTGAGGGGAGTTGTAACGATCAGGTCGAGAAGAACCAGATGGGCCCGCATCGGGCCAAGGTTGCAACGAGGAGGGACCTGCACCAGCACCTGCGCTTGTCTGTCGTTGATGAGCTTCACGAGCGAGTTGTTGGAAATACGGATCAGAGAGTAGTGATCCTGCCAAAGTGAGGACGTCTAAAGTCCCAGGTGGACCTGTTGAATGGCCGGGTCCTGCCTCTCGAGGTGGCAGAGGGTGGGGCCAAGAAGAGGTGTATCGTGCATCTCCCGAACGCGGATCGATAGACATAGGCTGTGGTGTCCAAGCTTTTGGCTCAGTTTCAGCACGAGGCGGAGGGACATGCCACTGAGAGTTGAAGATGGTCTTCGGCGGTAATCGGGGCTTCAAGGGCAGAGGAGGGGGAGGCATTGACCGGGAGGGTGAGCTCTTGACATGGTCAACTGGCTGATTGATGAGTCGTGGAAATGGGGCCGGTGAAGGCAAAGAATCGTGTGTAGGCTTCTCCTGCCGTGGATGCGTGAACGCTTCTGGCCTATTGGAGGAGGGAGGTGAGAGCAGTGAACGTTGTCCATCTGTCTCTCTTCGGGTCGGCGTTCGCTCTCGTTTTTTGTCCTCGACGTGTTGACGCGTTTTGACCTTGCTGAGTTTGCCTCGTGGGACACGAACGACCGTCACTGTGCTAGTCGCATCACTGTCGAACTCGTTTAAATTCGCTACAGAACCCTGAGATGGCCGTCGACGTCGGGAGGATTTGGATTTGGGAAAGTATGTGAAAGGGGCGATATTGGTAGCCCCGAAAAATCCGGGACGATGATGTGATTCGGGTGTGACCAACTGTGCCGACTGCCAATCAGCATCTATTCCGGCTCATCAACATATCCAGTCCTTAATCATTGTTGGGGAAAGCTACGCGTCACTATCGAAGGCGTGTCACGGAAGGCAAATAGATCACTCACAGGTGGGGAATGATGTCTACCAGCTCTGCTCACTTCCTCATCCGCTTCGCCGTCGTCAGAATCTTGTTCCCACCCTGCTCGAGATGACGGTGTGGGAATGTCATACATGGGTATCTTGGCGACGGCTTGATGAGAAAGGCCGAGCCGACCTTGACGACTAGCTTTCGGGGTACGTGGATGAGGGTTGGCTCTGGTAGGTGTGACGGAGCGATCGTCCTCATCGCCAGCGATGGAAGTCGCCGCAAAAGACTGAATCATTTCCAACCCGACATCCTCACTTGGAGCTATTGGCATAAGGGGCCGTCCGTTTGCAGTAGTCAGTCCTGGGAGGAGAATTGACGGCACAATTATTTCTTCTGCGAAAGGGTACAGGGAAGAGCCGTGGTCATGAGGTAGCGGATTGGCTGGTACGGAGATACCCCCAAAGTCCCATGAAATTTCAGGATGTGTGGACGTTAGATCGTTGTTGACGTGATCGGCTTGATCAGTCAATGTCTGATAGGCCTCGACTCCTGACTCTGCTCTAGGGAGGTCAGCCGGTGCGGTCAGGGGTCGGTCGATACTCTCCCGCTTGTCGTCATTTGGGACGCCAAAGAAGGAGGCGAAGAAGGCGTCTCCATTCTGTATAGTCAGCATCAAGTAAAAGTCAACGATGTGTGGCAAACACAGTGAGGTTACCCGTTCCCAAGCTTAACAGATTAGATTGGGTAGATACAGGATGAAGTGGAGATGATGAGAACTCACATCCAGTGTATGCAGACCGTCGCTTTGCAATGACGACCATAAAGGGGCCACCTCCTCAATATCACCGTCTCCTTTTGTCTTGTCACCCGAATCAACCTTTCCAAGACCGGCACTGGGTGGTTGACTCGCAGCTCGTCTGGTGTATGGGACAGGAGGATAGGCCGGTGAAGGTTGAGACCAAGCATCGATCCAAGAAGGAAAACCATGTTGCGCCGCTGATTCCACTGGCCTCGAAGGTGGAGTGAGACTGTGTTCATGGAATGAGGACGACGTCGAGCGACTTGGCCCTCCATTGTCAACTTGATCGGAAGGATGGTTAGCAGGTTGTGAGGTCGAGCGGGTTATGATGATTGGCAACGGGTATGGTGCCGATAAGACTGCCCTGATGGATCGAGTGTCTGCGTGAGTCCGTGGCATTCCAGCTACTTCTTCGCTTGTGAGTTTGCTTCAATTTACGTGAGTGTCAGTGTGGGTATATGGCAAGGAATATGACGAGTGGGTGGCGGTGACGATAAATATGGATGAGTGTGGAGGGCGCCAGTGGTGAAGGAACGACCGACCGAAGGTATATCCCATGTTGAAACCTGTCAAAAACCTATTGTCAATCTTTCAGAGGATCAGGTGGTGTGCATGTCAGAAGCATGGCAAGGTTGACGAGGTGGTGAAGGAGAAGCAACCGGAGAAGAAAGGGAGGGAGGGATAGCATCAGTGATGACGCCCTCCATCGAAGAAAAACGTTGCGGAGAACCTTTTGAGGGCTCTTTCGGGGAATGCGTAAGCTTCTCATACGGATCCCAACTATACCTTGATTGATACTGTACTGCAATGATAAACACGAGGGACTAGTGGCATTGAGGGACAAATCAGGATGAGAAAGAACGGGGGAAAGATCACCCTCGTTGCTCGACCGTCTGACCCATCTATGACATGCGTCGGGTGGCGACATGTGGCAGTGTGGCAATGTGGCGGTCCGTCGTTCCTTCTCCGCACACGATTTCATGCTACATTGTTAGCCAATAGAATCGGCCCACGGCAGCCAAACAACTAGACTCATTTCCTCTTTCTTCAAATATCCCTTTGTTCATCTTATCCTCTGAACTTGATTCGATTGTCTTTGGTTTACTGTGTGTGAGTGGAACGTGATAAGTATAGAGACATGTAGGCTTGATGCATGCTTGTAACGGGACTGGAAACACGATGACTAAATCGCAGGTTGGGTTGAACTCAATGGAACTCTTGTAGAAGTCTAGGTGTCTCTGGTGCTAATGAATCGTGTCTCCTCTGCAATTGATGTAGCCAAAGAATGATATTGAAGAATCAGCAAAGTCGGTACTTTGCGGATTGTACTATATACTGTCTACAGGTATCCGTGTCTTACTCCCCGTTGTAGCACCCTCGGACCATCCTCCTTCTGTCGTCAAGAGGGATCGGTCGACCCTCGGGTCTGGAGGTCTGGGCTACTGGGGAACTGACACCTCCCCAAGCGGGGGTGGATGTTGGATTGATAGTGTTGTCTAGGGTTGAGTGGGTTTGGGATAGGCTTCGGGTGATAATAATATGTATCAACGTATCAACGTATGAATATTATGAAATGATATGGAAAAGTACGTTAGAAGTATAAATATATGATTGACTGTCCATGTGATTCTCCGGTGTGCCACTCTTCTCAAGTCTTCTGGTCACGTGTCCTAAGTACCCCGACTACCTTCCGGCACTACACCGTCCTACTGCAAGCGTCTATGTACATACTCGGACAGGTGAAAAACCGCTTTTGAGCAAACCCAATGAGGAAAACTCGAAAAGGGGAAAACCCGTCCCTACCTAATGCAGCACTGCCTCCAACTCCTGCTTTCCTCCATCCTAATCCGTCAAACTCGATAGAGTTCTCTCGATTTGTTGTTACCCCGTAACAAGTTTCCCCCCCTGTCTCAAGGATCCTTCGCCGAGGATCCTGAATCCTGTAACCAGGTGATTCACATGGATCAATCTGAGACACCTTTGGTGCACCCTGACCTCACACCCACGCTAGTGTGACGGTTGCCATGAAACGCGTCACCCGCACGGACCTCCAATGTGATTGAGAAATTACTGACCAAGTTACCTCCCTGTCTTCTCTCTTCTTTCCTCCTCATTCCCTCTTTACCTCTTGTTTGTCGCTCTTTATTACTCTTCTATCATTATCCATCCATATCTTGCTTATATCTTAGGGTATCATTCCAACTCCCTTCTGTTTGTAAGCATGTCTAAGCGCACTGTAAGTAATTCCCTTCGAACTCGATGTACTTCTCACTACTCCTCACTGGCTGACGAGATTTAGTTGTCTCCTTCCACCTCTTCCCGCCAAACTGGAGCCTCTACCGCGGCCATTCTACCCTCCGCTGACCCGGAACATCTTCTGTGCCAGACCAAAAGGATGAGAATTACTTCTCAAGCGCCTGTTCCCTCTCAACCTCCCTTGGTAGACGCCTCCCGAGGAGCTCTCGACACCATCATCGATCAATATTGATCCCGCCCTTCTCGTGATCAAAACCTCCATCCGTCCTTATTGGATGATCAGGCCAACCTTGAACAATTTATTGACTTTGACGGGGGTGTTGGGCCATCTGCCACCGGTGAGGATCCATCTCCCGTCAAATCTGTTGAGTCCAAACACGGCACCATCGTTGAGAATCAAAATTCTCCTGCCAGTAAGCCCGCTGCTCCTCCTTCTGACTACTCAGAGGATTTGGTGGAGGTTCCCAATGAACTCGGACAAATTTTTCACACCCCTCACAAGATTCCTGTCAACAATGAACTTGCCAAGGCCCTCGCCGCTCAAAAGGACTCGGAAATCGGTGAGATTTCTCTAGACTTCTGTCCCTTTCTGACTCGTCAGCTGTTCTTTGGGCCAAAATGACTTTTTCTTTGGTTGGTAAAGCTTTGAAAGACGAAGCCCTCGATTGATTTCGCAAGACCAACGCCATCAATCCCACTGTCAAGTGGTTTCGGAATGCCGTGAGTCCTTTCTCCCTCAAATTCTGTCAAATCCTGACTGTCTGCTTGATTGTCTGGCCCAAGGTTGGCGCCTCCACAACAAGAATGGTGTGGTTGTCCGCCTAGAAGGTGAGCTTTGCTCCTATTGCCAGCGTCGTCTCGATGGTGGTGAAGATTTTTGTGTTGGCTGTATTGGTCCTTGTGAGTTTTCTGCTACTGTCCGCTCGATATTGATGCAGTTCAGTCGGTGGTGTATGCGGCGAGTGCTCTGCTGAGGGAACTTTGAAGTGTTCGGTGAAGACAAACAATCCTGAGGCCAAATTCCGTGAGGTATCTATCTTCTTGCTTCAAACTTGGTCGATGTTGATGTATAGGGTATTACTGTCGGAGCAAAGATGGTCACCTCCAAGGTTACCTTCGTCCGGAGCACAAACTCTGCGCTGTCTCGGCTCCTTATCGATCCCTTTCCTCCCAGGAGCTTAATCCTCTTCCCTCACCCAACTTTCCGCCTATATCCACCTCTTTTCCTCTCTCCTCCTTCCTCTACCCCCAGTTCACCTGGGTCTTTACAAGTCTCTTCACCTCATTCCTTCAGACTATGTCCTTCCTTCTCTTTCTGAAACTCTGGATCATCTCACTTCTTCTGGTGATCCTACCGGATTGACTTCCTCACAACCAGTCGCGGGCCCCTCTTCCTCTCCTCATACTCCTCTTCACCGCAACGTCATTCGTATTCCCGCTTCGGTCCGTCGTCTCCGAGCCGGTTCCACCGCCTCCATGGACTAGTGTGTTTATATTCCTCCACTTGTAGCTATATTTCCTGTGTATGCATTTATTCCTGACCGATTTTTGTCGCTTTTGATCAAATTCTCACCCCCTTCTGGGGTCCTTTCTCCTCTTCTCTAGCAATTCGTCAAAAACCGCCAGCTCTTCTACATTTTCTCGTGGTTCCCAGTCATACACTGCATTTCCTGTGTATCCTAACCATTTTACCTTGAATTCCTCTTTCCCCTGTCGAATTCTGCTATCCACAATTGCTTCCACATGGAACTCTTCCTGGCCGTTAATTACCACAGGTGGTGGGAGCTTCGTCTGTCGACCTGGTATCATTTCCTTAGGATACGGTTCCAACAGCGTAACATTGAAGACATTCTGTACTCTCATTGACGGAGGTAGATCCAATTCAAAGGCGTTCTTTCCTACCTGTCATGAACTACGTCGTGACACCTCGAATATTCCACCATCAACAACCCTCCTTTGACCAGCAAAACCCGGATTACGTCTTAACCTCCTCACCCTGCACGTAACCTAGGACATCTGAGACCAACTACGGCGAAGTACAACGGGAGAATAAGGTATACAAGGGTCTGGGGCATAAGGATGGTGAAGTGCGGCAAAGTTAGACGGAGTTAGGGGGGGTCTAGGGACGATGGGAGCAGAAGTACGGTGAAGTTAGACGGAGTTAGGCTAAGTCGGGACAATGGGATCTGAAGTGCGGCAAAGTTAGACGGAGTTAGGGTAGGTAAGGACAACGGGAGCAGAAGTGCGGCGATGTTAGGCGGAGTTAGTCGAAGGGGGGAGAAGTATGACCGGGGACTCGGGGAAGTTGGACGGAGTGCGTTGAAGTATGTCAAAGCGCACGAGGGTTGGGTGAAGATCTAGGAGGAGTAGACAATATTAGCTGAGAAGATTGCTGAAGTTCTTCAGCGATCCTTGATTGTTGTCAGTAGTGAAAGATTGATAGAGATAACTACAATATAAATCGAGATACATCGCCATCAGTAAAAAATCCCCTAGATAGAGTAACTACGCCGAAGTACGTCGTAGTTACATTCCTTTCAACGTCTGCGCCCTCCTGGTTGGGTGAGACATCGAGTCAGAAGCATCAAGTTAGCCGAAGTTTGTCGACCGTCAGTCTATTAGGAAGAAGTTATTCGACGGCCATGACACTACCCTCCTTTTAATCTTGAAAGGCTCAACATATTTTGCTTCTAATTTTCGACTTGGTCGTTCCGTAGTCAGATACTTTGTACTTAGCAGTACCTGTGGTCCCTCTCTGAACTCTTCTGGAATGCTTTTGTGTTTCCTGTTGTAATATTCCCCACTAATCTCGTTGGCTGTCCTGACTTGTCCTTGAACCGCCGCATGTAATTCTCCCATATCTTTCCATCTTTGCTCTAACTTGTTTGACTTTGATTGAATATCGTGTGAATGGATGTCGTAGTGCAGTACATAGCCATAACATGCTTCGAATGGACACAAACCGTGGCTACTATGTGGCGAACAGTTATAAGCAAACTCAGAAATTGGTAGAAGTTGATCCCAATTGTCCATGTTATAGTTCATACACATCCCGAGTAGGATTTCCATCTGTTGATTTACTCGCTCAGTCTGTCCGTCTGTTTGAGGATGATACACAGTTGTAACGGTACTGGAAACATGATGACTAAGTTGCAGGTTGGGTTGAACTCGATGGAAGTCTCGTAGAAATCTAGGTGTCTCTGGTGCTAATAGATCGTGTCTCCTCTGCAATCGATGTAGCCAAAGAATGATATTGAAGAATCAGCAAAGTTGGTACTTTGCTGATTGTACTATATACTGTCTACGGGTATCCTTGTCCTCATCCTCTTCCTGCTGCAAGCGTCTACGTACATACTCGGACAGGTGAAAAACCGCTATTGAGCAAACCCAGTGAGGAAAACTTGAAAAGGGGAAAACCCGTCCCTACCTAATGCAGCACTGCCTCCAACTCCTTGTAGTGGATCCAACCATCCCCTACATACTGATCAGTACCGAGCTACTAGATTCTCTTCCAGACACCCCTACCCCTGTCTCTTGTCTGCCTATCATTGTCTATACAAGTGCTTATACGCACTTGCCTCAGTTACGCCTTCTTTACCTATAGTCTCTCCTGTCTCCTAGTATATAGTATTCACGCATAACATGTCAAAGACGCAGATTCTGTCACGTCTTTCCTACGTCAAACGTCAGCTCATTTATGCATATAAGCCGGGTCTGAGGGGGATCTCTTCCTCCATTGTTGTCACGGCCGTCGAACAACTATTTCTTAATAGACCGACGGTCGACGAACCTCGGCTAACTTCACGCTCTGAGTCGATGTCTCACCCAACCAGGAGGGCGCAGACGTCGAAAGGGGTGTAACTACGGCGTACTTCGGCGTAGTTACTCTAACTAGGGTTTTGTTCTACTGATGGCGATGTATCTTGATTTATAGCTATCTCTATCTGTCTTTCACTACTGACAACAATCAAGGATCGCTGAAGAACTTCAGCGATCTTCTCAGCTAATATTATCTACTCCTCCTAGACGTTCATCCAACCCTCTCGCGCTTTGACGTACTTCAACGCACTTCGTCCAACTTCCCCGAGCCCTCGGCCATCCTCTTCCTCCTTCGACTAACTCCGCCTTCCCCGAGCCCTCGGCCATCCTCTTCCTCCTTCGACTAACTCCGCCTAACATCGCCGCACTTCTGCTCCCATTGTCCCTACTTAGACTAACTCCGCCTAACATCGCCGCACTTCTGCTCCCATTGTCCCTACCTAGCCTAACTCCGTCTAACTTCGCCGTACTTCTGCTCCCATTGTCCCTACCTAGCCTAACTCCGTCTAACTTCGCCGTACTTGGTCTCAGAAGTCCTGAGTTACGTGTAGAGTAAAGAGGTTAAGGCGTGATGGGGGTTTTGATGGTCAAAGGAGGGTCATTGTTGGTGGAATAATCGAGGTGTCACGACGTAGTTCGTGACAGTCGCCCCCTTCTTTAGCCGCGAACGTCCTCGTGAGCGATTACACCTCTGTCGTGTCAAGAGAACTTAGCAGCGTAGTACCCCCATTCTCTCCCTCCCCATGACCATCTTTCACCCTTCTGCTCTTTGCGCCGCACTTCGTAGTTGGGCCTCCTTTCACTCCAAAACCCGACAATGAGACTCCCCTAACTTCGTCGAGGTTTGCCGTAAGAAGCCCTGTGTCTTTTGTAGGTGAGACACGCTTCCTGAAATGGCAGCCGAACAACACCGTTGTTTGTCGAAGTAACCCTCGCTTATATTGAGATGAGACACTATAGCGTGGGAATTTTGATCGTCCCTGCGATGCCTTTTGTTGATGAAACGCGAAGTTTGCCGCATGTTGACGACGAGGGTTTAGGTTTGATTATACTAAATACTGAGCAGTTCGTCGAGCTTCTCTCTTTTTCCCATCTTGAATCATCTTTTATTTCTTTAAGTATTTTTAACGTCATGGCCCCTCCTACTCCCACCTCTAACCCTTTCGCCGCCATGAGGAACTTTGGTGGTATGGTGTCGTCTGCTCGTGAGTTATTCCTCGACACTTACCTTACTTCGCCGGACTTGGCTGATGTTCAGTTTCCTTCGGCGACAGATCTCGCCAAGTCTCCTCCCTCGGCCTCGGCACCCTCTCTTTGGGGGAGCCGTCTGGCGATGTCCCGCCTCCTCGCTCCGCTTCTCCTCCCGTCGGTCCTCCCGCTGGTTCTCCCTCTGCTTCTCCTCCTCCTGGTTCTCGCTCTGCTTCCCCTCCTGCCGCCAGCCCTCGCCGCAGGACGCCCGCCTTTCGTCCTGGTGAGTCTCCGTCCTCCTCCGACCAGGAGTCGCTCAGTGGTTCGGAGTCGGACGATCAGTCAGACTTCGAAGGAAAAGGGGGTGATTATAGTGATGAGGATGATAGAATCGTGTCGGAGGGTGAAACCGAGTTAGAGGAACACTCGGATGATGATATGGTGGCGGTTAGTGTAGAGGACAACAACGTAGATAGTCCTGAGCGTGAGTTCTTCGTCCAACCTCTCACACCTTCGCCGAACTTGGCCTTGTTTATCTGTTCTTTAGCTCTCCAAGACATTGCTAACTCGCAGCCGCTCCTGCCCCTCCCCCTGCTCAAATTGTGGGCCAGAAACGACGCCGTTCCCTCTCCTCTTCTTCTTCTTCCTCTTCTTCTTCTTCCTCTTCTTCTTCCTCTTCCGGGGTTCTCCCCCCCCCCCAACGCCATCGCCGCTGCCGCCGCTGCTGCCGCCGCCATCGCTCCTGCTGCCGCCGCCGGTCCTGCTCCCGCCGCCGGTCCTGCTCCCGCCGCCCCCGTCGCTGCTCCCCCCCCTTCTCCCAGAGGGGAGCCTTCGCCGCAACGGGTGGAAGAGATCACTGCGGGGAAGAAGAGTACTTGTGGGAGAAGATGAAGTCCGAGGCTGGTCGTTGGATCGCGGTTGGTGTTGACGAAGCGTGTGATCGTTGCCGGGAGAGTACCACCTATCGTACTACGCCGAAGTGACTCCTGCTAATTAGTATGACGGTGAGGATTATAACGTATAATCGTCCAAACT